CAGTTGTATGTATACAGTATGTACAATGAAGTCTATATTTATAATTTCCTCTAAAGAAGTCACATGTGTATAAGAAAAGTGATGGGAGAATTAGGAATTGCATATATTTTCAAGCAAAATACAGTCAAAAGAAATCTGAACTTGTTTATAATGCTCCTACTGCTTGGACAACATGGGGAGGATTTGATGTGAGTGTAGCCTGTTGTTGTAATGTTTCATTGGAAAATTCAGGTAGCATTATTATCGAATAGGAATTCCTTCATGTTTCCTGTGTTGATATAAATATGAGCAACATGGAAGATCATTATCAATCATGCGAAGAAAGCAAACAAATCTTGGCTAATTATTAACAAGCAATTTCTTTGTAAAGTTTCGAAATTTGACCTCCCATGTTCATGAAAATTAACAGAAAACAATACAAGTGGAATTATTCTGGGCATGAATAATCAGATCGTTTGTCATTGTCTTCAAAATTTCTTTGTAAAGTTTGTTAAAATTCATGGCGCTTCTCACCGTTTCCGTATCTTGAAACAAAACTGTATACCGGTACTCCACAAGTTCACATGTTGCAGAAATAGTTTCTGAAATCTGATTTATGAGTTTTTGTTCATGTACATGTACATTATTAGCATTAAGAATGATAAACACATATATTATTTTTAATCAATTCAGTTCATTTTTATTTGCATATTTGATAAAAATCACCATAACAAACATTCACAATATACATTTGTAAGGCAATTCCAACAAATAACACAACAGAACAGAAGTATCAAAATGTGGGGGGTCAAACAAAGGTCAAAGGCTGTCAAAGGCTTGTCCGTAAACTATATAAGTAATCAAATATAAAATAAGTGGTACAACAGGAAGAAAGAGAAAAACAAGACAAACGTATTTTGAATTGATGATTGTGTAGATTTCATCACAGCATGTACATGTACAAGGCTCCTTCACTCAATCATATTTACTGTATACAGTTATACACACTCTCATTTTTTACAAGCAAGTTTCAGCCAAAATAAAAAAAAAATAGAAAATGTTTGGTCAAGAAAAATTGTATATAATGTATATGGTACACCTGTATACATGTACATGTACATACAGACATATTGGCTCGACAGAACAGGTGTATTGAAAAGTTACGCGGTCAAGTCCTTCATTTTGATTGTCACGTCTCATTTCCCTCTGAACATCATCATCACCATCATCATCATCATTGCCTTGTAATTGACTTTCATGACAGCAATATCCCTTCCCTAATTGCTCTTCACAATCCCTGGATTGATATCATAATCCAACCATGACTACAAAGTCATCTTCTATTTTAATAATAAAGGGCAGTTAGGACACTGGAACTGATTTGAAAAAAAGTATACCATAGCCCCAGATGTACAGGTTTGTAAATGTACATGTACAGTGTTTATGATAATTGATAATGTTTGTAGGCTAGCCGCTGGCAGTGCTCTTTGTTCAATTTAGTTTAATGTCGCCCTATTTCTACTTGAATATTATGCAATATTTGAAAAATATCAATGTTGTAAAGCTCAATGAAGTATTCACGCTGAGTAAGTCACTATTATTACATTGTACAAGTTGATAAAATGAGAAATTTGCTATTAAGTTAGGTTTAAATACAGTGTATACTGTATAAGAAACATGGTGCTGTTCAAATTCTAAAGAATTTTACGGAAGTAATATTGGGAAAATTTGTTGTACCGTATTTATAGTTATGGTACATTGTGATATAGGTCCTTTTAAAAAAATAGTGATTTTCTATATTTACATATTTTCTTGGAATGAAGTCTCTCCATCATTTTTTGCCTATATTATTCATTTACATGTTCAAGTCAACATTTCATATCGCATACGTGTAGGCATACATGTCCTATGTAATTATTTACCACCATATCTTTCCCAAAGTACATGTTTACATACAATATACCTGCATTATCTGCATATTGAAAAGAATATGTCTTGCAAACAAGTACCGTGGAGGGGCAAAAACAACTTTGTACAGCCATACAGATAAAATATGTGGAGTAAACAATAACATTCCATTGTCATGACCAAAGTTTTCCATGAGTCTCAACAAACATCTTTCATGCGAGGTCAAAGGTTTAAATGATTCTGTTTTTTTTCTTTTCTCTCTCTCTCTCTCTCTCTCTCTCTCTCTCTATCTCTAGCTCAATTTCGTTTTGTATCTTTTTGTATCTCTTCTCATCTCTTTAAACGATAGCCCTGTTTGATGTTTTGTTTTAGGCAGGTACAGTACTGTTTTTTCTGCTCCTTTTGCAGCCACTCTAAAGTAAAATATGACATCTACAGGGTGTACACAACGCATTACCAAAGAAATCTATTTAAAAACTTCACAGAAAACAATATAACGGCTGTCATATAAACATGTATACATCTATTATGTACAGTCATGGTGAGGACATAGTCTTTTCATTTGTCAAGGATTTGTAAAAGAATGATATTGTTTGTGTGCATCCAGCCATGGCAGAAGAAGGAGAAGGCGCGGTTCCATTATGCACGCACACACACTCTCAAGGTACACATGCAATGCTTGTCTGCATTCCGCACGATTGACTCACCCCACTTCAACTGCACAATGATGCAGAGTAGAGGCCGTTCGTTCGTTCTCTGCATTTTGTGGTGAACCTGTAGATTGTATGCAGGCTTTTGTGTATGAATCTGGCCGCTTTGTGCGGGGGGGTGTGTGTGCGTGGTGTGCAAACGGTTAGAGAAATGTACCCTCTCTGAATACTCTTCGTTCAGTGAACTGACACAGCGGGGGCTGTATTGCATTTGAACTTGCCACCTGCAGATTTCCATATGAATCATGTTTATTAAATAGATGGCTTTTGAGAAATTTGTATGAATACATTTTTATTTCTCTCTAACTTGCGTTAACCTGTATTGGAAAAGTATACATGTAGGCTTACTGGCTTACTGGCTTATACTACATACATGTAGTAATGCTGCAGTATACATGCATATTATATATACATGTATATATATATATATATATATATATAATATATATATTCCTAATGTTTATTTATGTACTCTTGTACAGTAAGCCTAGATTTGTAGATGATACACTGACTTGCATACATCTAGTTCTTACAGCCTACATACTGTACATATTTTGAAAAGCTGAAATAATATAATCACTTAATTACTTACATAATATATTTACAAATTACCAGTAGTTTTTCCATGAAAATTCACAATTGCACATGCATGTTCAATCAACATTATCTCAAAGAAAGTTCTGCTTTATTTTAAACATAAAAACTGTTTCACTACTATCATTTATGAACAAGTTGTACATACATGTACCGGTATGTACAATTACACCAACTCTAAACATGTGGAGAAAAGGTCTACATTATTACAACTACATTGTGAACCTCCTTTTCCAAATTGGGGGAAAGGGGAGGGGATGCAAAAAAGACTGTGTCTATTGTACTGTGAATTACTCATCAAAACTCAAGTCTCAGGTGAGATGGACAAAGACAAACTTTGTTTGGATTACAAAGGGGAGAATTCCATGTTTGGCCTTTAATCCTCAACCCTTTTGTGTCAACAAATCAAGGAAGTACTGGTAGGCCTATACATGTATACAGTAGGCCCATTCACACTGCAGAAAACCCCGGTTGAAAAACCAACGTTTCTTTTTTAAACTACGATTTACACTACTGGAAAATCATAGAAAAAATATCAGTGTTAGATTTTCTGTTTTTTTCTTTCTGAGTTGTGGGCATGCAATTTACCTATTGCTGCTCTGCATGTGTTAACGCTGAAGCGAGGAGAGTCATGAGACCCCAAAAAGGAATAACCTACTGGTGTTTTGAAAGTAAGCATTCACATGCACTGCAAAAACCAGTACAGTTTTCGGCTGGCGATTAAAAATCAAACACACTCCAGAGTTGGGTCTTTCTATTTTGGTTTTTCGTTATGGGTAGATACCTAGGAACTTAAGATAAAACTCCAGAATGTGAGAAAAAACCAAGCAGTTTTTGTTTGTTGTGTAAATGCCCCTATACAGTGGGGGAAATGGATGGACAGTATTATTGATAGTGTAAAAATTCAATATACAGCTTTAAGCTTTGGCTTCTTGTTACTTCTTTGGTAAAGAACTGACACTTGTATAAAAAATGCATATCTTTTATCGTTATGTCACATTCTGTTCTATAGTTACACACATGTACATGTAGGTCTACAGTGAAAAAAAAACACTTCATGTTATACTGTTCTCATTATGTCTCATTATCTCTATAAATGGGCAACTCTAAGCCTTTTCCCCCATTCATAATTTATAACCACATGTACATGTACATGTACATGATATACTTGTATGTCTGATAACAGTTTCAAGCTGATATGCCTATTAGTGCTTGAATCCGAAAAAACATCAAATACGGTTACATTTTTGTGTTGATTAATGTTCACAATTCCAGACAGTGAAAAAAATACATGGGGGCTCGGGCGATGTAGCCCCCCGATAATCAGAAAAGAGCCCCTGTAAATTTGCATAGCGTTCAATGCAAAACAAATTTTAGAATGTTATTTTCATGCGGGAAAGCGTGAAAAGTAGCCCCCGAAAAATAAATGTTAATTTTTTCCCTGATTCCAGAATAAACTAAATAATACTACTTCATTACATACCAGTATATGGGACACCTTTGACTATTTACCTTAATAATATGTTTGATTCTAAGCCCAAGATAAATCAATGTTGAGTTAATTGGAAATGTGTTGTATCATGTACTAAAATCAAAGTTTACCGATGGTTTAAAGATGCTCATGCATGTGAAGTAGGCAACTTGGCGATCACTACATAACACTGTGCGTACGTCCGTGTGCTGATTTCTATATACATGTACATGTACCCACGCTTGAACAACTTAAATAGGTAAAAGCTTATACTATAATCTTTCCCTTCATCATTTAATTTCATCAATTTCTCTTTTTTTTTCCTTCAATATTTGTAGATGCACTTGACACATTGGTGGTGACCTTTGACATCCTGGATGCCGATGACCTCCCGGTCTGGACCATGCCGGTGTACCCCTACATCGCTGTGGTGCCTACGGATGCCCCCAATCAGGCCTGCATCTACACCCTCGAAGCCTCTGACCAAGACTTGGGAAGCGACATCACTTACTCTTTGAGGGCAGGTAGGTTACAACCGGGAATAGGGGCCGAGAGCAATTCGCCCTCTAGAAGCTAAACAGTGCCTCTTTAAAATCTTTTGGAGTGTAAATCCACTGTTATACAAATTTAGATCCTGCCAAGTTTCAACCAGGGATAGAGGCTGAGAGCAATTTGCCTCCATACAGTTAAAAAAATGCCCCCTTTGAAATAATAATTTTTAAAAACCCACTATAAAATAATAATTTTTAAAAGCCCACTATAAAATAATACAAACTTGGATCCTGCCAAGTTACAGGTAGATACATAATATGAAATTGTCTTACAACAAGACCAACCCAGGCAGTGAAAAAAACAAACACATTGCAAGCAGGTAGGTTTCAACCGGGGATAGGGCCAAGAGCAATTCGCCCCCTAAAAGCTAAACAGTGCCCCTTTAATTTTTTTGTGTGTTAATCCACTGTTATACAAATTTTGATCCTGCCAAGTTAGATATAAAATATATAATTGCCTAACAATAACAAGACCAAGGGTCCAAGACCCAGGCAGTGAAATTACAAACACATTTCAAGCAGGAAGGTTTCAACCAGGGATAGAGGCTGAGAGCAATTTGCCTCCTTTAAGTAAAAAAAAAAAGTGCCCCCTTTGAAATGATTACCGGTATTTAAAAAAAAACACTATAAAATAATACAAATTTGGATCCTGGTAATTTAGATGGATTGAAAAATGTAAAATAACATCACAAAGCCAGTATTTATTAGTGCTGATGTTTTTTTATTCTTTGTCCATACCTTTGTTGTTGAGACTTTACTTTGATTTTTTTTTGTTTCCGAGTAGCAGTATCTTCTAAACTTTCTAAAGATAAGTGCTCAGCATATATACATGTAAGTAGAAGTAATGATATCGTTCCTACATTATCAAAGACAACATTTAATACTTTCGGTACTGCACCATTTTTGTTGAACATGCATTTCCAATATAAAGTCAAGTCAGGCTTCATAATCAAGGGGTTAAAATTTGTTACTCTATCTCATATAAAATACCTATCTTCTGAAATATAATATTCTGTGACATACGTACTTACAGGTGGAGATGGCGCTTTCACTGTGGGCGAAACAGATGGCTGCGTTTACACGGCCATCGTAAGCGGGTTTCCGGGCTACGTGCAGGATCTAGAGTACATCCTCAGCGTGATGGCGACGGGTACGAGCGGTAGTTTTGATGGAGGGGTAACCGGGACCGTCCGCGTCTACGGCGGCTCGTACCCACCTCAGTTCAGCCAAGAAGAATACAGTGCTTCGGTGCTGGAGGACCAGGCTAATCAGGCGTAAGTTATACTCTTAATTTCTCTCTCTCTATCTCTCTCTCTCTCTCTCTCTCTCTCTCTCCCTTCCTCCCTCCCTCTCTCCCTCCCTCCCTCCCTCCCTCTCTATGTATGTATGACTGTGTATGCATATATGTATGTATCTATCTATCTATCTTTAATTAGAAAAGGAATATATGAAAACAATGCCATTTGTATTTTTTTTTACTGTCAGATCAGAAACGTTGGCAGCATGAAACTTTCTTGAAATGTCAATGGCAGTGATTTTGACAGCAAGAAGCTATTGCAAGTTCGCAAAAATAAAGTGCTTATGTCAGTTGAGATTCGTTTTTGCAGTATAAATAACTCACAAAATTATAGACATCATGAACCAAATTTGACTGGTGCTAAAAGAAGTTATCCAATAAAGTCTACTTCTACCGTCTCCTTCTACCATCTACTACTTCTACTTCTACCGTAAATGGAGAAGTCTTGTACTGTTGTCACCTCCTATCTGATTCTACTTTGATACTATGTTTGACTGATTTTCATTTGTTGAATAGTACATGTACAGGTACCTTTAATGGGATCCGGTAACTTTGTCTTAGATCCTTTAAAAAATATCCTTGGTTTAGCTCATGCTGCAATGAATAGTTGAAGAAAGGGAAAAATGAAGTTTGGGAGTCCAGCCGTAAATGGAGATATTAAGCTGTGAAGCTTATTTATTCGATCTGTAAAAAACAGATAAAATAACAGTGACAGATTTAGTATATCATTCTTGACATGAGATACAATACCAAACATCTGAATAAACCAAGTAATCTATAAAGATTCATTTAAACACATTTTGCTTCCGAACTATTAACTGTCAATCTTGACCTCGTCCTTTAACTATCAGATGTTCAGAGCCAATGGCTACAAAACCTTTTGCATTCTCTAATATATGCATTACTTTCAAACACTCATACTTTCAGAGTTTCTCAAACAGACCTGACTTCCCTTTAAACAGATTAATGTCAATTTGCATGAACCAAAATAAATGTAAACATCTCTATCTTGCATCTATACACAAGCTTGATTATTCACATTTATATGCACAGAATAATTTCTTCTAGAAACCTCAACATTGGATTGTCACTTTAAATGTATTGTATGACCTTCACTGACTTTGACAGGCACCTGATTTGCATATTTCTGCTCGCCTAAGAAAAACTGTCTCATAAAATGTCTTCATACAATTCAACCCTGTTTGATAAATTAAACTGAAATACCTGACTTGCTCTAAAACTTCCCAGTAATAATCTAGAGATTTACACTTCAATGCAAAATAAACTATCTGGCATAACTTGTAATTTACACCTGTAATTTACATCTGTAATCTACTCATGCAGTACACTACACTACAGCAATCCTTTTGAGTTTCATTATTAACTCTGAAATGAATAATCACTTTCTTTCAATTCTTAGTCAAAATACTATGCCAGAGGTGCAAAGCTTGACCTTTCACCAAGACAATAAATAGTGTCTTGCAACTTTTATACAAGCTAAATCAAATTCCACAGACCAACTTTTGTCACCCCAAAAAACTGCATAAAATCCAAGATTCTAGCATGCACAAATATAAACATCCTTTATCTTTAGGACTTCTACATATATACATTGTTTACTCTATAAATGACATAAAACAATATTTGCCTATTACTGTAATTCTGTTTTGACAATTATTATTGAACTGGAAAAAACACATGAATAAAAGTACGTCTTATGGGCGCGGCCATTTTAGGCGCAGCCATCTTGGGATTAATGCCACACGTGCATTATGCAAATGAGTTAAATACAGTTCTTTAGAATCCATTTTACAGTACAACTTGAATCTATCTTATTTTCCGTTTTATGAGTTCACATTCCAGTTTATATTAATCTAAACACTCACTTCTGTGGCGGGACAAAACTTCGTCGGAAATACTTGAATGGCAACTGACGGATTAACTGGTAAATGAGTCAAACTGGACTACATTTTTGACTGTGCACTGCGTTGACTGAAGAACATGGCGACAGTGCCGAACTTAACCTATGGTAGCTTATAAGAGCAAAAAAAGAGAAAATCTAAACCAAGCAAAAATCATCGCTCGGCGAAACATCCTCCCCACCCAATGAGGGAACTTTCCTCATGAAAAACATTAACATTAAATTAACACTTGCTATATTACTGTTCGTAGCCTTCAACAGGGTATACTGAATACACTTCCACAACGCGAGCGAGGGTCCATTTTCCACGTAACGCGTTGGCGTCAGCCATCAAAAACAATATCGTCGACACAAAAATTGCGACGATCAATGTTCCACTTCCATCTTGGCGTCAATAACGGGAGCACGTCTCTTCTCAAACGCTGCCAGAAGGCGTCTGCAATCCGTTGGACGAGCTCTACTCGATGCCTTGGGTTCTTGGGTTCTCGGAACGGCTCTTGTGCGACATCACTGGATGCACATCCTAACAGCATGTCATTAGGACTCAGATAGCTCCCATCATCAGGATCAGTCGGGATTCTGCCAATCGGCGGTTGATTGTCTGGATTGGCCACCTCTATCAGGCATGTATACAGATCAAACGGTGTCAGGATTTGCTCTCCAATGGCTCTCTTGAGAGCAGACTGGCAGCTCTTCACCAATGACTCGGCGCAGCCGTTGTGATGCGGGGCTATGAACGTCCATTTCGTTCCCTTTACAGTACAGAACTCCTTTAACACACGTTGAGCACCTACAAACTGAGTACTGTTATCACTCCAGATCTGTGATTGCTTCCCTCTCAAAGCAAAGATTTGACGAAGTATTTGAACAAACTCCATCGCGGAACATTCAGTTGCAAACTCTAAATGCAGACATGTGAACAAAACTGGTGGTGTATGTGGGGCTAGTCTTTCTCTGGGTAACTCGGTCATTTCCTGTGATTCTGCCTTCTGGTCAAATGCTCCACACACTGCACATTTGAACTTTTCAGTCTTTGCCAGTCTATGCCCCTTCAGAATCCAGTACCTCCTTCTGGCCTTTGCTGTGGTAGCTGCAACTCCAGTATGACCACTCATGTGAGCATGTCGTGTGGTCAAGGTAGATATCCCGTGTTCGAAAGGAAGCAGGTCTGGGTGTTCCCTTTCAAACGACATCTCAGCTCTATCTACTCTGTCTCCTACTCGGATGATGCCCGTACCGTCTGTGTGAGCACTAAGGGCTTTCAGTTCTCCCATATCGTCTCTGCCTTTCAGTGACTTCTTGGCATTCTGGATCAATACTGCTTCTCCTTGCTCCAACTCATCAGGTGTCAAAGTGCCAATGTTGTCATTATCACCAACATCAATTTCCTTCCTGCACTTTGATCTCAGATTTCGTACAAACTTCAGCACATATAATGTCACTCCTATCAACTTTCTCCAGCTGAAGAACCTCTTGCAGTCAATGACGTCCTCTTTGTTGGTTACTATCAAGACTGATTGTTCTTCTTTACCTCTTTCTGATTCAACTTTAGGCACCTTTCCCTCTAGCTTTGGTTCTTCTGGCCACTCTGACTTTGGTTGGCACAGAAAATCAGGTCCGTGCTGCCATCTGCCGTCAAACTCATCTTCACTCAAATCTTGGGTGAGATCATCTGCAACATTCACCTCTGCTTCTTGCCTGCTGATACCACTAGGATGGCACTGCACTGGATCATGACAAACTTCAACTGGTTCTGTCGTCCAGAAATCATTGAAGTCCACTGAGTTGGCAAGCATAACATTCATAACTATACTCTTGGTTGGCTGTTGCTTTGAGGTAGCTCCAAACACTACCCATCCTAAAGGTGAATGCCTTGCCAACATATTCCCTCTCTCTCTGGTTTCTCCTTTATGAAGCTTAGCATGATCGGTTCCTACTAACACATCGATGGATCCAAAACCACGGTGTAAAAGATCCTTCTTCAGGTGGAATGTCCTTGCAAGCTCATCAACCCGAACTTCTGCTACATTATCGTTGATGCACTCCAACCCAAGTGCCGACACTCCGTAAGCCTGCTTGCCTTCAAGTGACTGTAGTCTCATCCTATACAGTTTCGTCTTCACTGCTTCAACACGGCCTCCGACTTTCGTGATGTTGATCGTGATCGGTTTCCCAACCAAACCCATGTCGTCTGCCATCGACTGCTTCACAAGACTGATCTGGGATCCTGAGTCTATTAGACAGTTAGCTGTTGAACTCTTCTGATCTGGACCCAGCACTTTCACCGTAACCACTGGCAGTAGGGCGGAATTTCCAGCTACACTGGCTACTATCTCAGTTCTGGTTTCAACTTCCCTGTGCAGCAGAGGATGATGAAATGAAGAGCACTGCTCCCCATTTATCTCTTTAGAGCACCTCTTCCTTCTCTTGCAGGTTCTCATGTTGTGCTCTCTGCCTGCCTTCTTGAGACAACTAAAACATGCATGATTGTCTCTCATTAACTGAAACCTCTCTGTCTGACTCTTGGAGAGGACCTTCTGGCAATGTTCAACCCAATGATCAGAAGATTTGCAGATCCAGCATCTGTACTGGGTAAATTGGGTATTCTCACTGTTCTGTTTGTTGTCAGCACTTACATGGTGGACTGCATTCTTCTGTCTGCTGCTACTAGTTGCACTTCTAAGCGGTGCAGTGGCCCGCATACGTGTCATCATCTCCGTCTCCATCCAGTCCAGTAAGTGCTGCAAACGGACATCCTTGTCAGCACTTTCTACATGTCTGAACCACACCTTCCGGTCTTCGAGGGTCATCTTGCGCTCTATCAGAGCCAACGTTTGGCTGTTGTCAATGTCTTGTGGACAGCCAACTTCCTTCAGTGTATTGAAGCTTCGCCTCAACAGGTGCACCAGATCGCAAAATCTGGAGTCCTCTCCGTCCCTCAAATCCCTAAAAGAATTCACATCGTAGATAATGGCATCTGCTATAAATCGCCGGTCACCGAAAACAGAGTTCAGGTATGCCCAAGCAGCATCGTAGTCGTTGCCTACCCCTCTTATCATGTCCAAGGGCTTTCCCTGGAGGCAGGTACGCAGTATGGTGACCGCATCTCTCTTGCTATATCGAGTATCGATTAGATGATGAAAGTCCGATCGAAACGTAGCAAACTCTCTTACGTCACCGCTGAACTTTGGAAGTTTTGGGCGTTCCATCTGTACTTTGCAGGAGGTGACAACACGTGAGTCAACCTCTGCCTCTCTGCTCCAGGGTTCTTGTTAATTTTTCTGATAGCAGGCTATTTATGATTTACAGGAGGCTACTAAAATTGCAAAAGAAAAATCTCTGTGCACGTAGCGCACATCTCCATGTGCGCGAAGCGCACATCACGAGCGCGAAGCGCGAAGTCCCTTGCGGCCGGGGTCCAGGAAGCTTTAGGGTTTTAGATGCTCTCTGGTGCTATCTTAGCCTTATTTTTGAAGATATGACCACACTGTATGAGCCATAGTTTAATGATAAAGATCATGAATATTTTGGCTGAATAACTTACTTTTCATATGATATACAATATGAAATGAAAATGCTCCATTATTGTTTCTGATAAATCAATCATATTTGTGATGAATCTACAATTTTGAATTACATGATAATGATACAAGGTAGTCCTGGGCAAAAACAGTTAACTGACGTTTACAGGACCTTGTCAGTGAAGAAAATCGTTTGCGATGAAAAATTAAAAAAATAATAATTAATAATTATTTCTATAGACTCTAGGCCTACGAAAAAAAAATAGTTTTCGGTACTTTTCTTCCAATCGCCATGCGCTTAACGTTTATATGCAATATGCCACCTCTGTTTTTCGAATTGGTAAAATAGATCGCTAAAAGTAAAAGTAAAAATGTTACAACACGAAAAGAAAAGATCCAGAAAAAAACCTTTTTGTTGTTGTATTGAACCAATTATCAAATAGATATAAGGATTATATCGGTGTTGGACAAAGTTCTGAGTACATATGAGTACAAATTTTCATTTTTTATTCACAATACGGTAGATCTAACTTAGGATTACGAAGTATAAATAGCAATGCCAATGCGGGTGATCATTTGGACGCAGAGCGAGCTCTGGAGCTGGCCTCTTTAAATTATTGCGAGCGGAGTTCGCTGGCTTGAGCTTGTTTACGAACGTACGTCTACGGTCTAGTCTCTGTGACAGTGTATGTGTATAGCGTGCCGCACCGGTTGTGCAGCGCTCGTATTCTGAATCGAATCGTGCATCGCCAAATCAATCACAGTTTCACACTAGGCCTGAGTCAAACCGTTTAACCGACGGTTATCCGACCGCATTCATCAAAACCGTTTAGCATTTCTCGCTCCGGTTAACCGTTATTTGCATACATTTTGGAATGTGCTAATAGCCGATGATAAAGATAATCAAAGAAACCGCAGTGTAATGTTACACCCTGGCCGCTGCGCGCCAGCTTTCTGGCAGCAGTAATTCCCATGAATGAATTTGTAAACAATAAAACAACCAGCCCCCTTCTCTCTTTTCTCACCCTCTTTATTCCCTTCTCTTCTGCAATGTGTTCATCGCTCATGTACCTTTTCTTATTACTGCACTCTCAGCTCACAACTTTCTAAATGTTTACACATTCGATGGTCAGTTGCTCTCACATCCCTTCTCCCCCGAGTCTCTCTCTCTCTCTCTCTCAATATTAATATCCATCCCTTGCCGACTCGCCCCCTAAAATAATGTTCATATATAAATAAAATACAAAAATATTGATAACAATAATAATTGAATTTTTAGAAATATCAATCAACAAAGTCTTGAATATTGTGAGTAATTTAAGTTTTTGATCATTCTTCAATTCAGCCGATTAACACAGCCATCCTTTCTATCGAGTCTCACTTGTCTTACTTGTCTTACTCATGTCCCTGCCTCGTCCATGCAGGGACATGCAGGGACATGCTAGCCCATGCATGCTCTCTCAGTCACACACACATGTACACACAAACCTCCGGCGCCCAAATACACTGTACATACACACAGATGGAGAGCTCATGCTTGTCACATGCACACTTGTGGGCGTGGCTTCTTGACCTCCCACTGAACTGGGTACGGTGAAAGCACGCGCGGTCACCAACCTGTAATTTATGCTGGTATCAAACTCCACCCACATAGCTAGAGAACCTTCCTCATTGGTCACTAACTTGGATCAGCTCATTGCAGGGTGTGTCTTGGGTGTGTGTGATACACACTTCCACATAATTTCATATGGCAATGATACATGCAGGGAGCTCTCTCCCTGACCATGTGCAAACATTGCATTGCAAAGGCATATATAAACACGTCACAGATCAGCTATCTTCACAGAGTAACTTTGCAAGGTTAATCATGATATCAAGTACAGATGAGGAATAATAAGACATGTTTTATGTTGTTTATTAGTGGTCTCTGTTTATCAGGATGACCCAATTTGTGCCATAGTCCGGGGCTGGGAATGCTCAGCCCGACAGTCTGAAGACCAGCAGGGTTTGAGATAGCGACTTGACCGAATATGATGTGATTTTTGTATTATTATTTTTTTTTTTTTTGGAGAGGCTTACAGCCGGCTACGATTGCCGTTACAGCCGGAAAAAATAGCCGGTTGCCGGCTATTAACAAGAACCCTGCTGCTCACAGTCTCATTCTCTTGCCCTGCTGTCTCTGCGGCTACAGACGATGCAGCAGTAGCTCCGATTGGACCATCACTCACATCCGGTACAGTTACAATTGCCTTTGACTTGGCATGGTCCCTTATTCTCATCTGCATATCAATGAATGTAGACTGGCAGCTTTCCAACCAGGCTTCCTCTTTAATGAATTCATCATCATCATCAATGGTCTCACAGAAGGCCTCATGCCTTTTCTCTAAATCTATAAATGTAACTTGCAAACCTTGGAAAGCTTCGTCAACCTCCTCAAGGTCCCTGTCATGGTCCAACAAATGCTGCAAGGCGTTGGACATCCGGGTTAGCTTAGCCTTTGCAGTTCTCCTCTTGATCTTGAGGTCCTTTACATCTTGTTCAGTTGTCATCTTGGTTAACTTAATCCCTTCGTCTCCTATTCCAGGTCAGCGTAGAAATCGAATGCAATGAATAGTTGAAGAAAGGGAAAAATGAAGTTTGGGAGTCCAGCCGTAAATGGAGATATTAAGCTGTGAAGCTTATTTATTCGATCTGTAAAAAACAGATAAAATAACAGTGACAGATTTAGTATATCATTCTTGACATGAGATACAATACCAAACATCTGAATAAACCAAGTAATCTATAAAGATTCATTTAAACACATTTTGCTTCCGAACTATTAACTGTCAATCTTGACCTCGTCCTTTAACTATCAGATGTTCAGAGCCAATGGCTACAAAACCTTTTGCATTCTCTAATATATGCATTACTTTCAAACACTCATACTTTCAGAGTTTCTCAAACAGACCTGACTTCCCTTTAAACAGATTAATGTCAATTTGCATGAACCAAAATAAATGTAAACATCTCTATCTTGCATCTATACACAAGCTTGATTATTCACATTTATATGCACAGAATAATTTCTTCTAGAAACCTCAACATTGGATTGTCACTTTAAATGTATTGTATGACCTTCACTGACTTTGACAGGCACCTGATTTGCATATTTCTGCTCGCCTAAGAAAAACTGTCTCATAAAATGTCTTCATACAATTCAACCCTGTTTGATAAATTAAACTGAAATACCTGACTTGCTCTAAAACTTCCCAGTAATAATCTAGAGATTTACACTTCAATGCAAAATAAACTATCTGGCATAACTTGTAATTTACACCTGTAATTTACATCTGTAATCTACTCATGCAGTACACTACACTACAGCAATCCTTTTGAGTTTCATTATTAACTCTGAAATGAATAATCACTTTCTTTCAATTCTTAGTCAAAATACTATGCCAGAGGTGCAAAGCTTGACCTTTCACCAAGACAATAAATAGTGTCTTGCAACTTTTATACAAGCTAAATCAAATTCCACAGACCAACTTTTGTCACCCCAAAAAACTGCATAAAATCCAAGATTCTAGCATGCACAAATATAAACATCCTTTATCTTTAGGACTTCTACATATATACATTGTTTACTCTATAAATGACATAAAACAATATTTGCCTATTACTGTAATTCTGTTTTGACAATTATTATTGAACTGGAAAAAACACATGAATAAAAGTACGTCTTATGGGCGCGGCCATTTTAGGCGCAGCCATCTTGGGATTAATGCCACACGTGCATTATGCAAATGAGTTAAATACAGTTCTTTAGAATCCATTTTACAGTACAACTTGAATCTATCTTATTTTCCGTTTTATGAGTTCACATTCCAGTTTATATTAATCTAAACACTCACTTCTGTGGCGGGACAAAACTTCGTCGGAAATACTTGAATGGCAACTGACGGATTAACTGGTAAATGAGTCAAACTGGACTACATTTTTGACTGTGCACTGCGTTGACTGAAGAACATGGCGACAGTGCCGAACTTAACCTATGGTAGCTTATAAGAGCAAAAAAAGAGAAAATCTAAACCAAGCAAAAATCATCGCTCGGCGAAACATATACCTTGAGGTAAAGTCAGGAACCCCATGACATTTACAAGCCGATCGCCTGTCTGATATCAAGACATTTATGATTGAAAATCGAAATCAAATTTTGCGTTTGCCTAACAGTCTAACACTAAAGTCTATTGGGGAAAACGAGTATGGTAAAACTGGTCACTCAAAGGTTTTTACTGTTTTGAGGCACTTCTTGATCATTTTGAAGCGCAATTTTTTTAGGGCTTCAATTTAACACCATATCACAGACACTGATATCACATAGGGCTGTGCATCTCAGATTTAACATTGTTAATCCATCCCTTTTTTTAAAGCAAAATTAAAAGTTACACTGAGCTAAAAACAAACTAAAACTAAAAGAGCTGCGTTGTGTGAAAGCGTGTCTCAGCACCTAACTCCAAACCATTGTCTCCTTAGGGTCATCCAAGTCACAGCATCATCCTTCTCACGCAACGTTCCATTGACCTACTCCATCGTCGGCCCAGAAAACAGACCCCTCCACACCATCAACCCCAACGACGGTACCATCACTCTCGTAGACGCCATCTTAGCAGAGGATCTGCTATCCTACTTCTTGACAGTGAGGGCCACGGAACAGGTGGTTGATGGACTCTCGTCTGAAGTTAGGGTAGGTATACCAGGCCTGATAATTACCCAATTTAAATCGGTTTCCCAATTTTATTTATTTTTTAATATTTTTTAGAAAACAATTTTCCTGATTTTCCCCTTATTTTTCCTATTTTTCCCTTTCTTTCCCGATTTTTTTCCAATCTTTTCCAATTTTTTTCCAATTTTCTTTTTTTTTTTCCTGAATCTTTTTTTGATTTTTGTTACTCAAGGGGGAGGTAGTATACCCCTTATTACGCCATATTCACAATCCAAAATGAGATTACTCCTATGAAAGGGAATAGTTCAACTTTCTTGTTAATGGCTATTCTAAAATATCACATTTTTGTAGAGAAAGATAACCCCCCAAAAGAAAGCACAAAATAAGAACAATAATAATAACCACAATCAAACAAAGAATGACATTTGAAAAAAAACATGAGTGAAGCGTTCTTATAATAAAGGACAATAGTGAAGTGATGAACACAGAAAAGAAACTTGCCAAGAACCACATAGATTGAAAACACCAACATAGATATTTGTGTGTGGTGACATCACACTTACTTGTAAGAGTTGATGTTTTCATAGCTAAATTTCAATAAGTTGTGTACTGGTATAAGGCAAAATGGAAGATGGATTCCTTTACAATAGTACCGGTAGTTATTTCTATTTTAGATTTGAAGAGAATTGTATCCTACCAGGAAGCACTGTTGAATGAAAAGTTACCTGTACAGTATAGTTTTGCAAAATGGAAGATGAATTCCTTTACAATAGTACCTGTAGTTATTTATATTTTAGATTTGAAGAGAATTGTATCCTACCAGGAAGCACTGTTGAATGAAAAGTTACCTGTACAGTATAGTTTTGCAAAATGGAAGATGAATTCCTTTACAATAGTACCGGTAGTTATTTATATTTTAGATTTGAAGAGAATTGTATCCTACCAGGAAGCACTGTTGAATGAAAAGTTACCTGTACAGTATAGTTTTGCAAAATGGAAGATGAATTCCTTTACAATAGTACCTGTAGTTATTTATATTTTAGATTTGAAGAGAATTGTATCCTACCAGGAAGCACTGTTGAATGAAAAGTTACCTGTACAGTATAGTTTTGCCTTAGGATATCAAACGCTGGATTATCATTGCCATGACATCAGCCAAGCTTCCGTGTCAATCATGCTCTTGATCAGTAAATGAAGTGTTCGATTCCAAAACATCCATAAGCAAAGTTCAGAGAAAATTTCTCATTATCAATTTGAAATGAAACTCAGTCATATGGGACTATTGTGTACAGGGATGACGTAATCACTCTTATTAAAAAAAATTACGGTCCATAGTTTTTGTGTAATTAATCAATCGGTTTAAAAAAAATATGTGGATGTAGAATGTTTTGGAACCGAACACATTTTTTCTAAGGCTCGATCTAATTATTTTCTCATAGGAAAGGTAAGTTTTTGATTTGTCAATGTGCATGTATGAACCATCCAATCTCTCTCATTCTTTCTATTTTTCTTGTGCGCCTCGTAATAGAATTGTCAAGATAGACGGCGCTATATAAATGCCTATTATTATTATTATTATTAACCTAGTACTAGAAATTAGAATATTCTTCAAAGAGGTCAACTTTGATCTAAACTGGATATGGCATGCTTAGGAACTGAACACTTCTTTCTTTACATTATATTTTATCACCTGACGAAGTGTTGACGAACCGTCGTGATCTTTTAGATTCCTTGTTGACCATACATTGCAAGACAAACAAATATAACTAGCGATATTATTTTCGATGCTCCATCTGCAGTGAGTAATATATTTAGCATTATTGAACTCTTCTTATACTCTTTTCAACCTAGGTCAATGTGATGGTTGAAGATGTTAACAACTGTGTTCCTACTTTTGGACAAGACATTTTGAGTTTCAATGACGTTCTCGAAACAACCGCTATTGGAGAGCCCGTTGGTACAGGTGAGTTCTATTTTCTTTCGTATGTACAGTCAAACCTGTCTATAAAGACCACCCAAGGGAAACAGAGAAAAATGGCCACTGTAGACAGGTGGCCTTTCTAGACAGGTTGTACAATACACGATTCTTTCTCAAGGGAGACAAAATGCATGGCCACTATAGACAGGTGGTCTTTATAGAAAGGTGGTCGCTAATACAGGTTTGACTGTATTATCATCATCATCATCATCATCATCATCATCATCATCATAAAATTCTGTTTTACCAATGCTGTGGGAGTGGATATTTCATTTCCCTTTGCAGCATCCACCTGGGTGAGGCCCAGGGTGCGTTCAAGTGATTTTTGAACAAACATGAATCACAAATCAAAATGCCGTTACACAACACAGTTACTGCGGGAGATCGTTCAAGCGATTTTCATCAACAGTAGCTGCGACCATGAAAATCTCAGAATCTCAGTTTTCAAACAGGGCTATTTTTTCTTCACCACTGTAATGTTTAAACCATCTTTCATCCTTTTGATAAGTTCTTAATCATTTCATTGAACTTTGCGCCATACATTTCATCCTCAGTTACGGCTACCGACTGCGACGTGGGGCCGAATGCGGAGTTAACCTACTCCATCACCACCCCCAGCAGCGGCTTCACGATTGGCAGTGACACCGGGGTGCTCTCCCCCGCCGTCGTCTTGGACTATGAGGAAGGGGAGCGCTTCTACACCTTTGCCATCTCCGCCACCGATGGGGGAACTCCCCAGCTGAGCAGCACCGCCACCGTGGTCATCTCCATCGCCAACGATGAGGAGGCTCCCTACTTCACGCCACCCTCATACAGGTTCAGAATGGACGAAGTTGCACAGGTCAACTATGAAGTGGGAACGGTGTATGCAAGCGACGACGATGTAAACGACGTGCTGACCCTTTCCATCGATGGTGGAGATGGCACATTCAGGATCGACCAATTTGGTAAACTGTCTCTTCATCTTATCTTCAGTACTTAGTTGAGATATTACTGAGTATTCCTTGCACACTGCAACCTTGATAACTGGTTTGGTATAGAACTTTAAATGTTAAATTGTAATCCAACACATGTGTTTTCATTAATTTTCCAATGTCCAGTATTTTCTCACTCTGGCAAATTAGCATAGGCTTTTTTGTGTACAAAATAGCTAATTCTAGGTGATTTTCAGACCCTCTGATCAATTCTAACTGGCATCCCTGGTGATAGGTCAGAGTAAAACAAAAGTTCCAGGATATGTATCACCTTTACGCTACCCTAGGGGCAGTGTCCAGGGGGGTGTTTTACAAAGATCTTACTTAACTCCAAGCTGGACTTAAAACATTATGTAGAGCCATTTGTAGCCTTGAAATAAAATACATTAAAGCAATAAATTCAAGTATTTTAGACTTTTTATAAATTCCAAATCAAGAATATGAAATTTCTTTGATAATAGAAAATATGAATGATTAGAATCAACATTTTATGCCTTTTAAAATAGCTTTTACAAAATATTTCATAGATGCTAAACAGCTTTCCATAAACGTAAAGTCTAACTTAGAGATAAGTTAAACTTAGGATCTTTTTAAACATCCCCCCCCCCCCTGGTGTCACAGTGTAAGTATTATTTGTAGAGGCACACTGTATATCTCCAAAACCTTTTAAGGTAAGGTGTTATGAAAATCCTAATGGAACTTTCTAACTCTTCAATCTGTATCACTTGCAGGAGTTATCTCTGTGGCCAGAGCAGCGGTCGAATCTAGCTATATGTTTGCTGTCGTGGCTACAGACATGGCGAACAACGAAGCCAATGCAACCGTTGAAATCTCTGTCACCGATCTCAACGACAACATTCCAATATTTCCAGAGTGTGATAATTACAGAGGAGAAGTGTCTGAAGATGCAACCATTGACACGGACGTCATAACAGTGAGTGTAGACGGTATCGTCTGTTGAGATCTAGAAGGGCAATTTCATTTCATTTATTTATTTAAGCACGGAGGCCTACCTCAGCCCGCGGACTGTTCGTCCGTAGGGCCGTGCATATACATAAAAAACATACGATATCAAAATAACATATAAACAACATAATTCAACATAATAATGATAACATAAATATATACAAAACAAATATAACATACACTAAAAATACATATGAAATATCTAAAGGGGACGGGGATTACTCATTAATGGCTCTTGATTCCATATACTTATTTAGATTACGTTTGAAATTCATGATAGATAATTCACGTTTAAGTTCTGGTGAGATTGAGTTCCAGCACTTCGCACCGAAGTCTCAAAACATGTTTTTGATTTAGGTAGTAAGAAATTATTAATTGAATTTCTCATATATTATAATTACATTTTTTTAGTTCAAATAAATCTAGCAAGTAATAACTCTGAATCAATTGATGGGTGAGTTCTGACATCCAAATGAATAAACATGCGCTGGTATCAGAACAATCAATCTTATTTCATGAATTACACAGTTCGGACCACTTTGGTCATTTCGTTTGGTGGCTAGCATTTTGCTGCGCTGCACTGGTCGAACGATATGGACCCGCGAGCGCAAGAATTGGCCTGTCGCGGCTAGCCGGCGGGAGCACTGTTACTTGTGTCTCCAATCCATTGGGGTTATGATAGCGGAGACCCGTGGTCTCAAACCTGCCTGTCTACCGAGTTACCATGCATTATTGTTCCTTTTACAGTCCTCTTCACAAAGGGAGGATATTTTTCGTAATAAACCTGTTTTCCAATTACCAATATCCTGGATTATAAGATGATGACGTGGATCCTAATCAAATGATTGGTTGAAAGCGTACACGTGACCAGGCATTTATTTTGCCTAACGCGTAATCGCGCATAATTTAGGTAATGACCGGTCATCATAAAAATCATGTTAGAAAACATCATTTTATAAAACAAATATAACATAATCTTATAAAACAAATAATACACATCATTTTGTTCGGGCATTAGTAAAATTAGTCACACTTGGTACCTTCAAAACAGTCCAAACGTTAGACTGTTCCAAAGGTACCTCGTGTGGGTAATTCTTACTAATGCCCTCACTGATGTGTATTATTTGTATACTATTGTACAACATGTTGTATGCCGCATCTTGTTCCTCCGTAGGTGACGGCGACAGACTCTGACCAGGGATCCAACGCCGAGATTAGTTACAAGCTCTCGTCTAACAGTGATGCAAGCCGGTTCTTCCGGGTTGACCAGAACGGCCTCATCACCACCAATACCTTGCTGGATCGTGAGACCACTGCAGTCTTTGAGGTGACGGTTGAAGCAGAGGATGATGGGAACCCCGCTCTGACAGGGTTCTGTACGTTCACCGTCGAAGTGACGGATGTGAACGACAACTTCCCTGCATTTCCTTTCACGGGATATCAAAGTAAGCAAAGTGACAATATCGTTATTTCTTGCTTTTTAAAAAGTTTTTTGATTTTTTTTTGCAGGATAATAAAAGTTTTGAAAAATAGCAATACCTTTATTCTTGCTTTAAGAAAATGCAGTTTTTTTGACAGGATATTAAAGTGGGCATAATTGACAATACCATAATTTGTTTACTTTACGAAAATGAAGTTTGGGGTTAAAGAATTTTTGTACCTCATAGATGTTCCATAAACTCTAGTGGTGGGTCACATAAATTTGATTGCAGGCCAATTTGTGCTCTTGCAGACGTCACTATTCGTGAATTCCCCTTCATGCATTTCAGTTGAACGTAAGATTTCAAACAGCTCCTTTATGTTTTGCAAAGTGATAATGATGGCCCTTGAAAATACATCCTTGCTGACTTTGTACTTTGATGTGTTCTATTACAGCTTCAATATCAACCAGTGCAGCACCTTTGGATGTAGTAATAGAGGTGCAAGCCGATGATCTGGATTTAGATTCAGATTTGACATACTCTCTTAGCGCAGCAGATGGTGGTGAATGCAATACTGGATATTTTATTATTGAGCCCGCTACAGGACGCATCATTGTTAGACAAGACCTTTCTCCACTAATAGTAAGTGACACTATGACTTGTATTCATAAGGATGGGACTGAGTTAAACCTGTTATTTACTATTATTCTGCAGCAAAATAAATCAACGATATTGATTTCCAGAAGTGGGGTTCAAGAAAGTGAAAATAGAGCTTGATTTTAGGATGCCATGATTTTTTTAAATACGTTTACTTAGCTACAGAAATTGGTTATGTTTAAGTATTTCCAGTAAAGGAATAAAGAGGTTGACACCCAGAGCTTCATAAATTAGTGAAATAAATCTGCCGCCTTAACCCTATATAGCCTGGGGGGGGGGCTTTAGAAGCCCCTCCCCCTCTACATTTTTTGCAATAATTCTTTAATGCAAAAGAATCTTGCGCTGAAATTGTATGACTTTTTTCTTTTGAGTCTTGCGTATCATTGATTATTTCTTTTTGAGAATTGGACCTACCTTTACGAAGTCATGTGACCTTTTGCCTTTGCATGTCAGCCCGAAAATCGCTCTTTTTCGTAGATTGGGTACAAAACATATTGAAATATCATTTTTCCAAAAAAGAGATAAAACATTAGTTATTTGGTCTTGTTTATAGTTAAGGTGTTTATTTTGGGGGTCTAAATAGTTGAATTACAGGTGTATAGTTATAAATGAAATAAAACAACAAAAACAATAAAATACATAAGTTCAAAAAACAAAGAAATATATAAGAAATTTTCAGAACAATAGATAACACAAGGAATAACCTGGCTCTTCCAATTTTTGTTTTAGCAGTATTATTCCAAATGTTCTAAAGAATATATGTAGTGCAAACTAATGCTTAAATATGAAGAATATAGGATTTATGGGTAAAAATGTGAATTTTATGTCCTTAATTGCATAAATTGCGACAATTTTTACGGCCGAGATCATGGGGGGGGGGGCCTTAGAACCCCCTCCCCCCCCCCCCCCCAGGCTATGCAGTTTCAAAATAGCCCAGGCTATATAGGGTTAAACCCAGACTAAAGTTAGTACACTGAATAAAAAATGTACCTCAGATGAAAGCAGTTGGTAGAATTTGTGTTGAAGTAATTGTATGTTTTATTAAATCAAGGGCACCGATGGAAACATAAATGAACAAGATTGCATAGTGACGGCAGAGGATGTTGGTCGCCAAGCTACCGATGTTCCCGTACAAATTGATGTTAGAAGCAGCGATGACACCAGCTACCAAGTCCCTACGTTTTCTGGTACACCCTATCAAGTCACCATCAGGGAAGACTCAATGTCGCAGGAAGTCTTACTGGTGTCTGTTACGGGAACTGCCCAAGTTGGATTCAATATCATTCGTGGGTCGCGTCCATCCACCAACTTCAATCGTAATTTTGGCTTGAGTAACGATGATAATCAGTTCACATCAAGTTACATTACCGTGTTGGAGGCTCTTGACTTTGAATCTGTTGAGCGGTGAGTTTTTTTCTCAACACCTTTGAACCATGTCACATGTGTACAACACTTTGTATACTTCATTTTCGTTTCAGTCAGTAGTGGAAAAATTACCTGTTTAGGTCTGGAGAAGCTTGCAGCACTGCAAGTGAAAGCCGACCCAAACAGATGATTTTCCACCGATTGTGAAGAAAGAACTAATTAACAAGTCATATTACCAATCAGATGAACCTCTTAAAGATAAACTTGAGTTCTGGTAAAAACAGAAAATGAATTGTCACAAAATCAAATGAAACTTACACTTAATGTTCAAGATTATAAATAAATATCATTTGCCAAACAATTCTGGTAGAAAATGTATACTGGCTGAGTAATGAGCATAGAAAGATAAGGAAATCAAGGTATAGTAGCCCCTGACACCATTTGTGTTGTCCCATATACATCTTTGTATGTACAGTGCTTGTTACTTTACCAAGACTGGGCCAAATTTATTATGATTTTGATGACTCCAGGAACTTGCAGTACACACCAATACTTACATGCTACATAATCAACTTTTCTGATCCATTCCACACCTTTTCTTTTACAATGCAATTGCATGACCAGAACTCAACTTTATCTTTAAGTACATTTTCATTTACTTGAATCATTTTTCTTGATGTCGTCAATCTCTCTTGGGACTCTAGCTCATTACCTTTTACTCCTTTTCAATCGCTCATTTACGAAACTAATTTCAGTTGCTGCTAATCATAATTAGCCCGCGTACATCTGAGTAACTGGAAAGTAACTGAATGTGGTTAGGTGGACTTTTCACAGGTGCCTCAGAATGATTTTGCACATGGTTGTTCGAAATATGGCAAGAAATAGCTGAAGTGTTGGACCAAACTTTCCTTTCACATGTTTGTTTAGTTCCATCTACATATTTCTATGACAAGTGTTTTTTGATAATGCTATAGAGATGGTGATGTGTATACGGTTTGTTCTTGCATGCATGTAGAATGGATTTCATTTGACGTCCTGTCGAAAGAAAATATTCTTTTAATATCTGAGAATGAATCAAAATCAAATTTGTTATTGTAATGTATGCATGAAGTTAATTTAAGAGAGAAAAGACAAATGCATGTCATGTATATTATAATTCTTATCAGCAATGATTATCATGTTTTTAATTTGCAGGTACGATTTGATAGTAACAGCTAGGTACCCAAACTCGCCCTACACCGTGGAGACCAACGTAATCATCACGATCCTGGACGTCAACGACGAGACACCCATCTTCCCTGCATTCACATTCTATGGAAACATTGCAGAAAACCAACCACTACCCAATAATGATCCTGTCATTACATTAGAGGCCACAGATTCAGATGTAACTCCAGGGTTCAGCCAGGTTTGTACTGCATCATACTTTGTTTGTCGTATATATTCAACCCATTTTTATGGCGCCGCAACGAAGTAGCCGGAGGCATTATGTTTTTCGGTTGTCTGTTCATCCGTACGTCCCGTTCTCGTGATCTCAAGAACTGATTGATGGATTCCCGCCAAACTTGGGTCATGTATGTATCTTACAGAGCCCAAGATTAAATGTTGGGGTCAGGAGGTCAAAGGTCACAGGGCTCATTATGTATGCAAAAAAAGCTCGTGATCACATTATCATTAGAACCAATCGACGGATTATCATCAAACTCAAGACCTGTTTCTACCTTGCTGAGCCAATGAACTGATTAGATTTTAGGGTCATGAGGTCATACATGTATATGAAAAATAGAATGTAATCACGATATTCTGAGAACCTGTTAATGGATTACAATCAAACTTGAATTTTAAAAACTTGCTTCTATTTTGGTTTGTGAAATCGCTATATGGCGGAGGCATCCTTTTCGACTGTGCGCAGTCGAAGATCCATCTACAGAGATGCCAACTGTTCCGTTTTTGCCGTATTTGTTCCGTTTTTTCGCTATGAATACGGCAGTACGTTTTTAAATTTTTTTATTTATTTATTTATTTATTTATTTATTTATGGCCTTACATAATGCACACACCCTCCTCCCACTTCAAAAGAAACGCTCGCATCAATCATTCTGAACGCTGACAGAACGCTTTCTGAGTCTCTTGCGGCAAGTTCTCTGTGGTACACAAGTTTTGCTGCTGCCGCCGCGTGCCACATTTGTTCATGCAATAATCGGTCATTCCGGCCAAGGCGTTTGTGTATGCGAACTCTGAAGCGATGCCTGTGGAAACACATGCACGTTTGCCTTTTTAAAATGAGACAAGCTATTCATTACTGTTCACCCTCTTGCAGATTGTGTACAGTATTGACGGCGATCAGACGGACTTCAGGATAGATGAAAACTCGGGAGAGATATTCGCTATAACTGAATTCGATCGGGAAGCTGTGGCCGAAGATACCATTCCACTCACAGTCATAGCATCGGATGGTATCAATGAGAGTAAGTTTGCAGCAGGAGTTCAAACAAAATCTGGCTGGTTCAATTCAATTCAATTCAATTCAATTCAGTTCAGTTCAGTTCAGTTCAGTTCAGTTCAATTCAATTCAGTTCAGTTCAGTTCAGTTCAGTTCAGTTCAGTTCAGTTCAGTTCAGTTCAGTTCAGTTCAGTTCAGTTCAGTTCAGTTCAGTTCTGTTCAGTTCAATTCAATTCAATTTATTTCAACCATAAAAAATACATATAAAATAATTCAAATGGAAATATAAAAACATGGTGTTAGGAGCCCCAAAGAAGTTTGAATACAAACTTGTGGTTGGGGCACCAACCATGACATATATATCAAGAAATTAAAAAAAATAAACAAAAAAACATTAAAGGTAACACAAATGTATACAAGAAAAAGATTATAAAGACCTATATATGAGCATAAAACATTTACAGCAAAGCACTAGCCATGAGCGCACATGGACACTGCGTCAAATCCACCACAGGGAGATGACTGTAACCTCTCGTGTGTTTTAAATGCATCCATTTCCTGTTCTTGGAGATGGGTTAGGAAAAGATGGAAACACACATGAAGGTCTCATCAAGGTTCAACTACATAGAATCAGACTTGCATGGGACAAAATGAGATCAGACCTTTAAAATCTGAAGATGAAATCAATTCCAGTTCATGTTTCCTTCTACTAGATATATAGCACTGTTAAAGAGAAGGTTGAGTTCTGGGAAGAGGTGACAAATAATTTGTGAGCGTTATCATTGTATTATGCAAGTGTGAAAGAACATCAGATAAAAAATGTTCCTGGAAAAGCATGGCTTTTCAAATGTATTAATAATCTAAATATGGGATGTAACATCATCGTAGTCCCATATATATCTTTCTGTGTACAGAGCTTGTAAATTTTCCGAGACTGGGCCAAATTTCTTATCATTTTGATGATTCCAGAACCTTGCACTACACACTAATACTTATATGCTAGATGATCAACCTTTTCTGATCGATTCCACAACGTTTCTTTCACAATGCAATAGCATGACCAGAACTCAACTTTATCTTTAAAGCTAGTGCTGCTGCGGCTGCTACTACTACTACTACTTCTACTGCTGCTACTACTACTACTACTACTTCTACTACTACTACTACCTGCTTGACTTGTTCATCTTATTGTTCTTCTTCTTCTCCTTCTTGTTCTTCTTGTTCTTGTTCTCATCGACCTCCTTCTTTATCGTTGATGATTTTCATTTACTTCTTGCTTTCTTTTTTTACTTTCCAGGTAGGGCTACTGTCTTCATTACCATCGTGGATGAGAATGATAACCAGCCTGAGTTCAATGGCACCTTCAGCTTCGATGTTTCCGAAGATGTAGAGATGGGTTATGAGATCGGCATGGTCACAGCCACAGATGCAGACATCTGTAAGTATTGGTCGTACGCCACATGGGCCGGTGAAGATGGCTCTGCGGGCAGTTTCGTACTCTAAAAGAATTCCCAACTTTGCCTCTTGACCAGAACTAACCTTATCCCTAGCCCTTACCAAACTCCATTTGGCATGGCAACAAAATAGGGACATGTGTGAAAATTTTCTTTTAAGGTGATCTCAGAGATGCCAAGCTCCCGATAATTCACCCCAACTCCCGACCTTACGATCACCATCCTTATCCTATTATGATTTTTTTTTGGGGGGGGGGGGCGCTTATCAGTATATATATCTGTGAATTGAATGAGAAATATCCTCTGTTAACTTTAGCATGTAGTAATTCCACTATGTTAAAAGACAAATTAAGAGTAGCGAAAGATTGTTTCAGCATATATGGATCACAGGAACCAATGCGTGGAAATTGACACAGAATCCAAATGGCGGAAAATCAGCAAAAGAAGACCAAGAAATGGTCTCGGAAGTATAAGACCGAATACAGTATCAAGTACCCGTATATTCGGAAGTCTGAAAGGAATTCAACATGCATTTTTTACAATTTGTATGTTATTTAAAAAAAAGGGGGAATTATTTAACTAAATACACATGTAAATTGCTGCAAAATAAGGCTCAGTTTGCACCAGAGAGCATCTAGAACCACGGCCGCATGGGTCGGGCACTACGCACTCGAGATGTGCGCTATGCGCACATTATTTGGTGTCAGTTACAAATCCACCCTATTTCTGTTTTCCAAAAGTTGGCATCTCTGTGATCTTCATCTAGTGTTGATTGAAGTGAATCGGTAACATTGTTTAAGGTTGATGAAAAAAGTTTGTAAGTTTTGTATGAAATGTTACTCATTATATTCCTTATACTGTACTAACACCCTCTAACATTCAAAAAATTGTGAAACAATATTTATGGTTTTCTTTGTAGGCGTCACCTTGTGACACCCTCTAACAATCAATTTTTTAAATTTTCCCAACCATGAAAATAAAATAAAACGGCTTTAAAAAATGTTTGGAATGGTATATAGAGCCAATTCATTGCTTTGGGATGATTTACATTCACCTAAAATTTAATTAAATTATAATAATATAGTTGGGAGAATTAAGAAATTGATCAGATCAGTTTTTTCCCAATTTTAATCATTAATAATGGTCTTTTTTCACTCAAACTTTCAGATTATCTTTAATTGTACAACCTCTCATTGAAGTCAGTACTTTAACCACCATTTCTCTTATCTGAACAATGTTACAAAGTCCCTTTAAGTGAAGCTTGGTAGCGTTTGTTTTTCTTCTTTTTACCTATCACAAAATGAGCGAGTGTTTTGCAATGCATAAACCCTGTCTTGAAAGATAATTCATTATTTGTCTTTGTCTTCAGCCGAGGACTTGGAGTACTTCATCAGTGGAGGCAACGTTGGCGGAGCCTTCACCGTGGTTGCCAACTCCGGTGTCATCCGCAAGGCGGGCGTCCTGGACTACGAGTCGCAGACATCGTACTCGTTGGACTACAGCGTCAATGATGGCTTTAATACCGAGACCACCACTGTTGTTGTCAATGTCATCAACGTCAATGATGTAGCGCCGCAGTTCGGGGAGTCTTCCTACTCGGCCACTGTGCTCGAGGAGGACGATTCCGATATTCCTAGAGTCCTTTTGACGGTATGTACGAAGTGTGACATAAATATAATGTTGGAAGTTGATCGATGGTAGCTCAATACAGTGGCCTCTGTAAATATAATCCGCTCCAGGTATTATCATCGTGAATTTTAAAATGATTCAAATGACATCACAATACCTGAAATTTTCAAATGCAATTGTACATTTCTATGTCTTCTAATAATGTTATAGGGCATTGTTTGGAAGCTTAACCATGTTTTTATGTAGCCTATGGGAATTTTATGACTTGTGTAAAGAACATATTGGGCATGTACATGGATACTGGCTTATTAAAGTCAAAGGGTGGTATTCTCGAAAGCGGACTAACTTTAGTCCATGGTTTAATTCTCTGACTAAGTATTGAATGCCAAGTGTCCATATGAATATATTTTTGAATAATTTGATATGCCCCTAAATTACCATGATAACTTTATTATTTTATAGTTATATTGTTGTTTATCAATTATGTTATTAAATTTTATTTTAATTTAGTGACAGATTAATTTTTTCAAAAACATATTCATATGGACACTTGGCATTCCATACTTAGTCGGAGGATTAAACCATGGCCAAAGTTAGTCCGCTTTCGAAAATACCACCTAAATTCTTTTTTGGAACACACGTTATGACTTGGGCCTTATTTTGACAACTGTTGTGCAGGTCGCTGCCACTGATGGAGATGCAGATGCGGTTGCTGATGCGGTGGTCTACGATTTGCTCGGAACCGGAGCCGGCACCCTCTTCACCATCGACCCCCAGACCGGCAACATCACCCTGACTGGCGTGCTGGACCGCGAGGAGATCCCCCGCTACGTCCTGTCTGCCATGGCGACGGATGACAACGGAAACGGACTCTCCAGCTACGTGGATGTCATCATCGAAGTGGAAGACATAAACGACAATTTCCCTTTCTTCCCCGATCAGGAATACGTGGGCAGTGTCGATGAAAACATGCCACCGAGTAAGTCGTTCTATTTTACTGGAATCTCTCTATCAGGCCTGATAACTACCAGATTTACATCGGTTTCTTGATTTTGTTATTTTTTCCTGATTTTCTCCTGATTTTTTTTTCTTCCCGATTTTTTCTTCTTTTTCCCCCGATTAAAAAAAAAAACTATTTTTTTACGGATTTTACCCCTATTTTTTTCCCCCCGTATCCATTTTTTTTCTAGGGCTCACTATCTCCCCTGCTCTATCCATGAGCTATTTTATATAGTCTGAAGAGTCAACAAATTTTTACTCCTGCTCATGTCTATCATCAACCCTACAGTTTTTAAATTTGATATGTACTTCTTGAAATGCATCTGTATTATGGCATTGGGGACTCTTATAAAGTTCATAGGGCAGCCATTTTAACCCTCGGATTACTGAATGATCTCACCCCCATAGGTTATTTTACAGGGACAACCTGGTTCCAGTTGGTGATGGGTAAATAATTTGGACGCCTTTCAGTTGAACTTTGCTAGTAATGCAATATTACTTCTTTAACCTAGACACATTATACCATGTAATATCTCAATCAAAATTGACGTCATTACTGTTGATGTTGATATCTTTCTCATGTCATTGATGCCCTTGTTTTGATTATTTCTTGAACAGACACCCTGGTGCTGGCTGTGGTTGCTGAAGATCCAGACACTGCAGATAACCTGGTATATTCCTTCCCCATCCCAAATAGCAACTTCAACATCGACAGCGGCACTGGAGAAATCACAACCGCGATACAGTTGGACAGAGAGAGAGTGTCTGAATACGAACTTGAGGTCCAAGTTACTGATGGAACTAACACAGGTCAGTGCGTGTGGCATTGAAAATAAATACTGTAGAACCTATATGTAAAGTAAAAGACCAACAACCAATGAGGAAAGCCTAAAAGCCCCACTGCACTACTGATAGCTACTTGCGCCCTCTATATAGCAAACAATGCCTAACCGGTGACCGCTGGTCCCCCATGATCCCCTTTTTCTTATGTTAATTGAGAGCTGATTTGATGAGATAACCACCTGTCAGTGACCACGCTGGGTGGTCTAATCCCTTCTGGCCAAAGTAGTGCAGATTGGCTTTAAAATCAAAATTTGAAGCATTATTAGTAGGTATTTTTGTTATTTAAATATTCCTATTGAAGTTTCGTTTATTATTAAGTTATATATTCCTGGATATTAGTAAATGAATATTACTTAAAGATAAGCTTGAGCTCTGGTTATAAAAAGAAAATGAATTCTCACAGAATCAAACAAAATTTACAATGAATGTTCAAGATTACAAATAAATGTCATTTGCCAAACAATTTTGATAGAAAATGTATACTGGCTGAGTAATGAGCATAGAAAAATAAGGAAATCAAGGTAAGTAGCCCCGACACCATTTGTGTAGTCCCACATACATTTTTCTGTGTACAGTGCTTGTTACTTTACCAAGACTGGGCCAAATTTATTATGATTTTGATGACTCCAGAACTTTGCAGTACACACCAATATTTGTATGCTACATGATCCATGATTCTGATCCATTCCACACCTTTTTTTTCACAATGATCTCATGACTGAACTCAACACTATCTTTAAAAATAATGATCCATATTTGTTTGCATGAAAACCGCAGCCACTACACCAGTCATCATCACCATCAACGACGTGGACGATAACAGGCCGGTGTTCACTCAAGACCCCTTCCCCCCTGCCTCCGTCTTGGAAACGGAACCCGTTGGTACGACCATCACCACCGTACAGGTCACCGATCCCGACGTTGACCACATGGACAAGGTCGTGTTCACGATCAATAGTGGAGATGATGCTGACCTGTTTAGGATCGTCCCGGACGCAGCCACGCTCTCAGGACTCATTCAAGTCAATAAGGTATGTTGTACAATCATTCCAATACATGTGGGAACCCAGAGCTACCAACTAGTACAGATTTCCTATAATTGGTACGGAAATTAACAATCATTACGGCAGTACGGAATGTTGTCTAAAATTATGGATTACAAAAAACAAAAAAGTCCTGTGCAGTATGGCGGCCATCCAACACTCGCTGAGAAAGACGGAAAAAATAGAAGCCAATTTTCATGGAAACTGATGTGTTGTGATGACCTGAAAATTAATATTAAACAACTTTGTGTGAGTAAAGTCACCAAAAATTTCAGATAATCATGCGCACAGTGTTGGCATGCCGTTTTTTTAAGATTCATAGTGCCGTATAGGAAATTACTGATGTATTCCCCAAATTACTGATTTTGGACCTTGTGATTACTGTTTTTCTGTTCTGGATGTTGGCAGCTCTGTAACTGGGTTTTACAGGCCATGATGGCGACAACTGCTCCGCTGTCAATTTCCTTTATTTACAGCATTCTTTACTTCGTCTCGAGACGAAATAATATCCCTAACCCCAAACCTCACCTATAAAAACAAAAACAAAAACAAGTATTTCATGATATGATATGTATGTATTTAAAGTAATATCTTCTGTATTTGTAACCTATAATTTGTACATGGCCTCTCAGGAAATCAGAGTAATTAAATACTGACAGAGTTACCCTGTTTAGATAAAAACAAATAAACAAATAAAATTACAACCCTTACTAATATCTTGTACATTTGCTGATTTATAGACTATAGAAATTGTCACCGGAGCAAATTTTGGATCATGGTAGCACGCCTGGGAGAAATTAGAGAATTCAGTTGTTGATGGGTGAAAGCACTACAAAACATACCTATGACATTTTCTCAGTTTATCACAGTTCAACCAAAATGAAGAAGAAAAATAAACTAATTATTGTCTACATGATTTTGATTTTTTCAGAGAGTCATCTTTATGTAACACGAAGTTTGAAAAAAGATAAAAGACATATTTTCTGAGCTTTTTAAAGAGTTGTTATCAAGTGATATAGTCCCATTGCTGGAACTGATTTTTAATGGCATTTCCAGCACTTTAAGTTAATTAAAGCAGATTGCTTTTAACCCTGTCTAAGAATTCACAATCGAGGAGGCGCGATAGCTCAGTCGGTAGAGCAGTGGTCTCGTAATCCGGTGACCCGGGTTCGAAACAACCAAGGCGATGCGCTAGTGCCCTTTGGTAAGGCATTAATCCTCATTACCAGGTCCCTCAGAGAGGACCTAAAGCCGTCGGCCGTCTGGTTGCTTACTTACAAGCATTTGTGCTTTCTTAGCAGTCAGGGAAAATAACCACCACCACCAACCACCACCATCTATTTCATTCTTGCCATTGTTTTCCATTCTCAAATTCAAGAAAAAAATGATTTATGTTTGTTCTTCATCCTGTCAAACAATAGCCTCTCGACTTTGAGAGTGGGAATGCGAATGACTTCACGCTGACGATCCAGGTAGAAGACTCTCAGGGCACCATCGGTACCCCCCAGACGACGACCATCGAGATCTCCATCGAGAATGCCAATGACCTCGCTCCTGTGTTCGAGGAGGATATGTACGCAGGGGCGGTGTCGGAAGGTGCTGATGTCGGAAGCCAAGTGGGCACTTTCACCCTGACTGCCACCGATTTGGATGAGCCGGGTGGAGTGCTGAAGTAAGAAAGAAGTCAAATTTTTCAGCATACATAATAATAATATGGTTATTTATATAGCGCCGGTATTCGTCAGGCTCTGATGCTCATGGCGCTTTACACAAATTACCCTGGTCGTAGCCGAGCTGCCAAAGTAACTCGCGCTCAAGCATATCAGGTATCCATTTACATCTGGGTGGAGAGTGGCAAATGTAGATTAACGTCTTGCAAAAGGACATTAGCGACGGGACTTGAACCCCGTACCTTGTGATCTGCAGTCGGGTGACATATCCACTAGTCCACAACACTTCTAAATCCTGTCCGCTGGTGGCATTTTCACTGTCTTGTAACTCTTTCATGTTGTTTGCTTTGTGTTGTAATTTCTATTTTGCTTATACATGTACCTGGAAATTAAATAAATTTATTTTTAAAACTTAAAAAAAATCTTGCGTTATGGTGATGAAAAATCTTTGAAATAGAAACTCTTCATAAAATATATATAGTTAATAAATATTCGCTTATACCTTGCTGCTAACTTTCGTGCATGTTGTTCATTTCTAGATCTTACCTCAATTTGAAAAATTAATGAAAATAACGCCTTATTCAGTATGTTGATTGCAAGGTATACCTTGGTTCCATATGGCCTGCACTGTGGTATCAACCATTCCTCTTCGTCCTTTTCTGTTCCAGCTACGTGATTGACCCCTCCACAGATCCAGAAGGCCAGTTTGGTATTGATGCCAACCAGCGGCTCGTGGTCGCATCGCCCCTGGATAGGGAAACCGTCGCCAGCTACGAGCTTAAGGTCTATGCCGTCGATAACGGTAAGTTGCTCACATTTTAAGCCTGTGCAGACGTGACGTGACACATTAAACTGTCTTTTAAAAAAAATGTTTAAAAAATATTTAAAAACATAGCCACAAGTGGTGTTCAGATGCATTCTTCTACTTAGTATTTTACTGCATGTTTAAGGCACCTGGGGGGTGTTTCATAAAGAGTTTGTAAAGTTACGCATGACTTTACGAACGACTTGTATATGAAGTGCCAGATAGGATGCCCAAAGTTTTTTCTGATATTTCCAATAACCTCAATTAAATTATGGCAAAAAATATACTTTGCATTAAAAATGGTTGTTATAATAAGAATGTTAATCTACATCTGCACAGTTCAACTTAATAAATAATAATCAATGAATATTGAGCATCCCATTTGGCTTTTCATATACAAGTCGTTTGTAAAGTCATGCGTAACTTTACGAACAGCTTTATGAAACACCCCCCAGGCTAGCACAACTCAGCCAATCATTTTGAAATATTAGCAATAGATCCCAATAATATTAGGGTAGTTAAACTAGAAAGTAATTAAACTGTGCATGGGAAATACAACAGATTCAATAAGCTTAAATTATAAGGTACATGTACCTGAGCAGTTGCTGATCGGTTGTAGGGCTGAGGCCGAGAAAATGCAAGATTAACATGTATGACGTCATGACAGCTCATTATTCTGGCTTGTTCAAGTAAAAAATCTTAAATGTGTACTGGATACGACGAAGAGCAATTTTACCAAGTCAAAGTTGGATGTTTCATAATATGTCTACTTGATCCAAGTATTGAATTGTACACCAGTCCAGGGGAACAAATTTGGTTTATCCATCCTATGCACTTGAGATCTGACTGCTGATCGATAACAAAATGATTGTAAGTACAGTCAAACCTGTCTATAGTGACCACCTAAGGGAAATACAAAAAGTAGTCTTTGAAGACAGGTTCCTTTAGTACATGTTTCAATGAAAAACCATTTTTAAGGGAACCAACAGATGTGGTCTTTGTAGACAGGTGGTCACTAAAGTAGGTTTGACTGTAGCAGCAGAAACAATATCAGTAATCATTCTGACCTTTGACCCTTGTCCCAGGTGATCCTCCAATGTCGGGCACTGCGACCATCAACGTTGTGATCGAGGACGTGAACGACACGCCTCCTCGTTTCGCGGAAGACTACACCCCGTCGGTGAAAGAGAACTCTGATGCAGTGGCGGAGGTGGTGAGCGTGAGAGCTGTAGACGACGATGACCCAGCCTCTGGACCGCCTTTCCTATACCGAGTGGCAGGAACACCCAACGAATGGACGGACTACTTCACAATAGAAGGACTAGGTAAGGGATCGATCTCACAAGAGTTAAAGGGATAGCTCACGAGCTGTTTTGGCAATCGATGCTTTGTAAAACTAGAAGCTCTCATGGCATTCCATTTTAATGAAATTTAATCTGGACTCTTTATGAAATTCATGATAATGTCTTGTTTTACAGTAACCACAGTCCTTCCTCACATTAACCCAACAAACATCCAACTGTCTCACATATTCTTCCTTAACCCATGTGTGCAGGGACAGAAACCAGCGGGGACATCACCATAAGCACCAGCGGGAGAGCTATCGACCGCGAAGCTATTCCGTATTTTGACATCGTGTTTCTGATAGAAGAAGTGAACACAGACGAACTGTTGACCGGCACCCAGACCCTGTCTATAATGGTGACGGATGTCAATGACAATCCACACCTCGCCGCTACCAAGAATATCCTGGTCTATAGCTACGAAGGTAAGAGATCGTGTAGGGTTAACGGATGAAAATGTACCTGAGAAATTGAGGTGTTGAATGTTTCATCATGGGAGGTGACAAGCATTTTGCTTGACAGGTGCTTGCTCAGATCATTGTTGGACAGCGATCCAGGGCACCTTTTTGTAATAATGATTAAAAGAATTAAATTGGTTCTCGCACACTTAGGCCCATAAACCTCACTAAGCCTAGTTGTCAACTAATTATTTACTATATCATGTGTAATTAGTTAATAACTAGCTAAGTAAGGTTTTATGGAATAACTGTTATTTGACTCGGTGAAAAAATTAAACAGCCAAGTGTATATTACACTAAAGAGACCTCTGGTTGTCATTTGATACCAATTTATGTGGATCATTTGTCAAACTGTCTAGATCTGTTGAACAAAAAACATTAAAAAAAAATTAACAGCCTGTTTGCATTGATGTGTGCATGAAAAAGCAGAAAAAATTATACGCAATCCCTTATTTTAGGAAGCTTTTCAACAATTTTGTCCTTCTTTTTTTCCCATTCTTATTCTCAAAAAGATTTGTTGTTTTTTGCAAAAAATAGAAAAGAAAAAAATAGATGATATTATGTAATTTATTGTAAATAGAGGATTAGGAAGAGAAAAATGATGATATTGTTTAAGTTTCTAATATAGCTCATTTATTTGATTTTAGTTCTCAGAATGAGTAATAATAATGCCTTCCTAGAATATTTTGTTCTTACCTTCAGGAGATTTGCTGAATCTTTTTATACCAGTAACACTATCAATAGTTCCATGCCGATGCAATGCAATTCATTTCATTTCATGAAGCTTTGCATCAACAGTTTTTCATCCAAGCACTCTCGGAAGGAAAAAGCTCCTTTAGCCCAGATTAATCCCTCAAAACCACACCACTTAAATGTACATCAACAAATTTGTAAATGCGACAGTGCAATGCTGTATTACCAGTCTTTTGAGTCGGTACTTGTCATTTTTTCCATCATGAAGTACTTTGTTATTTACTGCTGAAAATCTTTGTATGTCGTACCATTCACCATTTTTACAATCCCACTGATAGAGGTCAATATTGCTGATAATGACATTTTTCTGTTGTAAATTTCTGTCTTTACTCCTTTAAATCTTGGTACATGTACATCATGCCATTGGTGATTTTTACATTTTTTGTGGTCCCACTAATAGGAGTAAATTATTGATAATAACACAATATGTTTTCCATTGTGATCCCTTGTAATGAAAAAACACCATTATAGGTAAAACTTTTAATGTTTCACTTGTAAATTGCTTTATTTATTGTTAAAAGTCTTGGTACGTGTACATCATACCATTGGTGATTTCTAAATGTTCTGTAGTCCCACTAAATGGGATTGGGAGTATTACATATTGATGATAACACATTTTGTTTTCCATTGTGATCCCTTGCTATTTAAACACACCATTGTAGGTGAAATCCCTGAGGTATCTCTTGGTATGTATTACCTCCACTCCCTAACAGTAATGCATCACTGTGTGAACACTAACCCAGCCTCAACATGGACCCATCCTTGCCTTAACCTTGCCTTAACCTTGCCTTAACCCTGCCTTTACCCAGCCTCAAACTAACCTTGACCCAACCTTATTCCAACCATAATTGGTTAAGGTTGGGTAACCTTAAAGACCATATCCGAACTGAAAAACAAAATGGGGGAATTATATATCAACGGAAAGCTTATAAGCCATAAATTACAAGAATATGCCATTTTAGTGTCTGTTAGAGGAGTATCAGCTCCCTGAAAACTCAAAATCTAAAGCTTTGAAAATCGGGAAGTTGTCGACGTAAAAAATCAGTAGAGCGTCTTAAAAGACGGGAGTTGCTGCTACCTTGTTTGACGTTCAACAATAAGGGATAGAGCAATGTCGATCTGGTGCCTCTCAGTGGCTGCCGGGCTCACGATCAATTGGGCAAAAAGAATTTCCATTTTCGGTTTAACTTAATAAGATTTGGAGTGGATTTCAAAAGATTATTATTATTATTATTTGGAGGGGTGTGGAAAATGAGGTTTAATTTGCTTTTGTGCAATAATGAAAGGGTAAATACTTGTTATTCCTTCATATTTGTATTCTTTATTCATTCAGTTTTCCATTTATATCAAGTTGTAATTTCATCGGATAGGGTCGTTAACCCATCCTTGACCCAACCTTGACCTAATAAGGACAGAACTTTTGTTGTATTCCATTCAGAGTTCTCAAGAAATAGATGAGACATAGGAGTTTGAAAGAACAATATTTCTACTCATCGTGTGCCTATGCTGTTATGCATCACTACCCCGTGTCATGTATTCTGATACAAATTGTATTATCTTTTGATGAACATGACTTTGACTTTGAATTGGCATGATAGGAAATGTTAGTGCTTTCAATTGGAAGAAGGAAACCTAATTCCACCACTCTGTCAACGACAACAACAACAAAATCACTGTCCTTTAGTGGTGCTATCTCCTCCCATGATCCTTTGCTTATATTTTTTATTTTTGCATGAGACATGTGAATACACGATCCATAAAGATAAAGTTGAGTTCTGTTCATGCGATCGCATTGTGAAAGAAACGGTGTGGAATAGATCAGAAAAGGTTGATCATGTAGCACATAAGTATTGGTGAGTACTGCAAGGTTCTGGAGTCATCAAAATGCTAAGAAATTTGGCCCAGTCTTGGTAAAGAACAAGCACTATACACGGAAAGGTGTATATAGGACTACACCAAGATGTGGCATAAAAATCTGACCTCATTTTTAAGCTGTTACTTGTCATATTTAGAATACGAAGGCATTTGAAGAGCCATGCTTTTCAGGGAACATTTTTTCTCTGATGTTCTTCCACACTTGCATAATAACAATGACAACGTTCACAGGTAATTTTTCACCTCTCCTCAGAACTCAACCTTCTCTTTAAAGTAACCCCATCCATCTTCCCATGTCTTGCAGCTTTGATGCATGTTTGTATTAACCAGCAGTTGAGCCCCTTGTGAAACATGTGGAATCTCTTGTTTTCCTCATTTTTAATATTAGAGAGAGGATGTACTATCAAATTGTGATGCTTTTTTTCAGATTCATCGTAATTTGTTTTCAGTTTCACCATAATGTAAATTTGGCCTCCTCACAGCAAGATTAAAGATATAGACCAGTAGTGGTAAAATCACGGTGCAAAATATTGATTCAATATTTTTTTAATATTGCCTTCAGAGGTGTTTAGATGGCAATACTTCTACGTAAATTCACAAAAAAGCAGAAATATATACCCAAATGTTCAATATTGAAGTGCATTTGAGATATCTATCCAGGCTGGATCGGTATGACAATTTATCAAATATATCAATTAGTAGGCGGTTTCTCGGCAAAATTTGTATCATCTTGTATTAGTCAAAACATATTCTTTCACATGATTGGTAAGAAGATTTTTTGAGAGGGGGACGTTTCCAAAACCGGTCTATACCTTTAATCTTGACATGAAGAAGTCACTCACAGTTCATAGCATGTATCCGCCACTGGATTACGTGTACTATCTATTTCATGTCTAGATAGACTATATTATTACTATAGTGTGATTCTGTTTTAACTGAATCAACGAAATGCTTATTTGAATCCCGAAAAAGTAATTAAGAAGACGATGTTATCAGCTCCGAGCTGAAATTGAGTCGAAGTCTGCTTTGTTAAAAACAACTTTTACTGATTTCTCGTTAACATAATATGTTTCAACAACTTTTTAGTAACATAGCCAGCACTTGATGTCTGTATCCACTATCCATTCATGTTTTTGTGTTTGTTTGGGACTTTGGGTTTGTTTATTATGTGTAGATTTGTGTGTAGTGTTCAGCTGGTAACTGTTTGTGTGTGTTTGTCTATTTTGTGATTAAGACTTGTACATTTTGCACAAAAGCAAGTCCAAGGTATGTTCTCCCATGCGTTCCAAATTGCGTCAAAGATTTAAGCGTACCCTGTGATCAAAACAAGCAGCGAGCCATGCTACGGCTGGTATCAAATATATATTTATGTTAGGGAAAATGATACTTCATATGTTAATTATTTGTAATATTCCATTACAATTGGTGCTGTATGGATTCTAGGGCGTCATTTCACATAACTTCTCAGACATCCCATGGAAACGAGTGTTAAAGATAAATACCAGTTCTGGTCATGTAATTGCATTGTGAAAGAAACGTTGTGGAATTGATCAGAAAAGGTTGATCATCTAGCATATAGTATTGGCCCAGTCTTGGTAAAGTTACAAGCACTGTACACAGAAAGATGTATATGGGACTATGCGACACGTGCACGACATGTGCCCGATATCTATCAGGTCCAAATAGATATGATAATTTACCAAATATATCAATTAGTAGGCGGTTTCTCGGCAAAATTTGTATCTTCACGTATTACCGTAGTCAAAACATATTCTTTCACATGAGTGGTGATAAGAGCTTCCATTTCATTTTTTTGAGAGGGGGGCGTTTCCAAAACTGATCTTTACCTTTAATTTCTTTTAATACACACGTTTCAGTGGGATGTCTGTGGACCTGTACTTGTGACGTTTTCATGAAACGATGGGCATGTGTACAAATACCTTGGACTTGCCCAAATGTGAATGTACAAGATTGAAGAATATCGAACAATCATAAGCCGTATCCTCACTTGTTAGTATGTATCCTTCTTGTACAATACAGATACTAGTATACGTACAACTAGTAAACCTTCTTATTCTGCATATTCGTCATGTGACTGCATGTTTCTTTGTAACATAGTTTTGATTTCTTTATCATATCTCATATGACATCTAGAATGAATATATCAGTCTTTGAATTGACCCTGAGATGGTGATTTTGTTGAGAAAGATACCTTAGGGGATTTTTATTTATTTACGGAAATGTGGTTAATGCCGGGAGATAAGGACTGAGAATTTAACAAATAAGTTAAAAGCAACAAGGAACATCAATTTGGCAATGAGATCGTATTCCACAGAAACTGTTTTTTAAATAGACCAACAAAATATACCGGTATGCAAAATCAGAAAGCTTGCTGGAGACTGCTTAGCACCAACACTAGGGACACTGATTTTCCGTTTCAAAAAATGGCCTTTTCCGTTTCAGAAAATCTGGAATTCCGTTTCAGATGGGCTGAAAAACAGAAATTCCGTTTTGCCATAGACTTTGTACACATGAAAAAACTAAAATTCCGTTTACATAAGATTTTCATTAAAACATGAACTTGTAGGGTACAAATGTTCTATCAAAGCCGCCACCTCTGACAAGCCACTGATAACCACTCAAAAACATACGGACGGGACTGGATAAACTTGATGCAAAATACTAGTGAAAATATAGACCCCTACGGGCCCTAGAGTCTAGGCTAGACCTACGAAAAATTATTTAAATGTTTAAATTTACCAACTTCAAATTCGAACTTAGACAAGCAGACTAAAATCAGCGGAATATGTCAGAACACGACATATTCCTGACGGAAAGGATGAGTACCGACGTCGACGAAAACATTTCAGTCTTGGCTGTCATGTCCGCGATCGATCGATTTTAGGCGCACATGCCAGCCCCTTTTTCGGACTCGCCGCACGTAGCGCCCGCTGCTGGCGTGTGTGCGTGCCTAGTATTACGTCTACGTAATACTAGGCGCCTAGCTGGCATAATAGGATTGTTTCGCTGCTATTTGTACCGTGTTTTGTGTCACGATCTCTATTGGTCCAGCGAAACAAAATGGCAGCGCCCGGTCTCCTAAGAATCTGTCGAATATCGCTAAATATTTGTAATTATTAACCATGATTTGAGGCCCTATATTTTTTTTACTGCATAACGAGTCACAAAAATAGTGTAAGTTTTACGATTTTCTTCTTGAAAAATGAAAAGTTTTGAGATAAAAGGGGTTTTCCGCGATTTTCTGTTCAAAATTGCATTTTCCGTTTCAAATGGTCAATTCCGTGAATTCCGTCCGTTTTCCGTGATCGCGGAAAATCAGTGTCCCTACAACACAGATATGCATGTATGGGACAAGGTGTGGTGATGTGTAATGTGGCAGCCAATCCAATGTGAGCTTTAAACAGTCTGTTAATACTTCTCACTCGTGAAAAGTTTTATTTTGCTGATTACTCACCAGTTGCAAATCTTATGTCCAGTTGCTGAGGCAGATATTTATACGTGGCTTTTTAACTTTAAATCAATATATTTTGGTTAATTCTCTGAGGGTTTTTGTTCATCATTACCAGAATTCATCACTAACTTTAACTTTAACGTGTGTTATGTCAGCTTCTGCAATAACCTTTCTTCTTAACCGATATTCATGTGTTTACTGTTCAAGTATTCAATGGCTTGCATCCTGTCTTCCGTTCTTAACAGGCAACATCCCAACGACCGGGGTAGGAAAGGTCGCAGTAGAGGATCCTGATATCCTAGAAGACAAGACCTACACTGCAGAGGGAGAGTTTCCAGACGGTTTCCAAGTAAGTCAACTTCTCTACAGCTTCATTCTTGCTATGTATGCAGAAGAACGGTCTGAAATCTTCCGTGGCTCGAAAGAGTTGACACCTTTGTGATTCTCAGTGGATTAACTGTTGACACTATGAACATGACAGACAAAGAAGAGGACAAAATATACAGTTCCTCATTCTACCCTCAACAATTGCTGTGGTAGACAAATGAATATCCCTTCATTGCTATTATGTAAAAATGTGTAGAACAGGTGAATATGCATGTGACACCTGTTCTACACATTTTTACATAATAGCAGTGAATAGGATGTTCCTTTGTCTACCACAGCAATTGTTGAGGGTAGAATGAGGAACTGTATATTTTGTCCTCATCTTTGTCCGTCATGTTCATAGTGTGAGCGATATCTAAAACTTATTGTGTATACTGATTGCACACTTTAATAGGCCATGCCTATGAATGTATTTCTTAAAAGTTTATAAAGTCTTATCCCTTTTATGAATGATTCAGAAAGGCTGTAAAATGACTCTGGAAAGCTTAAAAGAAGAGCTTGTAATTTGAATAAAATATAATATGATAATCACAAGAAAATTGTTAGAAGAAAATCTTACTCTATTGAATCCAAGAGCTTCTCTGAATGAAACAGATATCTTTACATTGACGATTGTATAAGATGAGAAATTATTTAAATTAAAGAAATTTGTAGATTTGAGAGAATATAACTTTCATATTCAGTGGGGTTAATCCTGAGTCATATCAGGCTAAGGAGTCAACAGATTGATACAGAATATGTGATGAAAACCCTCTCCCTCCCCCCAAACAGGAGAAAACAACATTTAAAGCTTATCTGTACTAGTTTATAGGAGGGATTATACCTGCCTGCAAGGACACTGGACTGGTGGTTATCTAATCAACTCAGCTCTCAATTAACATAAGAAAAAGAGGATCATGGGGACCAATGGTCACCGATTAAGCAATGTTTTCTATATAGAGGGAGCAAGTAGCTACAAGTAGTACAGTGTGGCTTTAAAACAACATATAATGAGAATTTGTTCATGCTTTGCAGCTGGATACAGACACCGGTGATATCGTCATGCTCGAAGGCACCCCAGCTGGCATCTACACCATGCAAGTCATGGTTTCCGATGGCGGCATGTTCCCGGACGTCGTCTCAACGGTCATAGTGACGGTCAAGGATATCCCGCAGGAAGCCGTCTTCAGCTCGGGGTCCATCCGATTCTCCGGCACGACAGCGGAGGAGTTGATCGATCCCAACGCCGAGGGGGTCAGCAAGCTGGACAGCCTCAAGGTCATCCTGGCCGAGGCTGCGGGAGCCCAGCTGGAGAACTTTGATATCTTCAGCGTGCTGAACGTGGAGGGTATGGAGAGGACGGTGGATATCCGCTATGCTGCTCACGGATCACCCTACTACCCCGCGGACAAGCTGGATCTGGCTGCGCTCTCTGTATCGGATCAGGTAGGACTCGTTTCATATTACTATCAGGTTGTGAGGTGTGATGTAGTGAATAGACCAGTTTACTAACGTATTCAAAAGTATAGATGTTTCTTTCTTGGGGACCTAGTGAAGAGTTATTTTATGAACCTGTTAATTAATAAATGAACTAAAATACTTAAAATCCAGTCTGTATACTTTACTTGTTGCTATGTTGGGCAAGCGTTCAGGGTGTCAATATAACAATACTGCTAAAACAAAATACAATTTCATGCTTACAGATTTCTACAGATTAATTCATTTATAAAAGAAAACAATATAATGTACTATGATACGGTATTAATAACTTAAATTCAAAATGAGTGTTCATTGAGTGTTCATAGCTCATAATACTCGGTATTTTATAGAACACCAAATGACCAAATACCTTGGACTTGTCCTAGTATAGATATACAGCTTCTATTACTAGAATATATCCCCATAATCATGTTACTGAATTGTTGAATGTTAAGTCTCAAACTCATGATCGTAGCCTTCATAGTACACAAGACACATTTATGTTCCAAATACCCCCATATGAAACCAAAGTAACCCTCGGAGACCGGTGATTTCTTTGTGCTGCCCCTAAATTATGGAACAGATTACCACTAGAAATAAGGAAAGCCCCATCACTAGAAAATTGTTAATCAAGACTGAAAACTTACTTCTTCATGTAATATATGTAGCACGGCATTTATGAGCTCTTGCAGCGCAGTAGAATATATCCACATAGTTATTGCGCTTTACAAATGAATATATTATTATTATTATAAGTTTCACCTACGTATATGCTTCCTACAGATCGCTGCTCTAGGATTGGACATCGCCCAGCTCCCTGTCGACCTGTGTGTGAAGGAGAATGTCTGTGAGTCCTCCTGCACCAATGTCCTGGTGGTGGATCCCACACCCACCGTGGTGGACTCTGGCTCTGCCTCCTTCGTGGCAATCACGTCTGTACTGCAGGCTCAGTGTATATGCGGCGCCAGGACGGAAGCTCCGGGTTCTTGCGATTCCATTCCCTGCCTCAATGGAGGCACTTGTGTTGATGTCCATGGTGGAACTTACAAGTGAGTTTGAATTGGGGAATTCCCCATCTTCCTCCCTCGTTAACCACTGATTGGCATCATGTGGTATGTAAAAAGAATGCTGATGTTTTAAAGCTTATCGTTATGACGGAAATTACACAAATCAAATTTGTTTCTCCATAATGTTAATAGAGAGTCACTGAAAGTATATGTACTTTGCAGATTTATTTTTTGCTAAGAGCTTACGAGACCATTGGATCGGTCGTAAGGATTGGCTTGAAGTAAGACGGCAAATTAGATCACCCTACTGTTTTGTGATGTCCTTCATACGACTATGGACAGGACATTCAGTTGTCTAAATCTTACATACATGTTTAAATAGAAAGTTTTGGAGAGAAATGGCGAATAATGTAATTGCTGTGAACAATCTAAAAACATGTCCACTAAAACCTGTGATGCCTTTGTTCCCTGTGTCTAGATGCGAGTGTCCTTACCTGTTTGACGGACCAAACTGCCAGCAGACCAAGCGTAGCTTCAACGATGGCTACGCCACCTTCTCTACCCTGAGGCAGTGCGAGGAGACCAGCCTTTCCATCGAGTTCATCACAGAGACTCCCAGCGGTACCCTCTTCTACAACGGTCCCATCCAACCCACCGAGGTTGACGATGCCATCGATATGATCCTTCTGGAGCTGACGAATGGCAAGGCCAAGCTCACCATCAACCTGGGATCGGTTGATGGAACCACCCTTAACCTGGAGCTGGAGGTGCCTAAGGATAACCTGGGAGATGGCCAATGGCATCGTATTGATGTATACCGCAATGGAAGGGTAAGGACTGCTCCCATCCTATCACTTGTAGGGCAAGGTGATCACATGTCCTTTGGCAAGATATTAATCTACATTTGCCACTCTCCACCCAGGTGGTAAATGGGCACCAGTAGGAAGCAATTCCTTGAATGCTGTGAGTGTCGAAATTAGCTGCCTAGCTGAGCCAGGATAATAGTTGGAGCGCCTTGAGCACCATGCATGGTGGATATGTGCAATCCAATATTATTATTGTTATTATTATCATCCCATAGGAAGTGAGAGGGCTAAAGTTATCGCTAAAGGCTCGTTCAGATATGATGCATTGATGTAAATGAATGGCCACTGCGCACAACAAGGTCCTGCCCATATTCACTTAGCTCTGTGTTTAACGATACAGAAACGTGACATATCTGAACGCGGCCCAATGACAATATCCCCTACATTGATGTATCTGTAAAACATGTGAGGAAATGTGGGTTGTTGGAGCAGTAAGCCCTGGTTCATTTTGTTCTTAAGAGATGCTTGAGACTTGAAGGCCATGAAATCAATTTGGAAGCTTAGTTGTGATGTATTTCATGACTTAAAGAGCCTTCAAATGAGTCACAATTATGCCCTTGAGAATAGTCAATTACAATACACTTATTCTAAATTTTCAGAACATGAATTATGAAACAATCCAGCATTCTGACACTCTTTGTGCCTTGTGATTTTTTTTTTATTGGTCCACGTCTAGTCTGTTGAGATGACAGTAGACCGATGTGAGGATGCACCCTTCGCAGAAACCTCATCCTCATCCACGCTAGATACCTCCAACTGTCGTAGCAGTGGAGAAACACCAGGCGAGAACAAGTAAGTTTTTCCATTCGATTTACAAAAATCTTTGATACACTTTTTCTATAGTTAGCCATTATATCTACTATGAAAAAAAAATCATCATCTGTTGAAAGCCAGAAGGGTGTTAAATCTGTATTAAAGTATAGGAATTAATGCCCTGCTTGCTCTCTACAGACAAAATGTTGTGTTTCAGACATTATGGGGCCCCTTGCATAAATTTGTATGTTATATGCAATTCAAAATTAAACAGAACTTAATTTTCACCAGTAACGATTGCGTATTGAGGGCTTGTTTGAATGCAACTTTTAATGTATGTGGTGTGTCTTCGCCTGCCGGAGACTGCGAGCGTCCTCAGAATGAATTTGGACTGAAAGTTTCAGGAGTCGTACTGTGAAGGTAACATGTTTTCAGTCCCTTTTCAGACTAATTGAGGAAAACCAACTGGTATCCTCGAAAAGAGCATTTTTGTAATAAAGTTAATTGTATTAATCAGATCAATCTTTTCACGGATTTAGAAAGCAAAATCACGTTAACACCTTCCAGTCAGGACCCATTGTTAACCTTGGTCAAACTTCCAGTATAAATCGCTTGATTCTCTCAGATTCTCGACACACTTGTCTTCCCATGAAATGAAAACCGCTTGATTTTCTTTGCTTCATGAATGTAAACACACCTCTTTTTAATGATATATGAAATGCTTGATTGATTTTCTCAGATTCCTGAATGTAATCACACCCCTTTTTAATGATATATTAAATGCTTGGATTGATTTTCTCAGATTGCTGAATGTAAACACACCTCTTTTTAACGATATATGAAATGCTTGATTGATTTTCTCAGATTGCTGAATGTAAACACACCTCTTTTTAATGATATATTAAATGCTTGATTGATTTTCTCGAATTGCTGAATGTAAACACACCTCTTTTTAATGATATATGAAATGCTTGATTGATTTTCTCAGATTCCTGAATGTAAACACACCTCTATTTAATGATATATGAAATGCTTGATTGATTTTCTCAGATTCCTGAATGTAAACACACCTCTATTCCTGGGAGGCATGAGTCCTGATTACAACCCGGACGTGGTCGTCCCAGGAGGATTCGATGGCTGCATCAAGAACCTCGTCTCTGATGGTTTCCTCTACGACCTCGCCGATCCTGGAATATTTGACAAGAGTGACTCTGGATGCTTGCGTACCGATGGGCAGTGCACAGTAGACGGCGAACCTGTCTGTGAAAATGGAATCTGTGAGGCCGATCTTGGCAGTTTCGTCTGCATCTGCTTCCCTGGATTCAATGGAGAATTCTGCAGTATAGGTGAGTTGTTAGTTATTGGCGTGAGAGTTGCATTTGATCCACATTGATCGCATGTACTTCGGTTGATCACACACTATCTCTCTAATACAGGTTGTAATCGAACCGTTGCTCCTGCATGACTTTGCTTTGGATACCTACTTGACCAACCAGCTTTTAAAATACATCACTTTCTTTACTGTTGGAACACCTTTTCCACTTGTTTTATCGTCATCCAAAGGAACCCCTGTACGACTTAGCAACGGATAGCTACATGACGTACCAGCTTTTAGACAGCTCCTTGTATGACGACGCCCGATCCTCTGTTAGATTATGGTTGGTTATCAAACCAATGGGATTTTCTTTAATTTATTCATTTTCTTTACCGTTAGAACACTTTGTCCACTTTTTTAACATCATCCAGAGCTGCCCCCGGTACGACTTAGCAACAGATAGCTACATAACGTACAAGCTTTTAGACAGCTCCTTGTACAACGATGCCCGATCCTGTGCTAGATAATGGTCGGTTATCAAACACATTGGATTTTTAAAAAATGTATTTATTTTCTTTACTTTAGGAACACATTTCCATTTTTTTATCATCATCCAAAGGAGCCCCCGTATGACTTTGCAACGGATAGCTACATAACGTACCAGCTTTTAGACAGCTCCTTGTACAACGATGCCTGATCCCCCGCCAGATAATGGTCGGGATATCAAACACATGGGATTTTAAAAAATGTATTTACAGTCAAACCTGCTTTAGTGACCACCTGTCTACAATAAGCACATTTTTTGTTTCCCTTGAAAATGGTTTCTCATTGAAACATGTACTAAAGGAACCTGTCTACAAAGACCACCTGTCTACAACAAGCACATTTTTTGTTTCCCTTGGGCGGTCACTGTAGACAGGTTTGACTGTATTTTCTCTACTGTTGGAACACTTTGATCACTTTTTTAAAAATCTCCATCCAGTGCTGCCTCCGTATGACTTTGCAACGGATAGCTACATAACCTACGAGCTCCTAGACGAGTCCTTGTACAACGATGCCCGATCCTCTAACTACCATATCATGGTGAGGTCAAGACAAGAGAATGGACTCATCTGGTCAATCTCCAGTGCTAACACCTATGAATACATTAGAATGGAGGTGAGCTTCTTTCCAGTTATGATAACAAATCTAGCGATAAAGATGGTATACGTTGTGATATTGTGTAGAGCACTTATTGGATAACTCTTTAGCCCTTGTCTGTAGATTGAAAAAAACAATTCCACTCTTGCTATCCACATCCTGTGCACTGAGGACAATTGCTTTGTGCTTTATTTCATCAAAGATTAAAGGTCAGGTTTGGGTTGCAGTTGGATATTCAATAAAGTTTAGGTTTTGGGTTAAGGTTAGATGTACCTGGTAGTAGTCCAGTGTTACAGTTGGAAATTCAGTCAGTGTGATATATTGACTGCAAGGGGGTGTTTCACGAAGATCTTAAGTTGAACTTATCATTAAAGAAGATCACAAATATGTCAACTAATGTATCACTAGAAACTGGTAAGCTTACAGATGGCCATCGGACAAGTTTTAGGTCAACTACATATCGGGTGATTTATGAAAATACAAATACAACCACCTCCATAGCAGCTGGGATATACTAGAGATTCGCCGGAAAAATAATGATGTTTTAATGACGTCACTATATGGACCAACACTGCCCAAGCAGACGACATCCCATAGAGAATAAACGTAATTCCAAAGCTTTTATTTCTCAAATTATAATGAGTTTAGTGTATATAAATGTAATGGCATGTCAAACCATTCAAAAGGGGATATGACCCAATTCTGATAACTAAAATCTTTTGCTTGTAAATACACAGGATAGGGGTTAATTAACAATCAAAGAAACCAGACTTTCAAATTGAAAAGCCCCGGAATGATATTAAGGACGGCATTTGTTCCCTCTTGAAACGCCGAACATACCCCGGTGTGTGCAGCTGAATATACAATGGCGTCTTATTTTGTTTACAAGCGACAGATTCCTTTATTTTTGTATCGCTGCATTTGTCATCAAAATAAAACCATGCGCGGGGTTTAGAGTAAGGCAATAGATTATACATTTAGCCTGACGGTAGTGAAGTAAGAGAAAGAACTCAAAAGAAGATGAAAACACAGGCACTGAAAATGTGTGAGATGTCATGGGACATCGTCTGCTTGTGCAAGTCATGTCCATACTGTGATCTCACACATCTCAGCAGCGTTCGGAGAGCTCTTCAGGTGCTATGCCGGGGCTGTATTTAAGCGTTTTGTAATTTATAATAATCATTACTTTGAATGTTTCCAAGCATTGAATTTTTATAACCTTGTTGAATCAAAGTTTCAACTTTGCAATAATGAAAATTAAGTTAGTTTTTAAAATCAATCAATATCTACTTTAAGTCGGACTTCAAAATTATTGAGATCCTTTTGTAGCCTTAAAATAAAATATATTCAAAAGCGAATAAAAAAGTATTTTAGATTTTTTATAAATTCCCCATCAAGAACATGAAATCTCCTTGATAATAGAAAATATGAATGATTTGAATCAACATTTTATGCCTTTTAAAATTTGTACAAAATATTTTCAAAGATGGAAACGGCTTTCCATAAAGTCCAACTCAGAGATAAGTTCAACTTAGGATCTTTGTGAAACACCCCCAGGACTATTGCTTCCTCTTAGATGTGTCATGGAACTTCTCCATTACCTTGGGAGTGTTCCAGTCAGTCAAGGTTTGATAGGCACAAACATGTCAATTCAAACCATGATGATGGAGCGAGAAACATTGTAGACAAAATATCTCGCTATTTACTATAAAGCAGAGTACCATTGTATATGAAAGTCTTTGGTAATAGGAGACCCCAAAGTAGCTGAATATTTGTGTGTGTAATGTTGTTCACAAAGGCTACCAGCTTTCTTTTACGCAACAATGAAAAGAAAAAGAATCTCATCATCCATCTTTCCCCCTTATGTCATCTCTTAGATGGTTGCTGGAGAACTCCAAGCCGACTGGCATCTTGGAGATAAACCTGTGTCTGTCACCATGGGCAACTTCAGCATCAACGACGGGGCGTGGCACGCCATCAACTTTGATCGTTATGACTCCGTGGTGACCATCAAGATCGATGGGGGAGGCGGAGTCAAGGAGATCCAGAACAGGGAAAGTGCATTCTCTGGATTGGACATTGACAGCAACTCCCTGGTCATCGGAGCATTTGTGGACCTCAACACTGTGACGGACGACTTCATGGGTAGAGCCAAGTTCTAGTGTTATTCTTTCATTATTCTGCACTAAAAGAACTTCACTTGAAAAGGAGTATTAATTCAATTGTCATGTAAACTACCGTCTTGTCCCGTTCTAGTCTCTGTTGGCATCCCTCCTTTTTTTCCCTATTTTGTAGTTCCTTTTGTAGTTACGGACTTGTTAATCGAATTACTCATTATTCATAAGTGTCATTTGAGGTGTTCACCCCTCTGTTTCCAATATGTATTTCTACATTTGTTGTAAATGTTTATAATTGATTCGTAATGTTTTGTTGGAAACACAAATAAATTCAAATTCAAATTCAAATTCAATATCAGAACATATTACTACAAGCAAGCACGTGCTAAGACAGTCATATTGATTAATTGTCACAGCTTGTCTTGCATAGAAGTTGAGTTTCAAAGTCTTAGGGTTAATCATGTTGCACTCATGGAATCAATTTTTTAATAATTTCTCCTTTTTCTTACCTCAATGAAATATTCTTTATTATTGTCATACTTTCAGCAGCACCCCAAAAGTGAAATCATGATGATTGGTGGTAGATTTGAGAAACAATCGGTGTCTTGACCTTGTGACCATATCCTAAATGTGTAACACTTTCTCCTTGGCAGGCTGTATGAATGACCCTAGGATAAACAACAACTTCCTCGGTATGGAGGGCATCAACGTCTATGCCACAGCCACCAAGTCTGCTGGAGTGTCAGAAGGTTGTCCCTCGGAGGTCTGTGACAGCAACCCTTGCCCTGGACAAGACCTAGTCTGCACAGACTACTGGAGATTCTACGAATGCGAGTAAGTTTGTCTTTTCACCTATCCCACCGCTGTCACCATTAGAATGATTTTTTGTATGCCTCCGCTACAAAGTAGCCAGAGGCATTATTTCAGCCAGTTTCTTTTGAAGGTAGTTCCATAACCAGAACCCAAGCTTACCCTTAGAGATGCTGTTGACCATTCAAAAATATTACAATATGATTTTTCTTTCTTTTTAATCCAAAAATTGTCATAACAAATTTTGCAGCATGGAACATTTGCATATTGAGAAATTTCATTTTTTATATGCACGTTGACTTTTCAGTTATGACAGTGATCTCTAGTTCTGGTAGCCAAAAGGAAAATTGCAATGGAAGTTGTTGGAAATGACCACTCAAAGATGTATATGTGCCAGATATTTAGATTTTCCATCCATGATTTTCGATTAATTTTTGTGTAATTATAAGAAAGAGTATCCAAATCGGTCATCTCCAGTAGGTCAAATTCTACTGCTTGTCTCTGTGTTGCATAGAAGCACACTGCTGATGATAATGTAAGAGGTTCATAGAAATCCATACTTAAACATTTGCCTATTTCTTTTAAACACTCTAATTACATGAGGAAGTTAACATCTAAAACAGGGATGCAAGTTATTTGTTCATCTCCCGTTTGTTGTTCTAAGTGCTCCATTAAAGTAACAAACTTCACTGCAGCATACAATGATTTATTTGTAAAGTTTGAACTAAAATAAAAGAAATATGACAAAGTGTTTTGGGGTACTGAACCAAAGTATGAATGGATCCTTTAAAGGTAAAGACCAGTATTGGAAACGCCCCAATTTCAAAAAATGAAATGGAAACTCTCATTACCAATCATGTGAAAGAATATGTTTTGACTAATACATGATGATAAAAAATTTGCCGGGAAACCGCCTACTAATTCATATATTTATTTAGCTATAGGGTAGTCCCATATACATCTTTCTGTGTATAGTGCTTGTAACTTTACGAAGAATGGGCCAAATTTCTTATCATTTTGATGATTCCAGAACCTTGCAGATGCTAGATGCTAGATGATCAACCTTTTCTGATCGATTCCACAACGTTTCTTTCACAATGCAATCGCATGACCATTACTGGTCTTTACCTTTAACCCTCAATCTGGTCTATACTTGCTCCGACAGGTGCCCTGTTGGTGAGGAGCTCTCGGGACCAGAGACCTGCTTGGCCATCATCGACTGTGACCCCAACCCCTGCTACAATGGAGGAACATGCACAGAGGGGGTTCCCACTGGCTTCAACTGCACCTGCGCTCCCACCTACTACGGAACACAATGTGAAGCCACGATTGGTGGACAAGGAGCGTCATTGGGCATCACTCCCCTGGGCATCATCCTCATGATCATCTGCATTCTGCTGATCATTAGTAAGTCACTAGAATATAGGTCTTGGGACTGTCTTACAAAGAGGTGCAATTGTATATAAATAACAAATGAAAAACATTCATTATTTGTTTTATACAACATTGAAGTAGATCTAATAGAATGTTGATATTCAAATAATTTTGCTTATATTAAAGATACCGTAAATCTCCGTGTATAAGGCGCACTTTTTTGCCGCCGAAAAAATTTGAAAGTCGGGGGTGCGTCTTATACACAGGTACAGGTTTTTTTTTTTTTTTTTTTTTTAGTTTCGATTTATGGCGCTATGCCTGGCAATGTTGCATATGTTTTCTATGTTTTCTATAACAAATGGTGTACCACAAGGTTCTATCCTAGGTACTCCATTATTAAAAAGATAGAGGATGCTATTCATATCATGCATGACTATTGATGTTTGGCATAGAACACTGTGCTTCTGCTAGGTGATGTGAAGAGGCTGGTGTGGGACACTTGGTATCATGAAGCCTTAGACTGTTGTTACTATTATTTGTGACAAGTTCACAACTTCTACTGCACCTCGATGTAAAATGAAGGTCCTTCCCTGCGTGGGTTTTCGGCAACAAAACAACAACAACAACAAAACAGAAAACGTTTTTTTTTTTTTTTTTTTTTTTTTTTTTTTTTTTTTTTTTTTTTTTTTTTTTTTTTTATTTTTTATTTTTTATATTTATTTATTTTTTTAATTTTTTTTTTATTTTAATTTTTTTTTTGCCCCCAAAATAGGGGTGCGCCTTATACACGGAGATTTACGGTAAATTAAAGTTTGAGTCGGGTCTTCTCAATTACATTCAGATTGCCTTCACGTCAGATGCACGCAGCATATAACAATGGGGTACGCGCAGGGCAGAGAAGTACGCAAACTGCACACTCGTTGAATAGTACTACGGCGATTAGTATCAAAGATGCACGCTTGTGCAATAGTATATCTATTGAATATCATGTGACCAGTAATCCCCAATCAAAATACAAGGATCTACTTAGGTGTTGTATAAATCCAAATTGATCATCAGTAAGTCACTAGAATATAGGCCTTGGGACTGTCTTACAAAGAAGTACATTTGATCCAAATTGATCATCAGTAGTCACTTGAATTGAATGTAAGTTTACAGTCTTCTTAAGTACACAGTTATGGTTGATACCAGGTTGCTATCGATTCGAATCAATCATAGTTCTTACAAGACGGTACCCTGTCCCACCTCACCATTTCCCTCATCAAAAAACCTTTAGCTGTGAGATCTTTTCTTTGAGTACATTGTATTGTCTGTTTCGATTGTACCAAAAAGCTTAATTTCTATTAAATGGTAATCTTGTTTTCATCTCAGTTCTCCTCCTTGATACCAAGTTGCAATCGATAAGAATCAATCATAGTTCTTATATGACAGTGCCCTGGTCCCACCTAACCATTTCCCTCATCAAGAAACCTAAATCCGAGAGATAAAGCTTTATTTCTATTAATTTGTAATCTTGTTCTCATCTCAGTTCTCCTCCTTGGCTTGGTGCTCTACACCCGACAGCGGGATCGGAAGTCCGCCCTCACTTTCGCCATCGATCCCGAAGACGACATCAGGGAGAACTTCATCAATTACGACGAGGAAGGCGGAGGAGAGGAAGATAATGATGCCTACGATCTCAGCACGTTGCGTAAACCCGTGGATGCTATCAGTGCTGGTAGTATAGAGAAGAAGCCGGCCATGCCTGTATCAGAGGTACCTGTTGGTAACAGACCGTCTGGTAAGTTCTGCACTAATTTAGAATAATACCTTAGTCAGCAGTGTGTGTATTCAATTCAATACTTGAATTTTCATTTCATTTTTTTTCCTTCATTTTGTTAATTTCCATTTCCAACAAAATAAATAAAGTACATGGGATTGCATTGTACATAGTAAAAAAAATGAAACTTAACAATATATTTGTAATTGGTCCACAGTGTACAACAGGCATATAAAACAGGTTGGTCAGTAAACTGAGTAGATAAACAACCGACATAACTGCATAACATGAATCTCCAGTGGTCAAGAATCAGTAGATTTAAAGTCTTTCTGGTAAAGGGACAAGATTCAAGATTTTTTTTATCCTTCATTTTTAACGCCCCAACTTTCATTTTCAACATGGAAAAAATGAATTAAAAGGTTTTCAAAATAATGCCTCTCTCCAGACAAATGCAATGTATTGGTATATATTTTTGAATTAATATTCCAGGGCCCTGTCTTATAAAGATTTGATATCAATCGCAACTTATTTGCGATTGATATCAACTATGTACATTAGAGATAGGAGACTGCAAACTTTATAAGATGAACCCAGGACTCGGTAATAAGTTTGAATTAAGAATTATTATGAATCTTTCTCCACTTTCAAGTACTGTAGTCATCTTAGTTGAAATAGGTTAACTCTTTCAACCTCTAATACGAATTTGGGTTAAATAGAGATGACGAATCATGGTAGATTCCTGAATAATTCATTCACGAGAACTTCATGAGATGTCCTCTTTGAAATTCTCAATGTCTTCTAAATTCTAGTATATTTGTAGAGCGCTTAGAGACATTTGTATTAAGCGCTATATAAAAGCTAAATATTATCATTATTATTATTAAATTGCTTTGTCCTTTTTCTATCAGGTGTCGATCCCAACGTGGGTGACTTCATCAATGACCGCCTGAAAGGGGCCAACGACGACCCCGAAGGGCCGCCGTACGACGAGCCCCACGTCTACGACTTCGAGGGCGACGGGTCGTCGGCCGGCTCGCTCAGTTCCCTCAACAGCAGCAGCACCGAGTCGGAGCAGAACTACGACTACCTCAACGACTGGGGACCACAGTTCAGGAAGCTTGCCGACATGTACGGCAGCTAGGAGGGGAGGAGGGTGGACTGTGTGTGTGTGTTTGCGTTTTGCAGCATTTGCTCTAGTACTTGATGTTTTAAACTCTATTCGTAAGAATTGGTTTAAAAGTGTGATTGATTACAGTTGTCATGTGATAAACCCTTTAGCACCTTCCGACTATTGTCCTTTTCTCACTTGGAGAGTTAACTGGATATTGTTTTGCAAGGTTCTTTAATTTAGAGAAAGTAAATTCCCACCAACAAAATTCTTTTTGGTGAAGCATAAACATCAGACTCCCCAAAGGTAAAGCCCATGTGTATTTCATCATAATAATTTGCCGTTGTAACAGATAAACGTTTACAGGGAGTATGTGGAGAGTGATATTCAGGTGCTAAAGGGTTAATCACTCTAAAAACATGATAGTTTTAGATGTTTACTTGTACAAGAAATCATCGTTACATGTACATTCTAGACAATTCTAATCATTGGGGGATAGTAGTTGCGTGACCGTCCTTCATCTAGAACTTGTGTAAATGTATTTTAAATTTGATGTTATTTTGTTAAGTTAAAAACCAAATATTTGAGCAAATTTAGAAAATCTATGTCATGCTAGATTTCTTTCTTTATAAAAAGGTTGTTTTTAAAGAAGATCAGTTTAATTGCATTTTCTGTGTTAAAATCAGTAATTTTTATTCTTCAATGCAAGTAATTTATGAATGTACTTTTTCCCAAAATAAAGTTGCTGTAGTCCTTATACCAGATGTATGCACTGGAAGCATACTTTTGCAAAAATTATATTATCTTTGTCGCGTCATAGAAATATATGTAAATGAGCATTTTGATTAACTTGATGACAAATGACCGAAAAGCAGTATCAGATTTATAAAACAAATTGAATATCCTGTTCAGAATAAATGATACAAATTCAATTACACCAAAGAAATGCCAAAATGAAATATTTTTAGTAGCTAAAATTTGTTTAATGAAGAAAACAAGTAGAAAGCTTTAATCCTCCTTTTTTTATAAATATGAAACTGAATTGGATGTAAATAATATGATTTCAGTACTGATATTTTAAAGCATGTATAGTTGCTAAGAAAAAAAAAAAAATTGGACAGTCTTTTGCAATCTGTCAAGCAATCAAGCATTTTTAGAAATATTTTGTCATGTATGTTTGGGAATTTGAATAGTTTGTTTGCATGGCATATGCATGGCGGTTTATGAAGTTTGAAGTAAATGGTGATTAGAACACAGTCGTAAATCTTGTTTCTGTGTGTTCCAATTGTCATAAAAAACATGCATTGTGATTTTTTTTTTAAATAAATAATTGTGAGGATTGTTTGATCATGCACTGTGATAGCTTGTGTACATTTAGAAATTGCGAACCTATTTTCTACACAGAGATGGAACTTCCAGAAGAGTGGTCATCAAGTTTTACAGATTTCTTTTTTTTAAATTCAGTAAATCATCTCGTCAGCTGTCTTCATTGCTGTTTAATACACCAGTAGTACTAGTCAGCAAAGCGCGTGTTTTCATGCTTGAATCAGTTATTCTTAGAAACTGCCAATTTAAGACCATAACTTACAAGATACTGCATTTTTTTAGTAATCATGCTTGGCTTCATACAAGTCAGATCATTATCAGTGTACCCAGATATCGGCCGTTAGGTGCTTCAGTTCTCATGTTTGTTGTTTCCGTTGGACACTGATTAAACGATTCTGCTTGAAGGTTTGTAAACATGTTGGGGGTGCTGTTCTCTCTCTCTTCTGCTTGAGTGCACCAATGTGTGAAATATAAAAGGTATACACATGTATGGTGAGGAGAGGAAATACTACATTCTTAAAACTAGCACCTTTAATACATGAGCACCATACACTAGCACCTTACACTCTCCATGAAAGAGAACTCTCACGTTAATCATGAACTCGTTCAAGCTGCTAGCAGTCGTTCGCTGATTTTTGTTTTATCCGATGATTAATGCAGTAAAGATGCTGCTGGAAGATCACTCTTTTTGTGTTGTGTTGAGTGAAAATATTTTTAAATCAAAGTTCATTTTGAAATTGTTTTACTGAAAAGGTGAAGAAATTTGTGATTTCAAACAGTAACTGCGTGATTATAATGTTATTTGCTATGTGCAGAGACTGATTCAAATTTTCTTTGAAATCTAACCCTTTTTTAAACCGGTAATTGATACAGTAAACAATATTGCAGTGCCTTTTACAGCTTTTAATGCTAATGATAACTATTCGTTTTTAAAACCTGTAACACTTATTGCATTTGAAATACCAAATATATTCATGTGTACATGCCAAGTACACATATTCAATTGTAAATGTGCAGCAAGTATTCAAGAAATATTCACACGTACTCATGTATTCAATCGTTTTTGCTTTCATTCACAGGAAAAATATTCACATATCTTATTTACAACTGTTTGAGTTAATGCGGGGAGGGGCCGGAAATACTTAATTTGAATAACAAGATTTTGTATGAAAAACTATTATTAGGGAAACAGCTCCAGTAACACATTTTTATTTCTTATTTATAATTGTAATGCCTGTGTAATTTGCAAGTAGTCAATTTTCTTATGTTAAAATCGATTCTACTTTTGTGTGTGTATTTATGATGTTAATTTATCATTCTATTTCATCAGTGCTCTTTAAGGGGACCTGTTATTCAAACAATCATTTTTATATCGTGAATCGCAAAAGGAACCAAAATCAATTTCATTCTTCCCAAAACCATATAAAAACATACAAATGGTTAAAGAACATAAAAGGGGAAATATACGTTTGTTATTTTAAAGCCTGTATTGAAGTAAGAGGAGTTTCCATGTGTGTCAACTTTAACTCCATGTCTACTCCCAGGCTGCTTCTATCTCCATAGATAGTCAACATTTTTATATTAAACTTGTAATATCTGTTTCACAAAAGGATATTTACTCTGATTTTGTGAATATTCAATACCACAATGGAACCCAAATGTACGGACCATTTGTATCTCTGATTTTGGTGACAGGTTCCCTTTAGATTACTGAGATAATATTCTGATAATCTATTTAAGATTTATGTATATACTTTGTACATGATATGGTTAAACCACCAAAGCAAGTTTGATGATAAGAAATGATGTATACAATCAAATTCATTCTGTGTTTTCATTATTTCTTCCTAAGTAGCTTAACAGCCCAGCTTTTCCATGATAGTTTAAAAATTACACACTAGCTCTTCCTGTAGCAGCAGTATTCTAACAGAGATTAAAGTTTGATATTTTGCAAAAGTTTACTATTGTACATAAAGGTAGGTCTTAGATGTGATGTTTGTATATCTTCAAATCTTGGAAAGGAAATTGTACAAGTTTTATGTTCTCGATTGTGTAGTATTTTAGCCCTTTGACTTTGTTTTTATCGTCTTTTGAAAGCCAAAAAGGATGTTAAGTCTGTATTGAAATATATGACTTATCGCCCCTCTAGCTCTCAATAAAACATTGTATTCCTTGCCTGATGAAAACATTTTAATTACGATTGTTAAATGTTTTATAACTTCAACTTCAGCTTCAAATTAAGCGTTTACTTAAAAATGAGCAAAATAGATCCACCCAAATTTTCAGTTGACACAAATGTATTTACTTTGTAAGGCTTTTACCTACAGAGGATAGCAGATTTTGTCACAGGCGGTAAAAACTAGCCGCAGGAGGGGGCAATGACAGCCCCCATTTTGAAGAGAATGCTATTATTTGTAGGGGAGAAGCCTTCCAAAGTAACTCAAACAAATAATTGTGTCAACAGAAAAATTGTTCTGATCTAATGCACTGTTCAGATGTACTTAGTAGTAACAAATACTAATACACGTTAAATTTTCTACGACTTGAATTCTTGAAACAGTTTGAAAATTCTGTGACAAGACTTTTTCTTCGTAACTTGTTCAAATATTTTAAAATCCTATTAAGATCTTTATTTATCAGCACTATGTAATTGATTAATTTATTGATGCCCCTGTGCTTTGTTTTTATATGATATCAGTACTTCTCCAAGTCTGTAGTTAGGAACAGTCTTTGAACAAGAGACTTATTGTAAATTTCTAGAGAAATTTCTATGTGCGTTTCATTCTCTGTATTTTCAGTCGGTGTCATAAATTGGGCTTTTTGCTAGTACACTGCATCTAAATGGCGTAGTTGTAGACAAAAAAAAATTGCCGCTTGTTTTTACATTTTTCATGCAGGTTTGAAATAAATCCATTAGAAATATTAAAAAAAACAGGTTGTTTTTTGTTGTGATTATTTTGGACAGAATCGATTGATTGAGATAAAGAAATTAAGGAAGGCTAAAGAGAGGAACAAGATGTATAGGGAGAGGACAAAAAGTAGATTACAGAAGAGGAGGAAGAGACATGAGAAAGGGAAGGAGGGAGAGAAAGGGGAGGAGACTAGTAGAGATATGATGGGAGGTAGTAAGAGAGGGAGGTTAAAAATGTCTATTTTTTATTTTTAATCCGTTGAAATTTGATTTAAAGGATTTGTTGCAGAAGACGCTACACAAAATAATGTCAGATAAATAACCATGCACTTTGAAGGCATTTGCGGTCTGAAAACAGAACTCGACTATCCCTTTAAACAAGACCAATGACCTATGTTTTATCTTTTTTTTAGAATAAATGATATTTCCGTAAATATGTTTTGTAACACAAATCACAAAAATGAGCGATTTTGGGGCTGACATGCCAAGACAAAAGGTCACATGACTTTGTAACTATACGTCCGATTTTCAAAAAAATTGTTTTAAAAGATGCGTAAGACTCGAAAGAAAAAAGTCCTGAAAGGAAAACTTTATATCTGCCGCGGTTCTGGAGTAGTGGCTAAATTACTACAGGGGGGGGGGGGGGGGTTAAACCAGCATCAACATAACTAAAACAAACTGCCCCTTTTTTGCTAAGATGCATGAAAAGTGTTTTATTGCAATAAAAATGTGAAAACTTCTTTGCAATTGGACGTAAGTTACAGAAAATTGACAACAAAATTAGTTTATGAATTTTAAAGATTTTAAATATTCTGAATCTAAACTAATCCCTAATTCTAAGATACTGGTGTATTTGTTGATACCCATTATGGCAAAACATCAAATACGCTTGTATACACTTAAAGTACGATTACTACATTGTCTAATAAACATTTGAGAAATTTACAAAAACAAATTATATAACCAATAACTAATAAAAAACAGGAAAAAATCAATCAGGAAAAACTCTGGAAAACCTTTGGATCCACTTTTCCAAAATAGACATATCACAAATCATTTCTATATCCATAATATGATACCAAATAGATGAATTTAAGTAGTAGGCGTAAGCGTAGAATGGTAATTGGTAATTAGTGACAATTATACTAAAGCACTCAACCAATGTATGCAAAACAGATGCATACAAAAAAAAATAGAGTGTTACCAGAATGAGCAGATTTTTGTGACATACAGCAATTATTTATTGTAACATATCTGTATTAGTATTTAATAAAACAGTTGTACGTTACACATTATAGCATTTGTTTCAAAGAATACAAACATTTACAGTTAAGTTTCATAAACAACATGACGACATAATACAGAAGTATGAGAACAAATAATATATTGCAATAAGAATGTTTAATAATTTCTACTATTTTCGTAAATTGCATACAAGGGAAAAAAGGTGTTATACCTTATACACGCAGGAATATATAATTCTCAAAATATAAGAGCAATAAAAATATATGAATATGTAGTTACATGGTTGGTTAGTGTAAATTAGGACGGATAAATAGTAGTATACTATCCCAAGCAGCTGCAGTAGTCACAGCAGCAGATTATTATAGCAATATCTATATGTGTGACTGTGAGCTTAATATTTATCAACTCGGAAGGACAGCAAACTGTCAGCCTTAGACAGTCGTATAAATTTACTTTAAAAAAAATACTATCGGTCTATTCAATCACTCGAGCAAACCTGAAAGGATAGCCCAAACTTGTTTTGATGAAAATTATTTCATTCAAGTTTATGTCGGTCATGATGTTCTCCTTTTGCAATACGGAAGAGTTTACTAACCAACGCAAATTCTGAAAATGTTCAAATTATGCAAATAGCATCTTCCATTTTTATAAAATTCACATTTTCCAATATTTGCACCATCTAAAGTATATTTGATGGTAAACAGTACCGGTTAGTCAAAATGAAGATATCAATTTCATATTGTTTTTAATGGAAGCAAATTTGCATATATAGATGCATTTCTGTAGAGAAGACTAAATTCCTTTTTCTTTATACAAAACGCTTGCGTTCAATGTGTCTGCCATGCTTACTGATATTGAGACCATAAATTTGGACACTTGAATTAGTAGTATTTCGATCGGAAATTACGGTAGATGAAAAAATATGAAAACATGATTTTCCTTTTGAGATATTTGCTGCACAAGATTTGCTGCACGGAGAGGACCTAAAGCCGTCGTTCCTCTGATTGCTTACCTACAAGCATTTATGCTTTCTGTGCAGTCGGGTAAAATAACCACCTAACCACTACATAAATCACAATTTTGAAAGGGGTGGTATACTAGCTACCTCCTTTACGTCCGTTTCCTTCTTTTAAAGGCACACTGCACTACTTATAGCTACTTGCGCCCTCTATATAACAAACAATGCCTAATCGGTGACCATTGGTCCCCCATGATCCTCTTTTTCTTATGTTAACTGAGAGCTGAGTTGATGAGATAACCACCTGTCCAGTGACCTTGCAGGGCAGTCTAATCCCTCCTGTAAACTATGGCAGATAAGCTTTAAAGACAACTCTCCCTGTTTTGTATTTACTTCTAATTTGCTGACTTTGAGTCTAAATTTGTGATATAAAAGACAAGCACATCTAGTATTTGATTTGATTTGATTTGATTTGATTTGATTTCTGCATATTTCCAAATACAATAACTGAATAACAGAGAACATATAAATGTAAAGTCTAATACAAATTATACAAACAAATTCAAAAATTAAACTTTAATTGGAAAGACTTTTTAATTCAATAACTAAACCTTTACTTTTTCAATGAGGGAAAATCATAGCCGAGAAGGTAAAAATTACATTTGGTGAAAAATATATTATAGGGTAACAATTGTAACTCATTTGTTTAAAAATAATAAAATATCGCGGGTGAAAAAAGCTTGGTGCATGAGACATGTACAACTCCAAGAAAATGTCATGCTAAAAGGCATTACAACTTGCCAAGAAATCTTCATTTAGATTTTTATCTCTTGTACACCTCCGTGAGATAATGGATTTATTGTACATCAAAAGGCAGGAATTCATCTTTTTTTCCAGATTATGATTCCACACCATTTCTTTCACAATGCAAACGCACGACAAGAAATCAACTTTATCTATACGCAAGAAAAAATACAGAAAGTAATAAATGTTCCTTAATTAATGAACAACAAAGTACTGATCCAATTAAAATTTCAAATGCTTTCAATGAGTACTATATAGATGTAGTATACATAAGTATCAAATTGAAATAAATAAACCAAAGCTGGAGAAGGGGCTTGAAGATTCCCCCCCCCCCCCCAACATTGTTGATGTTCTTCAAATAAGACTCAAAACATATATTTTTTATTTTATATATTCACTAAAATATATTCAATGGAAATTCTAGGTTCGTAGGAAACTAAATATTTATATATTTTTGTATTTATTTATATATTGATATATTCATTATTTTCAATAAAATATGTTCAAATTAAATTCTAGGTTCGTAGAAAACTAAATATTATATATCTTTGTATTTATTTATCGATATATTCAATATATTCACCAAAATATATTCAAATTAAATTATAGGTTCGTAGAAAACTAAAAATGTAAGTAATTCCGTATTTCAGAGCATCAGATAGATATATTCAATAAACTATATTCAAATTAAATTCTAGGTTCGTAGAAAACTAAATATTTATATATTTCATATATTTCAGAGCATCAGAGAGATTTGCATGGCTTAGACCAGACAAGTTAAAGGTATTACAAAGTTTTGGTATGGGGTCATGAATTTGCGTTCCTGCAATATCCATTGATCGTTGTCGCGGTTGAAATCGAGTCTAAAGTTATGAAATAATAAATAATAAACTCTTTATGTTGTATAGCTCCCTCTCAAGGTCAAGATATTAATTTAGCTATGAAACGATGTTTCTTGACTAAAATCGACCGATTAGCTATTCTCGTTTGGAAATTGTATATCACAACAACATATTCTGGGATTTTCATGGTCGCAGCTACCATTGTAGGGCCATAGGCGCTATCTGAAATTTATCAAAATTTACCGGGAGCACCGGTAAATTTTTATATTCAATTTTTCTCAAAAACAGAAGTGTTTTGGGGGCTAATTTTTTTAGTGCTTATAATACATCCACAGGGGCATCCAAATATATAAAATTGTAAAGATTCACTTTCCACCCAATTTTCAAAATTTCCCAAAACTTTGTATTACCTTTAAGGCTTAAGTAGCTGTCACATAGTGCCGGCTAAACCACCATGTCGTTAATTTCTGATCTGGTTGTATAGATCAAAGAAATGTAATGCCTGAGGCCCCTGAAAGCTCATGGGTTTCGGCACTTTTAGGCATGTAGGCATTAAGAATTTTTAATGCTTAAGATCAGATTTCTTTTTCAAAAAATATAAACAAATTAAAAAGAATAAAAAGAATAAACAAAAATAATGGAAATTGAAGGATGCAGGATGTCCCAGAGTACGGGATTGTCCCGCAAAAACCGGGAAAAACCGGAAACTTAGGGCTGGTACCAACTGCAGCAGAGGAGAAAAGAGAGAAAAAACACACGTTATATTATCATCATACAGTTGTTTGTTTGAAGTTGGGACAAAAACGGGATTCCACCCTACCCACCCTAGGTCTAGAACATGTATATATCTGAAACAGATTGCAAAAGAATATTCATCACAACAAACTGTTGGAATCTGCTCACAATTTTCGCTGATAATATATAAGTGTGTCCATTTCATTTCTTCTTATCATTATCTCTGGGGGCGTTTCATAAAGCTGTGCATGAAGTTACAAATGACTTTACCAATGATTTGAATATGAAGAGCCAATGGGATGCCCAAAGTTTTTCATGACTTTTTAACAAAGTGTGACTGTATTTCCCGTAATCTCAATTAAATTGTAGCCAAAAATATACTTTTGATTTGTTAATAATGATAAGGTTTATCTACATCTGCATATTTCAACTTTAACTTCTGCAATCAAAAGGATTTGATATCCCCATTTAGCTCTTTATATTCCAGTCATGCGTAAAGTCGTGCATAACTTTACGCACAGCTTTATGAAACACCCCCCTGTTCTCCTTTTCTTTCCGTTTTCCTTTATTCCTCTGAGAGCCCTACAAACCAGTTCCTTCTGACAAAAGAACCTTCTTAATAACCCATTCCACATGGAGTTTTCAATTGCTTTCAATGATAAATAATATTTAAATGATTCAAAATGGTATTTGATGACAAAACTTCATAACTCAACTAATGTTTGACCTTTCTCAATTACAAATAAATTTATTAGCAGCATTTTACATTTTACTGATGTAAGATCAATAATCTCTCTCTCTCTTCTCCTCCTCCTCCTCCTCTCTTTCTCTCTGACACACACACACACACACACATACCCACTACCCACTCTCCTTCTTTCTCTATCTCACTCTAACCTATCTCTCTCTCTCTCTCTCTCCCTCTCTCTCTTGCTCTCACTTCTACTTCTACTTCTTCTTCCTCATATCTCCTCCCATCCCCCCTCTCTCTCACACTCTTCCCCCTCTTCCTCTCCCTTTCCCACTCTTACCCCTCTCTCTCAAATCACTCTCACACACTCTCTTCCTCCCTTCTCTCTCTCTCTCTCTCTCTAATCCCTCTCTTGCTTGCTCTCACTTTTTCTTCTTCTTCTTCCTTCTCCTTTTTCTCCTCTTTCCTCCCATCTCTCTCTCTCTCTCTCTCTCTCTCTCTCTCACACACACACACACACACACACACTCTTTCCCTCCTTCTTTCTCACTCTTACCTCTCTTTCTCTCTCTCCCTCTCTCTCTCTCTCTCTCTATCTCTCTGTCTCGCTGTCTTACCCGTGCAGCATATTCCCACATTTCTCTTCTTTCCAACATCATCCTCTTGCAATCAGGTTGTAAATGTACTGCTTCCTCATCTAAAGCCTCCAGTACACAGGAAATCTCTGAAATAGAAAAACAAATTCAATAAATTCATCGAACTATCACCAATAATAGCAGCACTGAAATAATGCACATGTTTTGTATTGCCATCCTCTTCACAAAAGTGTTGTAGTCAAGCGCTGCCATGAGACTATATTTTAATAGCCCTGGCTAGGACTTGGACAGAGTCATTAGCACAGAACCAATGGAGGGTTACATTTTCAGCAGCTTTGTGACTCAGAACTACTGGCCTCGACTACATCACTGTTTCACAAACTCCTAATGATAATACTTTCACAAGCTATTTTTGCATACATAATGAGCCCCATGACCTTTGGACTTTGACCTCATGACCCTAAAATCTAATCAGTTCATTGGCTCTGCAAGATACATACAAGTCTTGAGTTTGATAGTAATCAATCCATTAATTGGTTCTACTGATAATACGTTCACAAGCTATTTTTGCATACATAATGAGCCCTGTGACCTTTGAAATTGTGACCCCAAAATCTAATCAGTTCATTGGCTCTGCAAGATACATACATGACCCAAGTTTGGCAGGAATCCATCTATTGGTTCTTGAGATAACGCGATCACGAGAACGGGACGGACGGACAACCCGAAAACATAATGCCTCCGGCTACTTTGTAGGAGGCATAAAAATACTAATAGTGGGTTTCTGAGTTGCACTGGTATCTGCCTCACTTGACTCTCCTTTTAACTCCAGCCTTAACATCCCGACTTCAGCATGGCTGCTTCTAAAGGAATATTACACTTACGTTGGCCCTGTCCTTGTGGGATGCCTGCACAGTAATGTTTGATGTCTAAAGCACAAGCCTTGTAGAGCAGAGGATCAACATGGATATCGGCTAGGCCCTCAAGGAAAAGATTTACCAGTTGCTGTTAAACAAAACACAAATTAAAGAAGATTCAATAATGACAGTATCTTTGTTACTAAGATGAGCCATGAGGCACACCTCCACATTACCGGTTCCTGGGTTATCCATCTCCTTAGAACACTTCTCTTTCGGATGGTATCCATCGCAACAACGATCACCGCAACCATCACTACCTCTATCAGAACCCTAATCACCACCACAATTAATACCATCATCAAAACCATCACCACCACCATTAAAACTATCACCATCAGTACCATCAAAACCACCATCACCATTACCATCACCATAACCACCCGCCCACACAATCACAACCACAATTACAACCAACATCATGATCACTGTGACGACCACTGACCTGTTGGCATTTTTCATCCTTGATTTCACTAAGATGAGCCTTGAGGCACTCCTCCACTCTACCAGTTCCAGGGTTATCCATCTCCTCGGAACATTTCTCTTTGATGGTATGGGAGCAGTACTTGACCAAGTTGCGGTCCAGCCGGTAATCCTCTGCACCTTCCTTCAACAACTGTACAAAATTAAAATATTGATAACAATAACGGCTACATTCATATCCCCACGTAGTGTAAACTTCTACCAACCTCAAAATTAGTTTACAGGTTGGTACCATAAATAATTAAAGTTTTCTGTGTTATATATTCATATCCACTGCAGGGGGATAATCAAGGCACATGCGGTATGCATACACCTACTATCACCATGGCTTTAGCAAAGCAATGCTGAGAGAATTCAAGGAAATACTTCCCACCAGGTACCTATTTAGTACACCTGGGATGAGAGTTACAAATACAAAGATCTTTGTAATGAGTGCCGCTGCTGGAACTCGCACAGCAAGCCATTTGATCCACAGCTCCGCCAAATGTTAACTACTAGCTCCTAGACCACAACACCTCAACCAACCAATTGTTAAAGCGGGACTGCACTACTTGTAGCTACTTGTTCCCTCTATTTAGCAAACAATGCCTAAGCATTGACCGTTGGTCCCCCATGATCCCCTTTTTCTTATGTTAATTGAGAGCTTATTTGATGAGATAATCACCTGTCAGTGACCATGCAGGGAGGTCTAATTCCTCCTGGCCAAACTAGTGCAGACAGGCTTTAAGATTCACAGCGAGCGATGCTCTATCATAGGTGCATCGTTTTGTAAAGAGTTTGAAAAACACAAAATCTGATTTTGAGTCAATTGCAACACATTTTTGTATATTTTTCGCTGAAAACATGTTTGGCAATGATCAGCATGGATAAGCAAAAAGGATGAGGGATTCACTCATGAGATTTGTTACCGTAACCTCAAATTATACCTATCATTGCAATCTAAAAGCTCTAAAAGCTTCTAAAAGAAAAAATAACCTTGTAATACTTACTCCACCCATATGCTTGTCACAGGCCGGACTTAACGTCTGTGATCAAGAAAAAAAGAAAAGAGGAAAATATATTTCTGAACATCTTAGACACAACCAGATTTGTACTTTGAATGGCATGCAAATTAACATGGCCATCAGTAGAAGGACGGTCCTTTCATCTTTTCCCCTCACCATTTCCTCATCTCCACCTTTCACCTTACTTATTACTACTATTCAACTGGTTGTGGGACGGGAGGGGAGGGGAGGGGAGCATATGCCTTTTATCTGGTCACGTGTAGCTTAAAACTTGGGCAAGTATAGATATTGTCTAGATATATAAGTCTCATACGCTACCAACATGATTTTATCAAATTTATAGCCCTACTAGAGCTTGGGTCAGATCAAATACAAATAAGATTAAACTTTCCAGTTAATTTTTGTTAGTTTCTCTATTTTGGGTAACAAATGAAACAGCAAATGTCCAAACACCTTGGACTTGCATAAATACAAACTGAGTTCTACTCACAGGTTGTCTCTTGGAGAACTGCCCTCTGAGGCAGCCGATGATCTTTCCCTCCATGTCAGTGGGGTTACTCTTCATCTCATTCTCCACGTCTTTGCAGAACTTTGGAATGTCCATCTTGCAGGCCTTGCGCAGCAGAGGATTGAGCATGATGTTAGAGTTGCGCTCTATCTGCCGCTTGTTCAGCACCATCCTGCATCTGTGGATCGAGGTAAAGAAGAAGGAATTCAGCCTTTAGATATCTGCGGTTATTACAGTCAAAGCTCTCTATTGAGGCAAGCCAAGCTAAATGGAGAAAGAGAGAGAGAGAGAGAGAGAGAGAGAGAGAGAGAGTGGCCACTGTAGGCAGGTGGCCTTTCTAGACAGGTTCTACAACAGACATTTCTTTCTTAAATAGATCAGATAGGATTGTTTTTTACAGGCGTGTATCCATCAGATATGACCCGACCTTTAATGTCACCATCCAAAAGCGTGACTCAGTCTAGAACCGGGGTTCGCCGAGTCAGTTTGAAGGCAAAGAACAGAGAGCTGATCGTACCACAGACATTACCGCTAGACCAACCCACATCTCCCTATCATATGATCCCCTCCCCCCCCCCCTTTTATTATCAAGATCTGTTAAAGTTGAGTCTTACCTTGGTCCTGTACCAGGATCATCTTTGTGCTCTTTCAGACAGTCAATCAATTTATCAGGGTCTACGTCTTTACACTTGGTCTGGAAAACATCAAGAATCAAAGGAAACAGGAACAACATCTTCATGAATCATTTAACATATCACTTGTTATGGAAAGCCTTTCTAAAGACGTTTTTATTGTAAACCATTACACTTTTATACCATATTACTAAGTTTTAAGGCCTATTTTAAGGCAGTTCCAGTAATGAAAACAAGTTTAGGAATCAACATCACACTGAATAAAAGAAACAATCATGGAAAAGTGAAGAAGACAGCATGTAAAATATATGGATCCATTCAATAGGCTGACTGGAATCATAGTGCCAGAGATAGAAGCAGATGGACAGTCTTGATCACTAATGTCTGGAAAAGACAAAGCACCTAGCTAGCAAGCAAGCACGCTAGGTATACATTGTACATGTGTGTCTTTAAGGAACAAGAACAATGAAGAAAAGTGATGTACCTTGATGGTTTTCTTGCAGGAATGCATGAGGGCATAATCAATGTCAGGTTTGGCAGCCATCTCTTTCTCCCTGTTGAAGACCTTGACGTGGCAGTCATTGCCCAGTTCTTCCTGGTGGGACCATAGGCACTCCATCACCCTGGCATTGCCCTGGGTCACCGTGGGGCAAAGCTTGGTGACTTCCTCGCCGCACGCTTTCGTGAGCTCGGGATCGAACTTGATGTTTTCATTCTAGAGAAGCAAAATGGGTATCCTTGAATATACTTCAAATTGCAGAAGTTCACACAACACACACACAAAAAAACAACTAGATGGAACTTTGACTTGCACGCAGTCGAAAATGATGCCTCCGTCAGAGCAATTTTACAAACCAAAACAGAAGAAATTTTTCAAATTGAAGTTTGATTGTAATTAATCCATGAACAGGTTCTCAGAATATTGTAATTACAAGCTATTTCTCGTATACATGTATGACCCTTTGATCTTTGACCTCATGACCCCAAAATCTACTCAGTTCATTGGCTCTACAAGATACATACATGTCTTGAGTTTGATGGTAATCAATCAATCGGTTCTAATGATAATGCGATCATAAGCTAATTTTGCATACATAATGAGTCCCATGACCTTTGACCTTGACCTCCTAACCCCAAAATCTATTCAATTCATTGGCTCTGAAAGACACATACATGACCTAAGCTAGGGCAGGAATCCATCTCTCAGTTCTTGAGATAACGCAATCATGAGCTATATTCTTGCATACATAATGAGTCCTGTGACCTTTGACCTCGTGACCCCAAAATCTAATCAATTCATTGGCTCTGCAAGTTACATATATGACCAAAGTATGGTAGGAATCCATTGGTCGGTTCTTGAGATAACGCGATCACGAGAATGGGACGTACGGATGGACAACCCGAAAACATAATGCCTCCGGCTACTTCGTAACGGAGGCATAAAAACTCTTTCACCAAAAAATAGTCTTATAACAAGCCTGAGTACATGGAACCAGTCGTCTTTGAGGAAGTTTCCCTCCTGTTTGACCCTAATATGGATCGAACCTAAGCTCTACTTGACACTACCCAACCCCTAGATGACTCCAATATAGCCCTAGCCCTACGGTGACCCCTCCTTGACACCTACATGATCTCAACATGACCCCAATCTAACCCCATACGACCTCTACTTTACTCTACCATACGGCACTCTGGATCTACAGGTGGTTGTAAGACAGTGTCACACACAGCTGGCTCAGACGATTGATGATAAAGGGCCTAGTGGCCCTACCTGCCCCCACCATGACCCCAATTTAACCCCATACGACCTCTACTCGACCTCTACAAGACCCTCACTCACCCTCTGAAGTAACTCAAACTTAAGTTGCGAGCGGCACTCTGGATCTACAGGTGGTTCCTTTTGTTGTAAGACACTATCACGCACAGCTAAGGTCAGGCAATTGATGATAGAGGGCCTAAGGAAAGAATAGAGGTATAGGAAAGTAAAAAGTCTGCGGCAAAGAGTATGCTGCAGGAACAGTCTGCGGCAGAATGAAACTTTGCTCCAGACTCGCCGCACATAACAGTATGCCACAGGAACAGTCTGCGGCAGATCTGTGGCAGAATGAAACTTTGCCCAAGCTTAATCTTGTAAATTCCTGTGTTATTTGTCTTTTTAGCTTCTGTCAAACCAAACAATATGTTATTTGCTTCAGGTTCTAACTGGTACCATGAGAGGAATTTGTTACATAGCGAGGAGACTGAGGAATTAACAGACTATTTCAAACTTTTGTCGTTGTGCCATGTGATCTTATCTTCAACCCCACTAACTCACTTTTTTGTTGTCACTGTTGTGTAATGTGTGCACATGTAGCATATGGATCTGTGACTCTACTCTGGACTATGTGTATGCAGTCATAGGCGCCGGAAGTGGGGGGGCAGGGGGGGCAGTTGCCCCCCCAGTCAAAAAAGTGGGGGGGCAAAACGCATTTTTGCCCCCCAAAAACGCCCCCCCCCTCCAAAAAAAAAAAAAAAAAGCAGTAAAGGAATAAACATGGTTTGTATTTTTAACCCAAAAGAACATAACAATAATAAAAACCTGAATTAAAGCACATATACCATTCCATTCAAAGAAAAGGAAAGTTCACAGGAATTAAATTTTTATAAACATTGCGCATGCTACCTATACGGTTTATAATAGCGATACGCGCATATCGTGGACATATTGTGCGAGAATGGGAAAACGTGTCTGTTTTTTTGGTTTTGTTATAGGGGTGAGAAGACATGAGCCCCTGAACGCTGGCGTACTGATGGGGGGGGGGGTATATCTATACGATACCAGTGATTTACACATGTTGCTGTTATGACATGATTTTCCGGTATTTTTTCTCCATTTTTTTTAAGTCATACCTTTTTATGCGTTTGTTGGAAAATAAGAAATTCCCAAATTACAGTCGGGCGAAAAATACGCTTATTTAGAAGCCTTTATGACATGGTCTGCAAAGTGGCTGGGCTCGAGCCCCTCCCCCCTCACTTTTTGAAAAAGTATGTTAAAGAGAAAAAGAAAGAAAGACGGAGAGAAAAAATAAGTGACCTGCCAATGTCACAAATAAGGCATAAAAAATGCTCATCTGACCGTAATTAAATGCCTAAAACCCCAGAGCTTACGGGTGCTCCGCCCCCGGACCCCACCAAGGGCCCTAAGGCGGGCCCCTGGATGCTCATCTGACCGTAATTAAATACCTAAAACCCCTGAGCTTCCGGGGACTCTGCCCCCTGGACCCCACCAAGGGCCCTATAAGGCGGGCCCCTGGATGCTCATCTGACCATTATTCAATACCTAAAACCCCTGAGCTTCCGGGGGCCCTGCCCCCTGGACCCCACCAAGTGCCCTAGGGCGGCCCCTGGTTGCTCATCTGACCGTAGTTAAATATTAAAACCTCTGAGCTTCTGGGGGCTCCCCCCCCCCCTCTGGAACACGTCAATGGCCTTAAAGAGGCCCCTGGATGCTCATCTAACCGTAATTAAATACCTAAAATCCCTGAGCTTCCGGGGGCTCAGCCCCTTGACACCCTGCCGAGGCTGGACCCCACGCCAATTTACGCTCTACCTGATCGTTAATACTTCACTTTGAAAAACGTTCCGCGGGACCTGCATGTAACGTGTAAGACTGGTGGTGATGCAGATTTTTCGTCTGCCCCCCCCCCTTCCGAACGTTTTTTCTCATTACGTCACTGCCCTCGGAAGGTGAGCCCCCTGGAATGTTTGCCCCCCCAATCCCAAACTGCTTCCGGCGCGCCTGTATGCAGTTATTGTATTTTTACCTCTACCTCTACTTCTGCATTGTGTTACCCACATTTGTAGAATTTTTGAAGCAATTCCGCCTGTTCTAGCTGTTTCTACTTCAAGGTGCTAGAATGATGCAATTAATGCATGGCTCTACAGCAGCCTTCCTGTAAGACTGCATTAAAGATACTATGTCCCTTTTGCAGCCAACATCAAATTCTGTAGAACTTTGAAGGAATTAAGAATATATCGTGTATGTATTCTACATGTATATGTGAAATTTAAACGTTAGCAGTGTCCTAATATTCTAATTATGCAAGGAAACCCATTTACTTTTTAGCCTTCACTGTCGGACACTATTGGGTGACTGACTGGCTTTTTTACTTCTTTTGTAATAACATAAAATGAGCTGTAAAGGGTACATGCATAAGCATTTGTCTACATCAATAACCCACTTCTTGGAATGGCCAAAATTAAACCGATAGAATCTTTGCACAGCATAAAACGTACAATCATTCGGTACAATGGTCTGAAAATCAGACTACCGTATTTGCCGGCGATAAGGCCGCAGCGCCGTATAGGCCGCACCCCCGATTATTACATTTAAAAAAAATATATAAAAAAAAGAAGAAAAAAAATTAATAAAAAATAAATCTTTTGTCAAAGTCTTTAAGCAACTTTTAAAATCAAAATTGGTTGCCATAACCTTGAAATTTTCCCAAACCCATGGATAAGAATTGTTAGATGTTTGTCACCGAAACGGCAGCCATTTTTAATGTACATGGTCAAGGTATAAGCACTTTTACTTTTGAAAGTTGTATAGTTGAATTTGCCATGTCAGAAAACATATTATTAGATCCTAAAATCATTAGAATCGGACAATGTTAACTGTGTTGGTGATTTTCTAAAGTGCATTGACCTTTTTTACCATAGCGCCCTCATTTTAGGTCGGAGGTATAACAACCTATACATTTTTGGAATCCTTATGGCCAGATGAGTAATTTGATATGCAATTTAATAAGGTTTACTGTGTTGGTAAATTTGACCACCAGTCATAAGTGTGTTGACCTTTCAACGTTTTTGACCATAGCGCCCTCATTTAAGGTCGGAGGTATAGCAAACTATACATTTTTGTTATCCTCATGACCAGACGAGTAATTTAAAATGCATGTTGACACGATTGGAACTATTTGAATTTCTATCCCTGTGTGACCTTTGTTGACCCCTCACGAAAATGCCTGGGATTTTCAAGGGGGCAGCCCAAGTCAAAATTGTTCGGTATTTATCAGGGAACACAAAAACACTTTCAAACCTTTGTTCCCAGAGATTGGTCACGGGACCTACTGGCTGGTCTCCTACTATTAAAGACATTTCCAAGCCCCCTTTTTGGGGGGACGTTCTAAATTAGTATTATCTTTCAAATGCCGTTGGAATTTAACCTTTTCATTTTTTTGGCCTGCAAATGGGACATAGTACCTTTAACTGGTGTGGATATGAAAGAGTATGCAGAAAGAATGCAGCAGTTCTATATGGGATATGAATATTTATGCAGACTCTTTGTCATAAAGAGCTTTGAAAGCGTGTGTTGTGTCTTCTATGATGACCTTCCAAATGAATATACACGAATATACACGATGAAGAGTATGCGGCAATGGTGCGGCAAGTCTGCGGCAAAACTAATTTGCATGTGAAAAAGATGACTGTCTGCGGCAGGCTCATTTCTTTCCTATGGTTAAGGGATTGGTAGTGAAATGGGGCAGCAGTGGGTTGATTGACGCTAGGGCAAGTCTTAGAAGATTTCTTGTTCACTTGTGTCTCAGATAAAATGGTACAATGAACGTAAATCATCGAGTGACATTTTGAGCATCATTTTACTGGGTAATTCCTCGCTCTGGATGGGCTAACAACTTCATTAAAAAACCAGGTAAACTTAAATCTTTGGTTTGATTTGTTACATAACTAGTGGTCATAAACTTTGGACTTGCCATGCAAAATAATTTGCTTCCTTTCAATAAATAAAACGATTTTTGTGAAAAGAACGGTCATGCTCCAAGGTTTAATGGAATCATACTACTGGCAGCTAATGTTTGTTAGGAGTCCTATTACTGGCAATACTAACAAATATTTCTGAATAGTAAACTAAATATCTGAATCACTTCGGGATACATACAAAGACAGAAGGCCTGAAAAGGATAAGATCATAATGTGAAAATGCACAACTCCTTTTTTTTTTTTTTTAATAAAACGATACACTGTTAAGAAAATTATTGAAAACAATGCAGATTTATAAATCATGTATCCTTGTATTAACTCACTTATCTCGGCTTCCTTTGCAGAGTTTAAGAACATCTTTGTGACAGCTTTCCTTGAATTTGAAAGTGAATCGGTAATCTTTCAACTGAATCTGTAAATGCAAACAGGATGTATATATCGCAAACAGGTTATTTGTATTGAATTTTTTTTTTAAAAAACATCAGTGTTCTTTTAAATGTCCAATGCAAGCGTGATATTTAGTATCCATCCATCCTTCCCTTTATCCATGAAACTTTCATTTAACATGATACTTACAAGTTGGAAATGTTCAATGCTAGCCTGATATTTAGTGATATCTAATCATTCATTCACTAACTAATTAACTAACTAATTCATCCATCCATCCATCCATCTTTCCCAGGGGTGATAATGAGCACACACACACATACAAAAAAAAATCCAAAACCTTCTAAAAAAAAAAAGGAAAAATCTCCAAAAAAAATTTAACAGGAAAATCAGCACCAAAAAAGATGACATAATGAATCGGCAAAATCTGTAAAAATCTGTGAAATCAGCAAAAAATCAGCAAAAAAAAAAAAAATCAGTTTTAAGAAACTGAGCAAAAATCAGGTAATTATCAGGCCTGATCCTTTCCTTCATTGATGACCCACTCATCTAACAGGATACTTACAAGTTGAAAATGTTCAATGCTGGCCTGGCATTTAGCCTCCATCTCATCATCATTCTTGTGTTCTATCAAACATTTCAAAGCTTCTCCTTCATCAACTCTCTTAGCTTTCAACTTATCCTGAGAGAAAAATAATACAAAAATACAAAGACTTACCGGTAGTTTAGCTTTTTTAAACCAATATAAAATAAGACAAACATATAAAAACAGAATTATAGTGATAATACTTTGGCCCGTATTCTGATGAATAATCAAACTCAACTATTCATTAAAAGCTCTAAATTGTTTGATGTAAGTAAACTTCTTGATCTAAGTAAACTTTTACTATAACAGAGCTTTCAAAATTTATCATTTCTCTTTTTTATAAAAAAATAATTCTCCATTTTCTTAGCGATACAGTCTATATACTGACAATCAAATATTGATTCAAATCACATTGGAAACACTTCACTACAAATTTTATAATTTTTAAGACAAAACAAGCAATAACATTGCGAAAGAAGGTGCTTGGAGGAAATTGGGAAAGATCAACAATGAAGTACAGAAGAATAGGAATAAACTGAGAGGTCTCAGAATCACCAAAAGAATAAGAAATTGAATCGTCTTGCCGAGAGTCACATAACGTTGCACACAGAAATAGGTACATGTATACATATAGCTCCGTTTAGTCTCATTTCACAATGCCCCCTATCGTCAGAGTCAGCAGCCATACATGTTAGCCTATGGAATTGTACAAAAAAAATTGTTAAAAATTCATTTTTTGTTTAAACGAAAAGCACATCCACCCCGACTTACGTTATCACTAGCTCTTTCATTGGAACCCTCATGTCCCATTGACTTTTGAAAGTTCACCCACCGTAATTTGATCAAAATAGGTTGCAAGCTCGTCATTGCCTATAGTACACATGTGAAACAAGTCGAACTTTGGACTCAGTTTGCCAAGCGATTTTAAGATTATAGGTCAAGTACACGAAGGATAAGAAGCATGAATTATCATAGATCACTTCTGCTTGGTTCATTATGTCCATTTCATCCAACCCCCCCACCGTCATTTTTCCATTTAGTAAAAGCAAACATTTTGCCGAGTTTAGCAAAAACATGAATATTCATGAACGGTCAGACAATACAGCCTTTTAGTACGTAACGTATAGTGAATGGGAATGGGCGATGATCCGTCCAGGAGGTAGAGGTCAATGGTTTGTGCTGGCAATGTTCACGCGAGCGAAAATGAGACAATCAGAGCAATATGATGGGACTCTACACGCACATGTGGCATGAAAGTTGGGATCCAAACTGTGCAGCTGCTTCTTGTCATGTTTGAAATGAGAAGAGGGTATTTGTGCATTTGAAAAGCAATCCTTTTCAGGGACGTTCCTTCTATGATATTCTTCCGCACATGACGTGTACAGGAGAGTCACCACCCTTGCAGGTTAAGAACCCACTGCACTATTTGTATAAGAGTAGGGGGAAACCCTGGTGTATACGGCATGTGCAAGAATCTTCAGTATTGAAGGAGGCAGATTGAAGAGGAAGAAGAAGAAGAAGAGAAAGCTAAGAAATGTATTTTTCATCTTTACCACAACTCCACCTTCTTTTCTCACCTGGCAGAACTTCCTGAGCATTGGAGCGCATGCTGCGATGAGCTTCCTGTTCATCTGCACATCTTCTGCTTCTTCCACAGTGAAGTTGCCCACAGCTTGCCTGCACTTCTGTCCCAGATCATCCAGGTGGTCTTGAAGGCACCTCAATTCCTGCAAAATTAACAAGTTTAAAGCCCCACTGCACTCCTTATAGCTACTTGCGCCCTCTATATAGCAAACAATGCCTAATCGGTGCCTGTTGGTCCCCCATGATCACCTATTTCTTATGTTAATTGAGAGCTAATTTGAGGAGATAACCACCTGTCGGGTGACCATGCAGGGTGGTCTAATCCCCCTGGCCAAACTAGTACAGACAGGCTTTAATCCTACTTAAGTCAGTTTCCTACCTCATATACAATCAAATTATATAAGGCAAGTCCAGGGTATTCCGTCATTTGGCTTTTAATACATTACCTATTATTATGGTATTATGCAGACAACCTTATGTGTGTCTGCATCAGAAAAGGATTTAATTTTTAAACATCTATCACATCTGGCCACTGAAGAAAAGTGTGATACTAACCTGTTTCTTTTTTTCTTTTCTTTTTCTTCTTTTTGGACAAGTCATTGCCCTCCGCCTGCCGGATGGAGTGTTTTTAGGCCGTTTTGGGGTTATATTCACATAATATTTTTTCCCCGTAACATGAGAGTAATACTAATCGCCTCATTCTTTTAATTAAATGTAATGTTAATTGTTATAATTGTGTTAAGTGGGGGCATTCTACAAGAGTCCTGTCTCACACCCCGGGGCAACGTGTCTGACACGGCCGGTTGTAGCAACTACTCCGAAGATCAAGATACTAATCTTGATCTAAGGAGACACGAAGGAACGAAATGAACCTAAATTGATGTTAAAAGTATAATTTCAGTTGATAGTTGGTCTGCTCAAATATTGATAAAAGAATACATAATTTGGGTTTTCTGTTGTACGCAGAAAACCTAATTTTGTATTCTTTCATCATTATTCGACTTCAAACACATTCGTTTTGAAAATCCTTGCAGAAATGTGTCTTAAATGCAGCCTCTTTCACATTATGATACAATCTAAATAAAAATTTTGCCATCAAATTTTGAGGGCTCCCAGCACTTTAGAGGGGCTTTAAACAAGATGTGTTTCTTGCAAGTCTCAAGACAGCAGACTTTTTGTTGCTTACCTCTCCTCTCTTGGTCTTGTCGTTACAGTGCGCGCCCAAATCGACCCGGCAGTTCTCTTCTATCCTTGGGTTGAGGTACACGCTCACAGCCCTCTGACGGAGAACACGGTGGACTTGGTCAGCACAACGGGATTGAAGCTGAAGTACAAAATAAAGGAGTTTTAACAGAGGGCCAGGATACTATGCTTGCTCGCTCTATCTCTCCCTATTTCTATCTTTCTACCTCTTTCTCTTTCTATCTCTCTCTCTCTCCCCCACCCCCCCTCTCTCTCTCTCCCTCTCCCCCTCTCTCTTTTTCTCTCCATCTCTCTCTCTTCCCCTCCTTGTCTCTCTATATCTCTTTCTATCTATAAATCTATCTATCTCACTCTCTTTCTCTCTCTTTTTTCAGGTCATCACATTCAATCTGTGCTAGGCAACTGTTGAGAGCCACAGGATGATAACTCTGTGTAAAGTATGTGTTAACGCTCTTCTTGCCTTCAGCGGACAAAATCAATGACCAACTCTTGCAATCACCATTACATGACGGTACATTCAGCCCTCCACATACTGAAGGATGCATGGCAAGGAAATTCTTTAGCAAACATACCGTTTGAATTATACAACATTGTAAAGGTACATGAGTAACTAGATGGAACTTCAACTGCGCGCAGTCGAAAATGATGCCTCCGTCATAGAGCAATTTTACATACCAAATCAGAAGAAATTTTTCAAATTCAAGATCAATTGTAATCCATTAACAGGTTCTCAGAATATCGTGATTACAAGCAATTTCTCATATACATTGTACATATATGACCCTTTGATCTTTGACCTCATGACCCTAAAATTTACTCAGTTCATTGGCTCTGCAAGATGTCCTGAGTTAAATAGTAATCCATCTGTCAGTTCTAATGAGAATGCATTCACATGCTATTTTTGCATACATAATGAGCCCATGACCTTTGACCTCATGACTCAAGAATCTACTCAGTTCATTGGCTCTGCAAGATACATACATGATCTAAGTTTGGCAGGAATCCATCAATCTGTTTTAATGATAATGCGATCACAAGCTATTTTTGCATACATAATGAGCCGCATGACCTTTGACCTTGAGCTCATGACCCCAAAATCTAATCAGTTCATCGGCTCTGCAAGTAACATACATGACCTAAGTTTGACAGGAATCCATGCATCAATCGGTTCTTCAGATAACGCGATCACGAGCCGTTTTTGCATACATAATGACCCCTGTGACCTTTGACCTTTGACCTCTGACCTCGTGACCCCAAAATCTAATCAGTTCATCGGCTCTGCAAGATACATACATGACTAAAGTTTGGCAGGAATCCGTCAATCAGTTCTTCAGATAACGCGATCACGAGAACGGGACGTACGTACGTACAGACGGACGTACGGACGAACGGACAACCCGAAAACATAATGCCTCCGGCTACTTCGTAACGGAGGCATAAAAACCCTTCAGGTTTTCAAAAGACAAGAGAGGGTTCTTACAGATGCCTCATGGTCAGCAATGAGTTCTTAAGTTCAGGGCCACAAGGAGGCTCACGCTATGTAAAGTATATGACTTAATGCCCTTTTTGCTCTCAGCGGGGAGCATACTTACTGGTTGGGAGTGGTCATGGAGATGACGATGAAGACAGGAGAATACAAGTCCGCTGGGAGTCTCCTCTTTTTCCTGCCACTGCTCCTCGTAGCAAAATGTTCCGGCATCCGATTCACAGTTTTTAAAGAGAAGAGGGTCTAGCCTATAGAGACAGAGAGAAAGGACAAAGGTGATCATGCAGTGAAAACAAAATTATGGTAATCATAACGTACTATAAAAGAATGTCATGCTAATCATGGGCCACTTTATTATTCACGTATGCACGCATAGTGGATAGCCATGGAGAGAATGTGTCCTGAGAACGTCCCCTGTCAGTATTCTGGATTGTTTAAAGTTCTTTTAGTGTCGTTTCGTGAGTGAATGAATAGTTTGTAACTATCCATGTATGATAGTGCCTGTGCCTGTGACATGAAGCTACAGTGGACGGCCTTGCTTGTGTATGCGTTTCTGTGTAACGACAGCAGCAGAGAGGGTAACCCGACACATGCTCCATCGACGATTGCTCCGCCGACATTTACTCCGTAAAACGCGACATTTGCTCCGCCGACATTTGCTCCGCCGACAATTGCTCCGCCGACAATTGCTCCGCCGATAATTGCTCCGAAAAACGCGACAATTGCTCCGGTGACAAATGCTCCTCGAACGACAGTTGCTCCGCCGACATTTGCTCCGCCTGAAGCGACACTTGCTCCGGTGACATTTGCTCCGCCGACAATTGCTCCTCGGACATTTGCTCCGCGACATTTGCTCCGCCGACAATTGTTCCACCGACATTTGCTCCGCTCAAAAAGTGCCCGGTAAAATACAAAGGCTTCTACGACAATAATTGTTGTTCCTCCCCAAAAGTACCCCGTAAAAGACAATGCTCCGCCGACAATACAATTGCTCTCTGATCCAAAAGTGCGGCCTCGTGGAAGACATGAATGCTCCTCTGGTAATGAGGGCAATAAATGCTCAGCCGTTTTTTGCTTTTCCCCATAATGTTTGATTTAAAAAAAAAATCAAGTTATAGCTCCTTAAGCAAGTTCTCCGGCGAAAGATAATTACTCCGCTCAAAATCTGTTTCATGTATTACTCATTAGCTGATCCAAAACTCAAGGCTATCTTTCTCTCTCTCTCTCTTGCTCCTCCTTTTCCTTTTCACACCCTTTTCTTGTCTTCTTAGCTCTTTTCTTTCCTTTCATGCTATTAGTCTTCTTTCATTTTCATCACTTCTTCTCTTCTCCCCCTCTCGAGTTCTATTTCTCTCATGAAATTGTAACGTTATGTAGTACATGAAGTACATTTTTTTTTAGAATAGTATTTTCAATAATATCCAGTCCGTTTTCTATAGGTTCCTTTCCTTCAGTTAAGTGCTTTACTAAATATATATATATTAGTGTGTAAAACACCCTGTCTCATTCGAGTACTTTGTTTTCACCGACTTTAAGGGACTCACGGAACCACCGGAAGAAGAGCAATTGGCTTATCATGAAGAACTAACATCAAACTGCAACAAAATCATTTGTATAAATGGGAATAAGCAGAGAGGCTGCCATCTAATTTTCCAGTCTGAATGAGTTCTCTTCTTTACATATAAGTGCCCTTCAAAGCTTATTTTGATCCCTCCCCTGTTGTTTTCTAGAACTTCCATGATGACCTAGTACATTGTATAATGCTTTACTTGCAAATGGTTTACCTAGTAAGATGCATGTGCCTGCTTGCATTGAGGTCAGGTCTTACATATTGATGAGCTGTTTGAAATTAACTAGGAGGTATGCGCGTATTGGGGAATGTGGCTTGCTGCTCTACTTTTTTTTAAAAACTTCCCACGACATGTAATGAGTGTTTAGTGTACATTATATGGGACGTACAGTGATACTGATAGATGGAAAGTTATTTCAGTATATTCGAAATGACTTTTAGGTAACTCCTTTTTCCTCCCACATTATCAACATTCATTCATTTCATTTCATCTACATTATTTCATGAAATGCATTCAGAAAATGAAGAAAAAAAGAAACAAAAATAACCCGTGATAAAAAATATTGTCGGCGAATCATTTGTCGTAGTACTAGTATCATTTGTATTTTATGGGACACTTTTTGGGCGGAGCAAATGTCACCGGAGCAAATGTCGCTTCATGGGGAGCAAATGTCACCGGAGCAAGTGTCGCTTCATGCGGAGCAAATGTAGGAGGAGCAATTGTCGGCGGAGCATCTGTCGGCGGAGCAATTGTCGGCGGAGCAAATGTCGTCGGAGCAAATGTCACCGGAGCAAGTGTCGCTTCATGCGGAGCAAATGTCGGAGGAGCAATTGTCGGAGGAGCAATTGTCGGAGGAGCAATTGTTGGCAGAGCAAATGTCGGCGGAGCAACTGTCGTTCGAGGAGCGTCGGCGGAGCAATTGTCGGCGGAGCATCTGTCGGCGGAGCAATTGTCGGCGGAGCAAATGTCGGCGGAGCAAATGTCGGCGGAGCAAGTGTCGGCGGAGCATTTGACGTCGGAGCAAATGTCGCGGAGCAAATGTCGCGGAGCAATTGTCGCGTTTTGCGGAGTAAATGTCGGCGGAGCAATCGTCGGCGGAGCATATGTCATGGAACCGCAGAGAGCCAGCAAATGACTGCTGACAGCCCTGCCGCTGGTGCAGGCAACACTACTTCTTCCTTGCGCTGTCAAAATGGGCGGTCGCTTGTCGCGTTAGGCAGGTGGTCGTTACAAGCGGGATAGTTAGTACATACTTTTCTGTGGTGGAAATATTAGTGGTCATTATGGTCAGGTGGTTGTTATCTAGACAGGTGGTCGCTAAGGCTAAGACTGAAAATAAGACAACTCACCTGAAATTTCTGGAGATGAAATATTGTATTTCCAAAAGCTTTTCAGCACAGTTATCCATCATCTGGTTATCTTCAATATTATCCATTAAACAAGACAGAGTTCTGTGGGGAAAAAATGCAATAATATGTATTATTATATTATTAGACAAGGATACCATTCATTTAAACCAACTTAGCCTGAAAAGAGGCCCCACCTATACATTCCATATGACAAAGAGCCAGAAACAGGTGTGTGACAGGGCCTGAAGTGGCGAAATAAACTGAAAACAGGCATCCCTAATTACATTATGGGGAATGAAAATAGCAACCGTGCCATCAAACTTGGGATAAAATAACAAAATAAATGCCACCAATAATATTAATAATAACAATATTTGTAACGCGCAACATATAATCCATCTCTAGCGATGCTCAAGGCGCATACAAATAAAGAAAAGCTTTGAATTTGATATGTAGATCATTCAACTTGATGTGTTCTGTTTTCTCTCTAAGAATCTATTGAGAGCGTTGCTTAATTAGGGAAAATTGATAAAATGACAAACAGTCATGGCAGTCAGTCGGACATCACTCTGAAATAAAGCCGGTAAGGCCTTTTCCCTGACTTGCAGATTTACAATTCACAGCAATTCAACTTTCTATACTAATGACTGTGCAGAATATCAATCGTAAAGATTTCTACTTTTAAATGTTATATATTTCATCTTATAATCTGCATACATGTATGAATGAAGTCAGATCATGTGGAGTTGGGCTGAATTTAAGATATTTCTGCTGATGGTACTACTGACATGATGTATTAAGGTCCAGAGGGACTGCCCAGACATTTCCTCAAGGTCTTATGGTCACACAGCTTTCATAGGTTCATTTTTAGGGTTAGGATTAGGTACAAAGTTCGGTTCAGGATTTAAAGCTGGGACTGTGACTAGTGCCAGACATCGACCATTGAACAATCGTTTCTCCAGCAACGATTGCTCAATGGTGGAGCAACTATTGCTGGCAGAGCAATTATTGTTGGGGTTGTACGACACTTGCTCCCACAACAAATGCTGTGTGGTAATTTCCTACACTAACCAAATTCTTGACTTTAAACCTTTGACTCAACATTTTGCCTTACCCTAAACATAAACCTAACCTACAAACCCTAATCCTATCCCTAAACATAAACCTAACCTTCAAACCCTAATCCTAAACATAAACCTAACCTTTAAACCCTAATCCTAACCCTAACCCTATAATAAGCCTAACCTACAAACCTTAATCCTAACGCCATTACAGGAGTAGATGTTGTACAATTCTAAGGATACCTGTTAAAGACACAGGTGCAATAATTTCAGTATTAACTTTTTACTTATTTGTATGTTATGTATTGTATTGCTTTTGATCAATTATTGTTATTACTATTGTGAATTTAAAACATTTTAAAAATTTAAATAATATATAGTGATTGATTTTAAATGCTACACATGAATACTGTTTGAATGAATGATTGTAACAAATGAAATATAATGTTATGTAATGAAGCTCATGTATACATGTAAACATGCACAATTCAGCATTTTGGCTGCGAGGCATTGTTTTTTAATAAAACCATTATTGAATTGAATGATTGACCTACTTGGCATTGGTTTTCTTTGGGAACAGTATAGCTCTGGTCTCCTCACAACCTGACATTCGCTTGGGGTCTTACTTAGTAAGAAATAAAGGGCTATGGCATTTGTCGCACTTGGGTTTCAAGGTAGGTTTATGTTCAGGGTTAGGATTAGGAATACACTTGGGTTCGGTATCGAAGCGAGGAATTCAGCAAGTCCAATAAATCTATCATGGAGAAATGATCACCGGAGCGACTTATGATGGAGCACACGTTGTACAATCCTAGGGATACCTACTCAGCATCGTCTTCCTTGGGGCAGAGAAGGGCTCTGGACTCCTTACAAGCATTGCGAAGAGCGGGGTCTATTCTGTAGTCTGATCCAGCACCAGCCTCTTCCATGAGAGTAGACAGCTGCAAAACAAAAGTCCAGTACATCATTACACTTTTGGGGTCAAAGGTCACATAGGCAGTCAAAAATTGACTTCAAATATCAATTGTGCTTCTAGTTGTTCTTGTCACTGCTGCCATTTCATGCTATGTGACAAAACCCACAGAAACAAGTGTATTCATACTAAAAATGTTTTATTGTGTAGGGTACGGCCACAGATTCAGTAGATGCTCATTACCGATTGGAGTGAAATATACGAGTAGAACATGGAGGCACCCATAGAGTTTAAACATACAAAGTAAAACAAGAAGTGAGGTCTTGTAGGCTGCATTTAAACAAAAAACATACATTTTGTGTGATGTCTTAATATATTTGGAATGAAGACCTCTCTCGACTTAGGTCTTTACATACAGGTGGTCACTCTGCGGCAGGTTGAGAATGAATCACTCACCCCCTTCTTGCATTCAGCCGATATACCTCCCTTCTTAGCCAGCGCCATGAGGCAGTGGATGGTCTTTCCCTCTCGTCTCAAGCCCTTGCACTGGACATCAATCTCACTGGAGCAGGCCTTGACGAGCCCAGGGTTGATCATATAGTCGGACATGATCTCCTTGCGGGTATCGGTCAGCTCAGCCTGGCATTCTCCGCTGATTTTGTGTCCTAGAGGGAGGAATCGAGGTGGTCAAAGGAATGTCCTCAGTGAAGTCAGGGTTTTAAGAGGCCCAATGGTTCGATGGACAGAGCAGTAGCCTCTAGAGGGAGGAATCGGGATGGTCAAAGAAATGTCCTCAGTGGGGTCAGGGTTTCAAGAGGCCCAATGGTTCCATGGAAACTTTGCATTGCCTTTACAAATAACTACTATACATTTGAAAATGGAAAATTTGTGCTGAAATTTGAATTTGACCAACCTGCTCTGCCAGCACTTCCCAAGCATATCAAAATTTCAGCCAATTTGACCTCCTTGGTTTTGGCTGCTGTTTCCTGACATCTAGCGTTCTGTATCTCCTTCTTGCACCGACGCTGCAGCCTGAAGTTCACCTTGTAATCCAGGGCAACAACCTTCTGCCGGGTAGTAAGCTTCTCTTTACACTGTTGAATCAAAAATCAAACCAAATCAAATCAATGCAATCTGAAGATTCAAGGGAGGCAAGAAAAGTGGTCTTCATAGGCAGGTGGTCTTATAGTACATGTTTGCAATGAGAACCACTATTCAAAGGGGGGGGGGGGATGGGGTCTTTAAAGGCAGGTGGTCTTTAAAGGCAGGTGGTAACTGATGCAGGAGGCAATTTGGGTACAATGTATTAAGCAGTCATTTTCTTGCAGGTGGGGGGGGGGGGGTCATTTTTGTGAATTTCATCAATCATTCATTGATTGCAAATTTAACAACACGCACAAATATTTCCAGCGATTAATGAGGCATGTAGCACACGGTGTCTGTACAGTAGCACAACACGTCAATGAGTCATGGGGTGCAATTGGAGACCAGACTGATTATAATGGGGCACTTCAATAGATTATTTTCATTTAGTTCTCCTGAAATAATTCTTATATTATGACGTTTACGATATACTCAGTAAAGAGTTCACGATTCACAGAGATAAAATGGAAGTAATTGCAAAGCATATAAATGGAAGTGGTAAATGGCTTAACACAAATATAACAACTCACAAATTTGTCTATGAACCCTGTATCTGCGAAAATATCTTTACGTGAAAATAGTGGCTTGTACGGCACTTACATCCGTGCTCATCTCCGGACTGAACTTGTGTTCCTTGAGGCACTTGTAGATGTTGCCCTGACCGGCATGTAAGTAGGCGCAGAACCTCTCCCGATCTTCCTTGCAGGCGAAGAAGAGGGACCTGTCCTCATGGTAATCGTTGGAGGAGAGCTCAGCCACGCGAAGGATCTGAAGCTTGCAGGCCTTGTCCAGGGATTGGATGTTCTTCTCCAGGCAATGGATGGTGCCACCTTGGGAGTGTGGTGGCTGGGGCTGTGAGGGTTATTAAAAGAAAAGATTAATTGCAATGGAATTGATTCCTGCTCGATATATATACATGAAACCTCACCTGGGTCAAGTGTGGCAAATGTAGATTAATGTCTTGCCAAATGACATTAGTGGTTCTTGTATAGTGCGCATGTAAAGACATTACAAAGACAAGGTGATTTTTATAAGCTGTTGAGGCCTGTACGATAGAAGATTACAGCTTTAGAGACATATCTTGCGAGTATTTGAGGAAATATTTACTGTCCAAATAAGATAAGGCAGAAATCCCAAGTAGGTTTATCAAGTATCCGGAATGTCATTTCATGAAATCACATATATATATATATATAAACCTGTACATCTAAATTTTCCTTAGCCCTGTACCGTTGGTAGAGCTGAAGGCATACATGCCAACATTTGAAAATGAGAATTAAGAATTTTTAGCACGGTATGTCTTCGAAAATAAGAAATCTGTACCCTTAACAGGCGATCGCACATGCAGCGGCAGTGTAACTGGCAATACGCGGTAAGTCTATGCAAAAAAGCGAATACAAATTCACTGCTCAATCATGCAGCCCTGCAACGCACGCAATACGTGAACTCTCACGTCGCGGCATATGATAAAACAAGCTTAATTTGGCTTAAGCAACACCAACAACAACAACAACAACAACAACAACAAAAAATCAAAATTTTGAAAATCCGGAATCTCCCGCATTTTGGGGTCCTAAAAATCCAGAAAAACGGGATATTCTGGATTATTCGGGCGGGTTGGCAGGTATGTGAAGGGGATCTAAACTGCACCAATTCAGGATTACTTGGCCCTGGAAAAAAAAGCAGGGTTGGCACCCCAATTACGTTGCTATCTCTTGAAATGCGGTGCGAAGAGCTCAAGTGAAAACAAAAGACAAAATTGTCTGGGGCTTAGGAAAAGCGTTGCTAACCCGTGGAGGCGGAAACATTGTGTCAAGTCAGAGATAGTCTGAGAACAGGGTGGATTTTGTAAACCTGAGATTGGAAAATAGTACGGGCCAAAATAAACAGAGTGTGAAAAGCATAATAGAATATGATTCATACCCTGGTCACTATAGATATATTGATAAAGTCTATATTCTGTGTGTTTCTTATAAAAAAAGGAAACAAACATTTTCCAAATCAATTTTTACAAAAAATGGTTGTGTCCTAATAAAGTTCAATTTATCCGCTTTCAGATATTTTCGTTCATTAACAAATATCAAAGGTTTTAATGAGTGATGTCTAAAGCAGTTTGCACACAGACGGAAGTTTAGAAGTAGAGAGTAAATAGAATACCCCCAAAAAATGAATAATAAGAGAAAGCATTTTAGATTATAGTGGACATGTATACTGCTGGACTGGACTCCCATACTATTATGATTTCTGCCGGACGCCAAGAAGGGCGCCCTCTGGGACTGCCATATTGGGCAAATCCAAAATGGCCGCCATCATTTTGGATTAGACCAATATGACCAGTATGGCAGCCCGAAGGAGACCTCAAATCGATGAAAGAACATCATAATCAGATTCTCTGACCCCGAAAACCCCATAAATATGTATAAACTATATCATACAAGCCCTTTTCCTTTTGGAACTACGCTTGACCTGTAACTCAGATGGCGGCCATTTAGGATTTGCCCAATATGGCAGTCCCAAAGGGCGCCCTTCTTGGCGTCCGGCAGAAATCGTAATAGTATACAAATGATGCATGCGCATGAGTTCATTATACGATCTATCCTCACTCGAGTTGAGGCTGTGTGTATCTATTGCACAAAGCTGTAATTAGGCTGAGTGTGATAGAAACACACAGCATCAACAAGGGCGAATAGATCATATAATGAACGAATGAAAACATGCATCATTTGTTTTATACAATGAAACTCCTAGATCCTTGTTATTTGATGTAAACAGAATTCATTCAAGATTGTTTTGTGACAGTATATGGCTGACAAACAAATTTTAAAGTTTAATGAGGTTTAATTTAGTGCGCACACATATAGATATAGCATTTACCCATTTACGCAATATTAAGCGCTCTAACCTCTACGCACACTACTGCGCACTGAACAAGAGTCCAATAGGACTGGAAAATATTGAACGCTTTTTCCTGAAAAAGCGTGCAATAGGCTCAGTAAATGAATCACACGTGACCGCGCATGACCAATCATTTAATTAGGATCTGGGAGTGAGTTGTATAATATGGTACACTGTATAAGCTACCTCTGGGCCAAATTTGGTGCTTTTAGAAAAATCGGCACCAAACAACCCCTATTTAGCCCTAACAGCCCCCACTAACTGCACCTCCAAGTAAAAATCGAAGACAGACCTAGGGGGTGTTTCACAAAGATCCTAAGTTAAACTTATCTCTAAGTTGAACTTAAGAATTATGGAAAGCCGTTAGCATCTATGAAAATATTTTGTAGAAGTTATTTTAAAAGGCATAAAATGTTGATACAAATCATTCATATCATCAATTATCAAGGAGATTTCATGTTCTTGATGTGGAATTTATAAAAAGTCTAAAATACTTGAATTTTCGCTTTTGAATATTTTATTTTAAGGCTACAAATGGGTCTCCATCATTTTCAAGTCCAACTTAGAGTTAAGTTCGACTAGGATCTTTGTGAAACACCCCCCTAGGGTGCTTCCTACGATATCGGCAACAAAACAAAAACAAACAAAAAATCTGAGCAGCGCCATCTCTTGGCAACTGTTGGCATTAATATGATTTATCGTAGCAAGGAGTTACGAGTGCTATGCAGTATGATGGCCATCCAACACTTGCTGAGTTAGACGGAAAAGTATCAAGTATTCTCTTAAAGGTAATACAAAGTTTTGGTATGGGGTCATGAATTTGGTTCGAATGAACATATTGGAAGCATATGCGATCCTACAATATTCACTGATCGTTGTTGCGGTTGAAATTGAGTCTTAAGTTATGAAATTGTAAACAATAAACTCTTTGTGTTGTATAGCTCTCTCTCAAGGTCAAGATATTAATTAAGCTATAACACAATGTTTCTTAAATAAATCAACCAATTAGCTATTCCCGTTTGGAAATTGTATGTCACAACTACATATTCTGAGATTTCATGGTCGCAGCGTGTACCATTTACCATTGTATGGCCGAAAGCGCAATTTGAAATTTACGGGAGCACCGGTAAATTTGTATATTCAATTTTTCTCGAAAGCAGAAGTGTTTTAGGGGCTAAATTTTCTAGTGCTTATAATACATCCACAGGGGCATCCAAATATATCAAAATTGTAATGAATCACTATCCAGCCAATTTTCAAAACTTTGTATTACCTTTAAAGCCTATCTGCACTAGTTTGGCCAGGAGGGATTAGACCACCCTGCCTGGTCACTGGCAGGTGGTTATCTCATCAAATCAGTTTTCAATTAACGTAAGAAAAATGGGATGATGGGGGATCAACGGGTGACACTTATAGGCATTGTTGGCTATATAGAGGGCGCAATTAGCTACAAGTAGTCCAGGCACGCATTAATAGAAGCCAATTTTTCATGGAAATCTGATGTGTTATGATGACTTGAAAATCAATATGTGAGTAAAATCACAACAAAAAAAGGCTAGGTACTTATAGTATTGGTTACACAACATTTTTTTAAATAAAAAAAATGGCGGCCGAGTACACGAGTATCGGCCTGTAAGCTTGGACGTGTACTCGAGTACTACACCTCATTATACGCTTATGAACAGCATTACTCCACGAGATATAAATCAATTTGTCAGTGCAGTCCTCTTGGCTCAGGTACTCTATAATTAATTTACAGGTTCTAATGCCCTTTCTAGATGATACACACGAGTCAATGTATGCAATCCTCACAAAACAAAATTATCTCACTAACAGTCTGTACTCAGATTGTTCAATTCAATAGCTCAAAAAGTCATACAATTCTTTCTAAAGATATGACTGTAATGTTATGATCTGAAGTTATACAGCAATTGATTTTGGCTTGATAAACCTTGTAATTAAACTACCGGTAACTAATGTTTTAATTACTATGAATACCGGTACGCTTGTATAGTAAGATGTTGTTGAGTTTTGTACTGCGAAGGCATCTTTAGTAGTCTGTTCTACAGTAATAACAATGTTTAACTTGGACAGCTAAAAACAAATATCTCTCTCATATTCTTGAGCCTACTTTGAAGTAATCGTTTAAAAATGTGTGATGCACTATCATTTTGGGGGAAGGGGGGGGGGGGGTCAGGTAGGGATGGAGAGGGGAGATCTTTGGCCAAACAACATGAGGGTGAAATCGCCCACAAAAACAAACAGTGGACCCACTGGCGTGTGGAGTAATTGCTTTCATTGGCTTGATTAATGCAGGTGACAATGCCATAGTACTTCGCGAATTGCATTGGTTGCCGGTGACGTACCGCATCTAGATTATCTTAGATTTAACTTATAAATGCATTCATGAATTGGCACCAATTTATCTGCAAGAATTAATTGAGGAATACAAACCCTCACGCAGTTTACGGTCATCTTCACAATTAAACCTTGTATCTACTTCTGTTTCAATTCTCTTTCTTATGGTAATCGCTCCTTTCGCAAAGCTTCTGCTGAACTTTGGAACAGATTACCTTTAAATGTAAAAAACTGTCAAACCGTTAACCTATTCAAAACTAGTCTCAAGACACATTTATTCAAAATTGCGTTCAATGATTAATTAACTCTGTTCATTTTGACGTGTATTCCATATGTATTGTAATTTGTATGTTATTTGCATTTTTAGTTTTGTATAAGATGTAATTGTATATCAGTCTATTTTGTGTGTATAGCGCTTAGAGACTTCGGTGGTAAGCGCTTTATAATTAACGTTTTTATTATGATTATTATCATAGAAATAACGCCTTGTGTACAACAGACATCAGACCAAGTGTCGGGTTTGACCAAGTTAGAAGAACATGGATCCAAACATACGTACAACATACCTTGTTAAGCGAAGGCACCCCATCTTCGTTGATGACGTCACACTTGAACTTGTCGATGTCATCATTGCAGGACTGATAGAAGCCTGTGATGAGCCTGTAGTCACTGAAGATGATCTGCTTCATCCTATTAAGGTACTGGGTGCACTGGTCGATGCTGATGTCCTCTACGTGATCGAGGAGGCACGGGAGAACCAGACCTTTACCTTTGTCAAGGCCGCTGCAATCTTGGAGCTGTATTTCACAACAAAAACAAAATGAAAGTTTTTCTTCTACAATAGTAACATCAGAAATAATAAAAAGAAAATAATAATAACATCAACAATAATGACAACATTACACTTGTAACTATTAATTATGATAATGAGTATATTTATATAACAGATGACAAAACTAGAAAGAGGTGTCAATGATTTTGGATACAAAAGCCTCCACAAAGGATACAAGAACATAATAATTTTACATAATCAACTATTTAGTCTAGAGTAAGGATCAATTTAATGCCCCTTGATGTGTAATTATGGGGATACATGTACAGATAATATATAAGTTACTATTCAAGACATATCTAAATCACCTGCAGAGAGTGAGAAGGGCAACTAAACTGATAGAACTTCACATAAACAGAGCATACAGTTGTAGTTAATATTCTTCTAGCTCCATGCACAATTCATGAAGATATAGGCAAAACAAAACTACTCTGTAATGTTTCTAATTCAAATATATTGAACCTGGTATACACTGTACCTTTGCCAAGTCCTCTCTGCATACTTCAGCGGCAGCATTATCAAAGCGATAATCAGTGGTCAAATTCTTCTTGTAATTCCACAGAAACTAGAAGAAAAACAAAAGCATGTAACATTTTTTGTTTTTTTAATCAATTACCGTGGCTTTAAACATAACTTCTGTGAAGCAATATTGCACATTCAGACACAACAGAAATAGAGGTCATTGTAAGAAACTTGAGAGCACTTGAGAGCACACTAGAATCATGTGGGTGCACAGAGTGGACTTCCATGCCGACCTGGATATACAATCATTATTACCATCTCTCTGAAATCGGTGACTATTTGAAAGTCTGGCATGCTTGTAGCTTGAGGAGTGATTTCATGTCTATCGAGTATCAACTACAAGCAAGCATGTAGTCTGTTGAGAACTAAAAGGGCGTTAATTCAACTCAGAAGCTCTTTACAGACTCAACACCCTTCTGGCTCTCAACAGATTAGAAGCACATCATTCTACTAGTGATTGCACCCTTTTACGAAATACTTAATTTTGAACATCACATACTTACATTTATCAATCTAACCCTGTCTACGCGGACTACCAGAATCCCATCATATTGCTATCGTATAGCTATTACATAAGTTATAAATATGCGGCTATTTCCTAGTCTGGACATCGTATAATGAAATATATAGCGAAACACATGTTAGAGCATCATTGCAAATGAAAATTTAATGAAGAATCAGGGTCCCACTCTAGTCGGAACTTAGCCCAGAGATGCCAACCTCTTGACAAAAAAAAAAACAGACCGAGTATCCTAAAAAAACAGATTTTGGAGAGAAAAATCAGATTTTCACGAAAACTTGACACTACCATTGGCCCGTCAGCCCCGGGCTAGTAATATTTCAGAAAATGTTTGCTCTTTCATTAAAATTTAATGAGAAAATAGTAAAGCAAAGTTTTTGTTGGGGTTGCGGGGGTTTACTTGTACATGTTTCTATGCGATTCCATTTTTTTATGGGTTAAAAAAAAGAAAAAAAGAAAAATTGTATTTTAAGATTTTAAGATCGTATTTCACTCTTGTTATCGTACTAAATATGATTTAATCGTACTGGTTGGCATCTCGGTTAGCCCCACCAATAGTACTGGACTATGCTTTGCCCACTTCATTTTCAATTTGTTCATACTTTTTCATAGTGGGTTAGCCTCACCAATAGTACAGGACCATCTGGCCCTGGATAAAAAAAAAAAAAACATATGCCTCCAGCTACTTCGTAATGGTGGCATAAAAAGGAGTACAAGGGTTAAAGGCGAAGTCCACCCGGGAGTTGGTTTTAATGGAAGCAGAAAAATGAGGGAAAAGGACAGTGAAAGTTTGAGCAGAATCAGATTAAAAATAAGCAAGTTATGAATTTTTGAAGTTGCGATTAATCAAACACAAATTGGCAACCCTGTGACGTATCTTGTCAGGTTTCCTCCCATTTGCTCTTTACTAACATAAAAATCAGAAATTTGTATTTTCCAAAAAAAAATCAATCATGTCTTTAAACAACCCCTGTAAGAAACAAATATACTCCGTCACAAATAACTAAGAAAATGAAAGCTTATGAAATTTCTGTAGAGAGCAAATTGGAGAGGACCTTGCAAGATATGTCACAGAGTCGCCAATTTGTGTTTCACTGACGACAACTTCAAAATTTCATAACTTTCCTACTTCTAATCAGATATTGCTCAAACTTTCACAAATTTGTTTCACTTGTATTTCTGCTTTTATCAAAACCAGCTAATGATCTGACTTCCCCTTTAATACTCTTCTGGAACCATACACAGGACAGTCTTTAATAGATCCATTACTGTATTCTTGATTTTAAGAATCAAAAGTATTATTTTGTCAATATCATTACATTTGCATGGTTGCCTTAAAATTGAAATTTTAAGTTGTAAGAAGAATTATAGTGAGTAGCTTTCATGTTTATACATCCATACAAACATATACATGTACAATGTACATCATACTCCAGTTATAGGATTGAATATCAATGATTACTAGGTATAATAATTACAAAATACATGTAGAAAAAAAGCTAGAGATACTCACGTGATTACAATCTGCTGATATATCACTGTCTGCCTGCATAACAAAACAGAAATGAGAGAACAAATAAGAAATTGAGAATACATATGACTTGAAACATTCAAATTGTACATGTACTTGAATATCAGGTAATACATACATTGTATGTCATCTGTTTAAAGGAAAGCATTTAAGAATTCATGGAGTGATGGGAGTCATTACTGGAACTTCCACTCTAAGGGATCGTGTAACAATGTTAAATCTGAGATACACATCCCTACGTGTTATCAGTGTCTGTGATATTGTTTAACATTGAAGCCCTAAACAATTTGCGCTTCAAAATGATCAAGAAGTGCCTCAAAAAAGTAAAAATCTTTGAGTGACCGGTTTTATACTCGTTTTCCACAATATATACCGTAGTGTTATGAAAACCATTCGGCAAACAGTTTTCAAAATTTGTAATTCCAATCATTAAAAGTCATGGGGTTCCTGACTGACCTAAAGGTTTATAATCATCATTGCAGCATGAGCTAAATCCAGAAGTTTGTTTCAGAATCTGAGACAAGTTACGGGATCCATTTAATGAGAAGCCAGAGTTCTAGGAAAATTGACAAATAATTTGTGAGCTTTTCCATTCTCTTTACGCTAGCGTGGAAGAATATCACACACACACAAAATCACTTCATAATCAATATATGACAAGAAATACATGTATCTGAGGTGTATGGAATAATGTGTTTGTTTAGTCCCCAACACACATAAAGCAGGGCTGTCAACTTTGGGAAACTGCTTGGAGGGAGATTTTTGTTTTAGAGAAAATATTAAATGGCAAATCCAGCCAGCCGCTTATCTTTAGATATATTATGGGCATATTGTAACGCCGAAAAAGGTGCGTTTGGAATGAGACATACAGCCAGAATCACGTTTCTGAGAGATGATAAACGCAAAGCTGTTTTGAACCCCACATACAAATCGGACCTTCCCAGGTTAATTTCCGGATCAGAGGCTAGCGCGCGCCATGTGTTGTGTCATGTTGTTGTACAAGCATGCAGGCGCGGATCCAGGATTTCTTAGGGGAGGGGGCCCAACTTTTTTTTGTTTTTTTGCTCCCGAAAATTTGAAAATCGCGCCGGCCGAAAAGTCGCTCAGTGGGGGGGGGGGGGGGGGGGGGTACAGAGCACATTTTTTTTTTTTTTTTTTTTTTTTTTTTGCTCCCGAGAATTTGAAAAACGCGCCGGCCAAAAATTCGCTCAGTGGGGGGGGGGGGGGGGGGGGGGGGTAGTGAGCACATTTTTTTTTTTTGATCCTCAAAAAAATTTCAATTTGCATCCCCCCCTTGAGCGCCAGGGGGGGGGGCCCAACCCCCAAAAAAGGTAAAAATCATGTGATTTTACATGATTTTTTTTCTCAAGGGGGGGGGGCCAGGGCCCCCCGGGCCCCCCCCTGGATCCGCCACTGCAAGCATGTGTGTGTAGTTGACCTCCGAGAAACTGCCTGCTACCCGAGTCAAACGGCGCAAAGCAGCTGCGCAGAGACAAGGCCTTTATTTTGAATCGTGAAGAGACGATAAACGCGACATCCCGCAAATCACATTCATATACCTAAGTGGGGTTCAACATGTACATATCTAGTGGCAAGACACGATAAACGCACGCATAGATTAATGTATGTATGAGAAGAAGAAAATGGGAAGATATATACGAAAGGATGGAAAGCAAAAGCGCAAAACGGAACTAAACAACAACAGAAAAAAGTTGAGAAGGAAGAAAGTTATATGTAGGAGGAAAAAAAAGAGAAAAAGTACAATAGAGCAAAACAGAACAAAGCGAGTTTGCTAATAAATGAAGAAATGTTGGTAAGGTAAGGTAAGGTAAGGGCCAGCCTGGAAAAGAGGGGGGGGGGGGGGGGGGGAGACAATGACGCACACAAAAAATAATTACATACTCTATCATATGTGATGACACAATTTTTACATTAAACATTTTCAGCATAATTACTCAATAAATGTTGTTTCAGTTTCCGTTTAAAAACAGAGACACTGATAGAGCGAGTTACATCAATGGGAAGTGAGTTCCAAAACTTGGGACCAGTACATGCTTGTATTCAAAGCAAAGGCAGTTCTTCCACGCGGTATATGAAATGCAGTTGCCTGTCTTGTATTATACCTGTGAATTTGACTGTTCTTTCTAAAATAACTGTACTAAGGGATAGAGTAATGTCGATCTGGCGCTGCTCAGTGGCTGCCGGGCTCACAATCAATTGGGCAAAAATAATTTCCATTTTCGGTTTAACATAATAAAATTTGGAGTGGACTTTAAAAGATTATTATTATTATTAATACATTTGGAAGAGTACCATTTTCAAAATCATACATGAGTGAGCCTAACTGCAAGACATAGACATGTATCATAGACATGTATCAGTTCATACTCCTTCTACGTTCCAATACAACATGTTTGAATTTGTGTTTGTGGACCAACTCGTTACTGTAGATATGTTTAAATCATTCGATTTAAAAAATGTATGCTTGATAATTGGATTGGAATTGGATTGGTTTGGTTTATTGAGAAATCACATCAAACAAGCAGCTCGCAGGCTGAAAATGTTCAATTTACAAACAAGTTAAAAATATAGAGAGAAATAAACATATACAAAACTAAAATACATATTGTAAGTCATTGTAAGATGAAATAATGCCACATATCACCTAGTGTAACAAGTAGAACTACACGTATACTTATTGTGTTTTCACACAATGCAAAGGGGACTTTGGACCAGGAACTAACAAAAATGGATACATTTAACATCTCATGCATGGAAGTATGCAAATAATAACCATGAAAAGCTATATACATGAACAATTAATAGGGCGGAATGAAGAGATTCACTTGTAATTACGTGACATACTGCACTCATGCTATCCAGTTTGTCTGGAGCTCAAAGTGCACATGACGTTGCACATGAGGTTTAATAGGTCATGCACGTGCAACATGGAGTCAGGGACAAACATAGATATTGGTAATGAACTCTTATGAATGCGTAAAATGTTAAGTATATCAATGTACGCAGGTAAGATACAACATTTTTAAGGCAATTCAGATTCCGCTCTGCTTTGGCAATTTTATTACACATGTGACAAATGTAGGCTTGCGTGTACAGTTGTTATGTATGGATCATTTTTTAACACTGCTCTACGGCTGATTGTCAACGAAACGGATTTAAGTCTTTTGTTAATTCCGTTTGTTGCTACGACAGACAGCCAGTGAAAACGAATTCATTTAATAAAAATAAGGAAATGTAAGCACTACCTTAAACAAACAGAACTTTGTTATATTCCTAGCTCATTTTTCCTGACTGAGGTGTCATATGAAAGGGCAGAAACTCAACTTTCTAGAAATGTGATTTTCTCTTTGAAATTCAGATACCGTCCGCCAAATGACTTTTTGGTTTCCTCTCTTCAAATTCATTTCAATCACTCATGCGTAAAATATGCATCATATGCATGGCATCAAATGAAAGAGGAGGATCTAAGCTTTCCAAACATGTGTCATTTATTAATTATAGATGTGGATAAGTTATGATAAAACATCGATAATTCTCGGTTTCGTTTTTTCTGGGACGCACTGTATAGCAAGCCCAATCTAGGAAGCAGCAACTTCAAAACTTGGACACAGCGATTAGATACAAACCCTGAATTATGTACTGGCATGGTTTTCCCGTCTTTTTGTGACCCCTCGACCCTAGTAGTTGATCTTTAGTATTGAGCAAACAAGGCATTACGTCAGAATATAATTAGCGCAAACTTTTGACCCTTACGCTAGCTGCACGTGGTTTGATCTTCGGGGATAGCGCGAGGGTGAATCTCGACTGTGTATCGTATAGCAGGGACTACCTGTGTATAGCCAGGGAGATCAAATAGATCGCTGTTTATGTATTTTCTTTATCCCATAGAAGTCTACTATGCACTATGTGCAAGGTTATTTATGCATCGGAGTATGTTCAAAATAAGTTTTGAGATGGAAGAGCAGTGTTAAAAAAAGGAGGCATTTCAATTTTTTTTCCGATCATCATCCCCCTCCCCCCCCCCCCCCATACCCATTCTCTCTCTCTCTCTCTCTCTCTCTCTTTCTCTCTCTCTATCTCTCTCTTTCTCTTTCTCCCCCACATCGTTTTGAGCGTAAGTTTGTTTCAATAAGCCATAACGTCCTAAGCAATAATGAATACTAGTTCACTGCATGTGCAATTTACGGTAGCTGAAGAAATGTAAGTAGTCACAACAACTGATTGTAAAGCGAAAGTTTTAAGTAGAGCGTTTTCTGTGTGTGAGTTGGCTTTTCGGCGTGAATGAATCGCCAACACAGTTCTGTGATCGCCAACCGATAGGATGATATCAAGTTGCTGCCGAAAGAGGGAGCTAAACAGACATATCCGTAATTTTGAATTTGGTTTGTACCAACCCCGACCGTTGAAGAAATCAATGTTTACTTTGCTTTTTTCTCTGCAATTACACAATTTCATTCAAATTCCTTTAGCAAGAGTCATTTATTTGAATTGCTTAACAATTGGTGTGAATTTGAATAGAAACTGTTTGAATGTTTTTTTCACCATTACCAGAACTGGAGCTTATCTTTAAGCCTAAGCCTAGTAAAACCATATTCTGGTAGATAGAGTCTAGACTACTCACCATTTGTAAACAGTCCAGAACGGCAAAATTATTTCCTTTCTCCATGTTCCGAGGGCAAATATGTTGAACGTCCGCGATGCAAGCTGGATGGTCGGCTATCCTTACAGGCTTCAAGGGAACTGCTTTAGATTTGATCGGAATTCTATATGCTTTATCCGGAACTTGAGCTTGTGGCTGCTGCGCTTGAGCAAAAAAAAAAAGAAAGGCACATGGAAAATAAGGAAAGAGAGAAAACTAGAAATGGAACTTCAACTGCGTGCAGTCGAAAATGATGCCTCTGTCATAGAGCAATTTTACAAACCAAAACAGAAGAAATTTTTCAAATTCAAGTTCAATTGTAATCCATTAACAGGTTCTCAGAATATCGTGATTACAAGCAATTTCTCATATACATATATGACCCTTTGATCTTTGACCTCATGACCCTAAAATCTACTCAGTTCATTGGCTCTGCAAGATGTCCTGAGTTAAATAGTAATCCATCGGTCAGTTCTAATGAGAATGCGTTCACAAGCTATTTTTGCATACATAATGAACCCATAACCTTTGACCTTTCACCTCATAACGCAAGAATATACTCAGTTCATTGGCTCTGCAAGATACTACATGATCTAAGATTGGCAGGAATCCATCAATCTGTTCTAATGATAATGCGATCACAAGCTATTTTTGCATACATAATGAGCTGCATGACCTTTGACCTTGACCTCGTGACCCCAAAATCTACTCAGTTCATTGGCTCTGCAAGTAACATACATGACCGAAGTTTGGCAGGAATCCATCAATCGGTTCTTGAGATAACACGATCACGAGCTGTTTTTGCATACATGAGCCCTGTGACCTTTGACCTCGTGACCCCAAAATCTAATCAGTTCATCGGCTCTGCAAGATACATACATGACCAAAGTTTGGCAGGAATCCATCAATCGGTTCTTCAGATAATGCGATCAAGAGCCGTTTTTGCATACATAATGAGCCCTGTGACCTTTGAGCTCGTGACCACAAAATCTAATCAGTTCATCGGCTCTGCAATATACATACATGTACATGTACATGACCAAAGTTTGGCAGGAATCCATCAATCGGTTCTTCAGATAATGCGATCAAGAGCCGTTTTTGCATACATAATGAGCCCTGTGACCTTTGAGCTCGTGACCACAAAATCTAATCAGTTCATCGGCTCTGCAATATACATACATGACCAAAGTTTGGCAGGAATCCATCAATCGGTTCTTCAGATAACGCGATCACAAGATCGGGACGTACGTACAGACGTACAGACAACCCGAAAACATATGCCTCCGGCTACTTCATAACGGAGGCATAAAAAGTAATATCAGGACTTACCTCTGAAGCATCTTCTTCTCGGTTCCAATAAGCAGCGGGATTCCCTGGGTTGACGGCAGGAATTTCATTGATAGGGCCCTCAGCTGGATTCCCTAGGTTCACGTCAGGATTTTCATTGATAGGGCTCCCAGCTGGATTCCCTGGGTTCACGACAGGATTTTCATTGATAGGGACCTCAACTGGATTCATGACAGGAACTTCATTGATAGGGACCTCAGCTTGATTCCTTGGGTTCTCGACAGGAGTTTCATTGACAGGGACCTCAGCTTGATTCCCTGGGTTCCCGACAGGAATTTCATTGACAGGGACCTCAGCTGGATTCCCTCGGTTCCCGACAGGAACTTCATTGATAGGGACCTCAGCTTGATTCCCTGGGTTCCCGACAGGAGTTTCATTGATAGGGACCTCAGCTTGATTCCCTGGGTTCACGACAGGAACTTCATTGACAGGGACCTCAGCTGGATTCCCTCGGTTCCCGACAGGAACTTCATTGATAGGGACCTCAGCTTGATTCCCTGGGTTCCCGACAGGAGTTTCATTGATAGGGACCTCAGCTTGATTCCCTGGGTTCCCGACAGGAATTTCATTGACAGGGACCTCAGCTTGATTCCCTGGGTTCCCGACAGGAACTTCATTGATAGGGACCTCAGCTTGATTCCCTGGGTTCCCGACAGGAGTTTCATTGATAGGGACCTCAGCTTGATTCCCTGGGTTCCCGACAGGAATTTCATTGACAGGGACCTCAGCTTGAATCCCTGGGTTCTCGACAGGAATTTCATTGACAGGGACCTCAGCTTGATTTCCTGGGTTCTCGACAGGAGTTTCATTGATAGGGACCTCAGCTTGATTCCCTGGGTTCCCGACAGGAATTTCATTGACAGGGACCTCAGCTTGATTCCCTGGGTTCCCGACAGGAATTTCATTGACAGGGACCTCAGCTTGATTCCCTAGTTTCACGACAGGAACTTCATTGACAGGGACCTCAGCTTGATTCCCTGGGTTCCCGACAAGAGGATTTCCATTGATAGGGACCTCAGCTGGATTCTCTGGGTTCCCGACAAGAGGATTTCCATTGATAGGGAACTCAGCTGGATTCTCTGGGTTCCGGACAAGAGGATTTCCATTGATAGGGACCTCAGCTGGATTCTTAGGTTGGGCATCTTCACCGGATGGACGCTGCAATTCAGCATCTGGGGTTTCTTCCACACCTTTTCCCTGCTCGCCTGGGTTGCTTGCGGTCTTGGATTGATCTGATGCATTATCCTCTGCTGAAGAAATGAAGCAGAATACTAAATTACACACAAAATTGAAAACTGTGCTAGAAAGATCAAAAAGAATGGACAGATTGCCTCCATGGGAATCTCATTTTCCTATGAAAAATTTAGAAAAGGCTCAGGTGAGCAAAACTGTTTTAGCTTGTCAAACTTGGAGTTCTGATGTCTCCATGTTGTAGTAGTCATTTCGAACTGGGAGATCCCTGCCTGTTTTGAAACCAAGTCAGCATGCTAGCGCCCTTTGTTCCTAGATTAGTACGTACATGTACTTACTGAGTCCCATGGATAGGATTCAAAGTCATAGGTCAGCTGGTCAACATAGGTCAATTATCTATTTGTTTTGTCATGAACCAGGAATATAAATGTGTGTACGCACTCCAATTTCAACATAGAAATTTGGTAGCAACCCACAACCTGCAAGAGCCACTCTCAAAAAACCTTGCGATAATTTATCTTCTTGGCTTGAAGTATCCATCAAATTGTTAAAACTAACACAGAGACTACTCCATCAGTGAAATGAATAAGGTAAATCTCCTTTAAAGGCATTGTTTAACGATTTAAATCTGAGATTCATGGCCCTACGTATTATCAATGTCTGTAAGATGGTGTAATATTGAAGGCCTAAAAAAATTGCGCTTCAAAATGATCACAAAGTGCCTCAAAAAAGTAAACATCTTTGAGTGACCAGTTTCACCATACAGGTACCGTTAGGAACACGCAAAATTTGATTTTGATTTTCAATCATAAATATCTTGATAATCAGACAGGCGAGCGGCTTGTAAAAGTCATGGAGTTCCTGACTGACCTAAAGGTTTATAATTATCATTGCAGCATGAGCTAAATCAAGGATTTTGTTTTAGAATCTGAGACAAAGTTACCCAATCCCTTTAATACAAAATGTCCCTTAATACATAACATGAAAAATACAGTAAAAGAGTGATGTGGTGTAAAAAAAATGGAGGACTTAAATAGATCTTTTATGTTTTAGAAGTGACTGCTACGGTAATTGATTTTTTAGACAAGGTCAGTTGCGAAGTCAGTTGAAGGCCCCAATTCGTGCTTGTGAACTTGTCACAAATAATAGTAACAATGTTGTTTTTAAAACTAAAGACGACAGACAAATTTTCCTCTGAGTCCAAACAGAAATCCGGACATTGGCAGCTAGTTTCTGAGTGGTAAGTTGACAGTGACACCCGGTGTATGATTGAGCTGGAAGAAATTTGTACTCACGGTACCATGCCTCTGCTTTTCTTGGCACGGATGAGCGTCGCCCGGCACAGTGACAGGTGGAGGGGCATAAATCATCACTTATAAATACAAAAACTGGCGGCCGTGTATACGTGTACGAGAAATCGTACTCGTGTTCTTGACAAACGTCTGAGTACAAAGATCATCCGAGTACTCATCGCAGCCTTAGAATCAACGCACATGTGCTCTTCACCTCCTGCCAACTGGAAATGGGCACTTAAGTGACCTTTCAGAATACCAATTTGCTTTAATACTGAGCCCTAAGTAAGCTTTAAGTAAGCTTTAATTCAAAACCCGATTTGCAGAATATCCCTGGAGGCAGGGACGTCTCTAAAGGGGGGGGGGCCCCACCTGTCAGGATATTGTTGGTAAAATTGCGCTGCCGTCCGGAAAAAAGAGAAAAGGGAGAGGGAAAGCGAAAGAAAAGAAAAAAAGAAACAGAAAGAAAAGAAAAAAAGGAAAAGAAAGGAAAAGAAAGGAAAAGAAAGGAAAGAAAGGAAAGAGGAGAGAAGAAAGAAAGAGAAAAAAGAAAAAAGGGAGGAGAGGAAAGAAAGGAAAAGTAAGAAAAAAAAAAGAAAAGGAGAAAATGAAAGAAGAGAAGAAAAGGAGAAAATGAAAAAACAGAAGAAAAGAGAGAAAAAGAAAAGAGAGAAAAAGGAAAGAGAGGAGAGAGAGGGAGAGGTACTGTAGGAGCCTGCGACAGGAGGGGTGAGAGTAAAAGAGAGAGGGGGTTGTTGGATGGAGTCGTCTTGTCGAGGGAGCAAAAAAGACATGGATAAATATGTTGCTGTGTCAGTATTCTTGCTCGGTCCTTGTGTACTATATCAATGCAGAAGTTTGAAGTCGGTAAGATGTACATGTACATGTACATGTATAATGTCGGTCGACTGACAAGTTTTTTTTCCTACGAACTGTGACTTTTTATCTGCTTCGACGACTTCGAGAGAGACTGCAACTATAATACTTGTATTTTCTCGAAGTTTCACTTTCATATTTAATATCAGCTAAAGAAATCAGAGGTTTTAAATTTTCTGGAAAACTAAATTCAAATAAGGATAAAGAGTCACGAACGAATAGTCTTTTTTCTCTAATATTTTAATGAAAATTGAATTCAGATAAGGAATAAGAGTTGTCTGCTTTCTCTCATAATTTAATGAAACGTCAAGGCTTCCGCGCTTCGCACGGGAGGAGGAAAACTGAATTCAGACAATTAGGGTTAAGTGGCGCGAAAAGTAAATGAATTGTCTGTTTTCTCTCATAATTTAACCCTTACTGTACTGGGGGGGGGGGGGGGGGGGGCCTGGGAGGCAACCGCTTGGAATTTGTCGTTTCATTACTTTTTCCCCTCAAGTCTTACGCACATTTTGATACCATTTTCGTCGATTAGTATGCGCATGTCATCAAAAATATGCTATAATTGCATATACCATTTTCATGGGTACAAGCAGAAATGTGAATACAGGTTTAGATGTATTTCTTAAAGTGGGAGATATGAATTGATATCAAATTGCTTTTATGTTTCTCTTTTAGTAACTTGATGTATTCCAGAACAAAAGAAAACAGAAGAAAAAAACAATAGATATAATAAGAAATAAAATACAAAAGAAAAAAAAATCTTTGAAAATACCATTTTCGTCGAAATCGGATATACCTGTAAGGTGTTACATAACAATTAGTATGCGCATGTCATCAAAAATATGCTATAATTGCATATACCGTATTCATGTACAAGCAGAAATGTGAATACAGGTTTATTTCTTAAAGTGGGAGATCTGAATTGATATCAATTGCTTTTATGTTTCTCTAAGTAACTTGATGTATTCCAGAACAAAAGAAAACATTAGAAAAAAAACAATAGATATAATAAGAAATAAAATACAAAAGAAAAAAAATATTTGAAAATCGCATCAAATTTGCATAAATTATCATTATTAATTACATCAAAATAACTATTTTGTGTTAGAAAAGAAGTTTTATATGAATAATGAGTTTCAATTAACATTAAAAAAGTGGAGTCTGACGATTTTTTTAATGATTCTAAGGGCACGTTCATGCTTCACTTTTTCTGGCCAGAATCAGGCATCTGTTACGCGTTTAGTTTAAAACACGGTTGCGTCTTAGCTTACTTTTGTAGAATCACCGAAAAACGGCGATCACGATCACCGATCGTAAACTCACAAAAAGATGCGTTTAAATGGGGACAACGCACTGACCTCTAGTGGGTCTACGTAGCATGCACAGTGAAGGTTTGCGAATCCAGCTGGAAGACCAATTAAGGCCACACAAGGAGAATTGCCTGGATGAGCCAGAGAAGTAAGCATGAACAGTACACCGTGGAACTGCGATCACGATGAGCGTTTACGATGAGCGTTTCAGATAGCTCATTCTACCTTCAAAATCAAGCATGAACGCGCCCTAATTCCCTGGATATTTCCAGATTTGATATTCATGAATGCGTATTCATAATTTATGCAAATTCACCTATGCATTTTAAAAAAATCATAAAAATAATGTAACCACATGAACAATGAGATGAAGGATACATTTTCAAGATTCTTCACAAGTCTACTGACAAATATGTAGAGTTTTCTGTAAAATGCATAAAATTAGCATTTTGCATAATTAATTAGGCTATAACGACAAAAATTTGCATATTAGGAAAAAACTAATTATACCATCTTGTTCCTTACGTAAATATATAAAAACATGCAAATTTTTGTGTTCATCGGACTTTCGACAGCCGAGATCATAGCCTGGGAGGCCCCCCCCCCCCCCTCCCCCCCTCCCCACCAGTCATGAGGTGCTCAAAATAGCCTAGTACAGTATTAGGTTAACTCTTTATGCGCCACTTAAAAAACCCCCCTGTGCCACATTCTTTTAGGGTCACACATTTCGAGGGAATCTTTATTGACTCTGCTGAATCAAGAGGCTATAACTCTTCACTGGATGATCATGATGAAAAATATTGTGCAGCAAAGTTGTAGACCGGAAAACGTGCTTTTCGATGAACCGTCATTTGTTATATTTTGAATTATCATTTTTATAATAATCATAATTATATAATGTTTAATTTTTCTTATTTACGGCAGTTTTTTATCCCTCTAGAATTTCTTATTTAGCAATGATAAGACATCTTCAAATCGAATCTATTAGAAAGGTGGACTTCTTACCTTTCTTTACATACCTTGCTCAAGTATTCTAACAATTCAGAAGGTTAGTATTTAGGTTGTTGAAGAAAAGAAGTTCAATAGGGAGAGACTTGAAAGTACCCCGCTCAGCCACCCTTGACAATGGGCTAATCTGCCCATTGAAATCCCTATTACCCCAGGTTATTGTCAATGTCCAGTTTAGCGGGGCATGAAAAGGGACGTCGTGGGGATGTTTTTCTTTGTTGTGCCATGATAAGTCAATAAGAAATAAGAGAATGTTATTGATTTTGCCCACTGGTATGAGCATGTAAAAATGGTATAGGCATAATATATTATATGTGATATACATGACATAATCAGCATCTTATTGAAATGTCTCATTATGAATGTTCACCGCATCTGTTCTCTCACCTTCTTTACCCCTCAATAAAATTGATTTCAAGTACATTTATCACAGCCATAGATATACAAAGAAAGAATGAATCAATCTTAAAATATAAACTATATTGCATTGTTTTCCATTTACTTTATTGTGAGAGAGCTTATTATCAGAAATGATTGACGAGTGGAGTATGCAATGAATAAAATATGGAGAACGGACGTGAGAGACATTATGAGAGAGAAATAGTGATATGAAATGAAAGGACTTTACTGTGAATAAAGATTATAAGAGAAAGAGATAAAGATGACGGCAAGACAGGATACATATTGATACGAAAATAACAATAATAATGAGATAGAGATGACGGAAAGAAAGAGAGTAAACACTGATAGCATAAGAATGAATAAAGATAATAAGAGAAAGATATAGAGATGACGGCAAGACATAGGGTACATATAGATAGGAAAATGATAATAATAATAAGATAGAGATGACGGAAAGAAAGAGAGTAAACACTGATAGCATAAGAATGAATAAAGATAATAAGAGAAAGATATAGAGATGACGGCAAGACATAGGGTACATATAGATAGGAAAATGATAATAATAAAAAGATAGAGATGACGGAAAGAAAGAGAGTAAACACTGATAGCACAAGAATGAATAAAGATAATAAGAGAAATATATAGAGATGACGGCAAGACATAGGATACATATTGATAGGAAAATAATAATAATAATAAGATAGAGATGACGGCAAGAAAGAGAGTAAACACTGATAGCATAAGAATGAATAAAGATAATAAGAGAAAGATATACAGATGACGGCAAGACATAGGGTACATATAGATAGGAAAATGATAATAATAATAAGATAGAGATGACGGCAAGAAAGAGAGTAAACACTGATAGCATAAGAATGAATAAAGATAATAAGAGAAAGATATAGAGATGACGGCAAGACATAGGGTACATAATTATAGATAGGAAAATGATAATAATAATAAGATAGAGATGACGGAAAGAAAGAGAGTAAACACTGATAGCATAAGAATGAATAAAGATAATAAGAGAAAGATATAGAGATGACGGCAAGACATAGGGTACATATAGATAGGAAAATGATAATAATAATGAGATAGAGATGACGGCAAGAAAGAGAGTATTACACTCATAGCATAATAATGAATAAAGATAATAAGAAAAAGATATACAGATGACGGCAAGACATAGGGTACATATAGATAGGAAAATGATAATAATAATAAGATAGAGATGACGGAAAGAAAGAGAGTAAACACTGATAGCATAAGAATGAATAAAGATAATAAAAGAAAGATATAAAGATGACGGCAAGACAGGATACATCTTTCTTTCATTAGTTTTATTCATTCTTATTCTATCACTGTCTACTCTCTTTCTTGCTGTCATCTCTAGCTCTTTCATTAATTTTTATTCATTCTTATTCTATCAGTCTACTCTCTTTCTTGCTGTCATCTCTATCTCTTTCTTTCATTATTTTTATTCATTCTTATTCTATCACTGTCTACTCTCTTTCTTGCTGTCATCTCTATCTCCTTCTTTCATTTTTTTTATTCATTCTTATTCTATCAGTCTACTCTCTTTCTTGCTGTCATCTCTAGCTCTTTCATTAATTTTTATTCATTCTTATTCTATCAGTCTACTCTCAGGGAACACTTTTATCACTAGAGTCTTCGTCACTGCTCGATTCGTCGGAATCAGAGTCCATGCTCCATGCTTCCATAGTAACAAGATCTCGAGCCTCCTCTACACTAAACACACGTTGACGTTTTCCAGCAGGTGCCATCGTAACATCAGTAAAAAAAATCCAAAGAAAACCGCTAAATACACGGTAATTTCGAATGTAACACTATGAAGAAAAACAGTTTACCGGAAAGTGTGCGATGTATACAATGTAAACAATAGTAAACGCAACGCGTGGCTACACACTGCGAGCGGTATTATGAATGTCTAATTGACTCGTATACATCTGTGCAAAAATGCGAAGTTGGCACGCCTACGTCCGTGCAAATCGGCGAACAAAGCAAACAAAGAGTTAAGGAAACGTTTAAGCTTCTGCGCTTTGCGCGTGAGGGGGTTATTGAATTCAGGTAAGGATTAAGAGTCGAGAACAGTACAACAAATCATCTGCTTTTTCTCATAATTTAATGAAACGTCAAAGCTTCCGAAGCGCGGGACGGGGGAACTGAATTCAGACAAGGATTAAGAGTTGAGAACGGTACAACAAATTGTCTTCTTTCTCTAATAATTTAATGAAACCTCTAAAGCTTCCACGCTTCGTGCGGGAGGCTCTTCACCCACCCCCTAGGGGAGTGCGCTTCGCGAGCTCTTTAAGTGATTCACTTGCGTACTAGATAGTTCATATGAAAAACAACTTAGCCTTCGGGTTTATAGCCTTTATAGGGTTAAATCACAGGTGCAGTATTTGTGGATTTATCTGCGGCTTATGACACTGTCAATCACCAAAGGCTACAGACAAAACTTCATGACATCACAAATGACCTCAAACTCACCAGATTCATTCAGAAGATGATGCAGAACAGACGCTTCTTTGTCGAACTTGATGGGCAGAAGAGCAGATGGCGGAAACAGAAAAACGGTCTCCTCCAGGGTGGCGTCCTGGCGCCAACACTCTACAACATCTACACTGCTGACATCCCTTCAACAGAGAACACTCGAAACTTCATCTATGCAGATGACACCTGCATCACAGCCCAGCATAGTACCTTCGAAGCTGTTGAACTCCATCTCAACACAGCGCTCGCAAGCCTTTCGGAGTACTACAGAGCAAACTACCTACGGGCAAACCCATCCAAGACTCAGGTGTGTGTTTTCCACTTGAAGAACAGGGAGGCAAAGAGAGAACTGAAGCTAAAGTGGAACAATGTGCAACTTAACCACTGCGAGCATCCAGTGTATTTAGGTGTAAAACTCGATCGTACTTTATCATTCAAGAAACATATCGAGAAGACAATAGGCAAAGTAGAATCTCGAAATGCCATCATCGGGAAGCTAGCATCTTCACACTATGGCGCTGACCCCAAAACTGTACAAAGTGCAGCTGTTGCTCTATGCATGTCATCCGCAGAATATGCTTGCCCAGTTTGGAGCAGATCAGCCCATGTGAAGAAGCTTGACACCACACTCAATAACACATATCGAAAGATAACAGGCTGCCTGAAACCAACAGAAGTTGAGGAGATATATCACCTCGCTGGCATTGGATCTCCTAACCAAAGGCGCACTAACACCTGCCTAAAGGAACGGATGAAGCAGGTGACAGATGACAGACACATGCTACACGGATACTTACAACCCCACAAACGACTTATATCCCGACACAGCTTCCTCGATTCTGTCCCACCACCTGAACAGAATCCTCCACCATCAGCCAAGCCCGTACTAATCAAAGGTCTTAACCTGAAGTGGCCGGAGTGGCAATGCCTAAATCGAATGCGGACGAGAATTGGGCGGTGTAAGGTCAATATGGCAAGATGGGGCTATGCCCATGAAGGAGAAACTCTCTGCGACTGCGGAGAGACTCAGACGATGGACCACCTCTTGCAGTGCAGCGGAACGGGTTGCACAGATGAAGACCTGTCCCTTGTTAATGAAATGGCCATTGCAGCAATCGAGCGATGGAAGAACTTAATTTAATTTAATTTACTTCTAATTAAGGAACTTTACATAACTATCTTGATCTAAGGAGACACGAACGAACGATAGGGTTAAATTTGTAGACATTGGGACATTAAATTTTGGAGGTAATTGGTGGCCTCTACACCCCCCCCCCTCCCACTGAAAATGGTCTAGCGACACCCCTGCCTAGAAGGATAATACAAATTACCTTGTGTACCTGGCGATTGTGGTTCATTGGGTTGAAGGTCTCCAGGAGTGTCCAGTGTCACTTTCTGGCTTTCTAAAATAGGACCTAAAAAGGAAGAGGGAAAAATAAAGTTTTTTAAGAGCTGTATCAGCATGTTTCAGTATGCTTTATAGATCAGGTGCTCAGGTATGAATTCATGTTCAACAGTTAGCACCAAAAACCTACATGTACATGTATCAACCTACATCATCAAAAAAATATTAAACAATTGAAATAAATAAATAATAAAAAGGAATATAATACGAGAAATGCAATCGTGTCACAACGATGTGCGTGCAATGACACCTTGTTTCTACGTGTCAAACGAAAGAGCTTCTCTCGGACTATCCAGAGCAATTTGTACGAAGTCTGTAGCTTCTGTGATACTGGAGATAGGTAGGGCGAAAGAAAGGCCTCAACAGTGACCTTCATGGGATGGTAGTGACTACGCCTACGAAGTTGAAAGAAATTGGGAAAGGGGAAAGAACCTAGAAAGGGCTCGCAAGCACTGCGTGTAAAAACCAATGGGATTTGGTGCATGTTTGTCATTGCAATAAAGATCGTTCTGGGGACCAAAAGCATGAACCCGATATGCCCCAAAGACAATGCGTGTAATGCATGGGCGGAAAACGTACAGGATCTGTATTATCACCGGAGTTAAATTGTTTTTTATCTCTCTCTTTATGGGCCGTATTTGGTATCATTAGAAAGAGAATTTCATGGTTGTTATCGTAAACCACTCTCTTTTTTTCTATGATAATCCTATCGAAACACGTAAATGGCCTCCTTGACCAAATTTTAAACATCCGGCTTCGAGGTGCCCCGCATATTGCAACTCGGAATGTCACTGCAAAATTTCAAGGAAAAAAAAGGATGTTTAGGGGGCGAAAAGCAGTCTGAAAAAATGACGTCATGGCCGATAAGTGTTATAATCCGGCGGAAACTCGGCGGAATTCGTATACCGTATTTGCCGGCGTATAGGCCGCAGTATTTTTGGAAGAGAAAATATCAAAAAGTCGGGGTGCGGCCTATGCGGCGAAAGAGTAATTTTTTTTTTTTTTTTTTTTAATTTTTTTTAGTTTCGATTTATGGCGCTATGCCTGGCAATGTCTCCCAGCTCAGTAATCAGTGTGTTGACTCACCACTCGGAAACTACAACAACACTAAAATTTGACTGTCATCTTGGTTTGAAAGTAATCTTTCTAATAGATCTCAATATGTAGTTTATAATAATAGTTCCTCAAATTTTTTTCTATAACAAATGGTGTACCACAAGGTACACCACTGGTACCATAGGTACTTTATTGTTTTTAATTCACATTAATGATCTTACACATTCTTCTAAAAACATTGTTACTATTATTTGTGACAAGTTTACAAGCACAAATCAGCGCCTTTAACTGCACCTCGATGTTAAATGAAGGTCCTTCCACGCGTGGGTTTTCGGCAGCAAAACAACAACAAAAAAACAACAAAAAAACGATTTTTTTTTTTTTTTTTTTTTTTTTTTTTTTTTTTTTTTTTAAATGTCAAAATCGGGGGTGCGGCCTATGCGGGGGTGCGGCCTTTACGCCGGCAAATACGGTAGTTACCTTTGTTCAAATGCGATTTACTCACAATTTTCTGTGTGAACATATTCCATACTTGTTATCATTCGAAAGGGCACTTCATTGTGGTCAGTTTGACACCATTGTCATCTGCGCGCAATGTACTGCACGCATTCAACGCGCTATTACGTAATGCATAGCAAATTCATCATTTTTGGCGAAAACTTTGCGCTGACATAGCTAGGCCCTACTCAAATTTTACCAAACTTGGCAGACAGTTGTCACAGCTATTGAGCAAACTGACTATAACTTGGTGTGTACCACTTTTTCGTCCATGCATGCCTAGGGTCTACATGTACATGTATTCTTCTCAAGTTATTCACCTTCTATCGTAGCAAGGAAAGCATAGACCTGGCAGATCGAGTTAAGCTCACGCTGGTCACAGTCCATTGACTTCCACAGAAGTGAACAAGTAGAAGGATCCAACGGCAATGGTCGAGCTACTTGCACTCCGGCCGCCTGGCTCATATAGTAGGTCTCCGACAGACTGAGCGTGATTGACGTCTGTCCCTGTGGTGGAGCAGCAGTCATTTCCCCACAGAATTTCTGTTCATCCATGACAGTTTGTGAATGTTGGAGAAAAGACTTCATCATTTCCGTGTTGAAATCTTTATAATTGTATTGCATTGCTTTCGTCACCTTACACATATCAGAAATTCTGTATGCGAACAACATGCACAAATTGGAAGGAGGCCTAGATCTAACTGGGTTCTGAGACGACTCCGGAGGACACGCTTCTCGAAAGATGCTGGGCTGCCCCGCCAAAGTAGCCGGGTCGACGTCGGTACTCGTATCGAAAAGGACATTCAACGATGGGATGCAGGATTGAAGATAGTTTTCTGTGTGTGCATAATTGTCAAAAAATTGCTCCTGCACTGGCACTGCCACTGCCACTGGAGCAATTGTAGATGCAATGAGAACCAGAGAGAACAAGAAAACACATGACATTGCGACGAAAGCCATGATTCCAGATATAACTTCTAAGTTTCGCCAAAGAGATGCTGCTGGTATCTCTTTGGTTTCGCCGCGCCGAGGAGTGGTTTATTTACGTTATGTAGGCAATGTCTTTTTTTAACCTTTTTGGGGTTTGCGCACGTCACTACTTAAAGAAAATGTCGACGCCCCCTAATGAATATGCATTATGCTTGTGCCGACACGGCGTGTGTACTGTCTGTACACGCTGTGAATGCATATCTATCTATCTATTCTAGGCTATGACAGCACATCTGCACTACTGATTCAAGCGAGAGCATATATGTATTTCACTACACTTGTATTGTTTTGAATACATTAATTGCATCTATACCTGCTAGTGGGAGTAGTCTACAGGCCACCAAATGGTGATGTGAATGAATTTATTGAAGAATTGTCTAACACTCTTTCAAGCCCATTATTCAGAAATAAAAAAATAATTATTATGGGTGATTTTAATATAAATTTATTAAGTTATGATCGCGATAACTCTGTTAATAATTTGATTCCTCTGATTAATAAGCCAACTAGAGTAGCAGAAAACTCACAAACCTTAATTGACAATATTTTCACCAATTTGCACCCTTTTCCCGCTGCTGGTATAATAGTGGCCGATATATCGGATCATTTCCCTATATTTGCTAGAACATCTTTAGCATTAAGGAATTCTTGTAATGAATCCTACACTGTAAAAAATAATTTGTTCATTGGTAATTTTTACGTATTTTTTCCATGTAGAATTTACTTGTAAACATTAGTTTTGCCACTTACGCACTAAATTTAAGTCTTGCTAACTCAAACTTTCAATTTAGTAGAACATACGTGGAATATTTAAGTAAAATCAAATACATAAGAACTTTAAGTAATTTCAGCTTGTATTAATTTAGTAATTTTAACTCAAAATCAGAAATTATACGTATTACTCAAACAATTTATGTTGATTATTCTTATCTTTTTAAAGTAAGGACCGATGCAGTGTGTAATAGAAATATTTACATAATTTATGAATATTCATTAAGACCAAATTAAACTCTTCTTTGAATAAAACTATTCTTTTTTGTGGTTGAATGAAAATTTAAGGACTTTAAAACATTTACTAATTCATTTAACATGGTTAAGCAAAGACAAGACAATTTTTAATTGTTACCCAGTCCAAAACAAATAAAAACCAATTTTCCTTTTAAGATGCTACGATCAAAACAATAATTTATTCCAATCTGGACAAAAAAAGCATATTATGGACTGCCAATTTCACATATTTTCTTTATTTTTCCAATATAATTGATGCCTTATGTTTATCAAAAAGCTAAAGATAACTTGCAAAAAATGTGTAATTGTTAATATCAGGTGGAAAGAAAGGTTTACAAAAATAATGAATCAAGCTTCTTTTCATTAACACATGTCAACACTCTCTGCAAACTCTAACTTAGTCACTGTTTTCAGAGCATTAAATTGAACTGCATTACACAACTGATTCCAATTAAATAAAACCAATGAATATTCATTGGTATCCTTTATTTGTCCATCAATATATGTTACATGTACATGTATACTGTATCAAAATTCAAATACATATATATTGATTAATTCAATGAATTAATCAACTAAATACATATCAATGAGATTTTAAAAACGTGTAAGTTTATACATGACACTTGTTCTCTGAATCGTATAAATTTATACATGACACTTGTTCTCTGAATCGTATAAATTTATACATGACACTTGTTCTCTGAATCGTATAAATTTATACATGACACTTGTTCTCTAAAGCGTATAAATTTATTCATGACACTTGTTCTCTGAATCGTATAAATTTATACTTGACACTTGTTCTCTAAAGCGTATAAGTTTATACATGGCACTTCTTCTCGAAAGTGTATAAGTTTATACCAGACACTTGTTCTCTGAATCGTATAAGTTTATACATGACACTTGTTCTCTGAATCGTATAAATTTATACATGACACTTGTTCTCTAAAGCGTATAAATTTATACATGACACTTGTTCTCTGAATCGTATAAACTTATACATGACACTTGTTCTCTAAAGCGTATAAGTTTATACATAACACTTGTTCTCTGAATCGTATAAATTTATACATGACACTTGTTCTCTGAATCGTATAAATTTATACATGACACTTGTTCTCTAAAGCGTATAAGTTTATACATAACACTTGTTCTCTGAATCGTATAAATTTATACATGTCACTTGTTCTCTAAAGCGTATAAATTTATACATGACACTTGTTCTCTGAATCGTATAGATTTATACGAGACACTTGTTCTCTAAAGCGTATAAGTTTATTCATGACACTTATTCTCTGAATCGTATAAATTTATACATGACACTTGTTATCTGAATCGTATAAGTTTATACATGACACTTGTTCTCTAAAGCGTATAAGTTTATACAAGGCACTTCTTCTCTAAAGCGTATAAGTTTATACATGACACTTGTTCTCTAAAGCGTATAAGTTTATACATGGCACTTCTTCTCTAAATTGTATAAGTTTATACATGACACTTGTTCTCTGAATCGTATAAGTTTTTACCAGACAGGAGATGTACCACTGGTATGAATTTGGCGATCCTACTTCAAAGCTGTGGAAAGTTATTGTGTGTATACAGCTTTGTATGTTAAGTTCAATGACCTTTTAACCTTTGAACTTTGTTGAACACGAGTGACCCATATTCGAACTTGACCCGAGTCTACAAGAGATGTACCACTGGTGTGAATTTGGCAATCCTTGATCAAAACTATGGAAAGTTATTGTGTGTACTATGCTTTTAATAAAAAGTTCATAGACTTTTTGACAGTGCCGTAAAAACTGGAAAACAACAACAACAACTTTTGACCTTTCACCTTTGTCGGATATCGCCCATATTCAAACTTGATCTGAGTCTTCAAGAGATGTACCACTGGTATGAATTTCACGATTCTACTTCAAAGCTGTGGAGAGTTATTGTGTGTACAGCATAAGTACAGCTTTGTATATTAAGTTCATTGACCTTTTGACCTTTGAACTTTGTCGACCATGACCCATATTCGAACTTGACCTGAGTCTTCAAGAAATGTACCACTGGTAAGAATTTGGTGATCCTAGCTCGAAGATATAGAAAGTTATTGGGTGTACAACATAATTGTTGACGCCGACACCGCCGGTGTAAAAAGTGACGCCTATGCCTGGCTCCTGCTACGCAGGCGAGACAAAAAGGACATGAAACCATTTTAACGGATATCAACCGATGCCAAAAAACGACATCCGTTCCTCAAGTGTGACAGCCGCATGACGGATTAAACAAAAGTACCATCCGTTACTTGTACATTTTCTGATCCGGCCATGTCTGGCAGCGGAATAAGCTTGTAAGTTTTCAATTCAAAATATTACAGTAATATTAAAAAAGATAAAATTACATCTGTTTAAATCATATAGATTGTAAATCTCATGCAACTAAGATTTGTACTAAGGACCCTCTGGTGAAATTAAAAAGCTCCTCCACTTGTGCTTCACAGCCCCCACCCCCAAAAAATATTACTCCAATTTTATTGAAACCAATAGGCCTACTATTTTGCTCAATTATTTGATAGCTAAGGCAATTACAATGGCCCAATTAAGCTAGGATCTACAAAGCTACTGAAAATAGCTACTGTGCTTCTCTCTCAAACCATTCACTGTTTGAAGAGGAAGTTTTTCTCCAGCAGTCAGTGAGAAAGGAGGGAGAATCACAGAACTAGAATCAATAGTCTCAACCCAAAGCTGTTTCCTGCCCTTTTGTCCTTTGACTGGTACCTTTACCTCCTTCCACTTAGAAGTCAAGGTTCCTGTGTACCACTCGATCTGTAGGGACTTGTCTTCATGTACACTGCGAATGCAGCCAACTTGAGGCCAGTGTGTCGAGTACTCTGGGAGATATGTTGCCACCATGTCTCTCTCCCTAACTTCTGTCCTCTGTTCCTTTACTTTGGGTCCTATGTGAACCTAACAAAAAGAAAAAGAAAGTAAAATAAATAAAATAAGAAAGTGAATTGAAAACGAATAGTGTAGTGCCACTACATACATTATCAGTGATTCAAGACAATTCCTTATGTACACTTTATTTACAACATATAAACATATTATTATAGTAATTCTTTCTGAAACCTAATAAATAATTTTCTTTTATAAAATCAGAAAATATTGTTGAAACTTCTACTATTTTTGTATTTTTTGATTTTCAATTAACCCTAAAAGGGCTGTACGTTCACCGGGATATGTTTAAGGATATTTTTTTTTTGTGCCGGGAGCTTTCATGACTTTATAGCATAGAGTCTTGCGCATCTTTTGATGCCAAATATAAAAAGTTTTGACCATCGGGTAACGTGCAAATTGACGATTTTCCCATTGTCTGTGTATTGTAGCAATTCAATGCAGAAATGCAGATGTGCGATACCTACGATTACGTAAATGCAGATAACTACAATTTTTTGAGGTGCTCACATTGATGTTTAAGAAAAAAAAAAAAACAAGAAACAACAAAAACAACAAAAATTTGGGAAGACTTTTGCAACTAATGCACAAGCGTATAGCAATCACTAGTACCCAAAGCTAATCTTTACCTGACATGACCTGACCCCAAAATACTCGGCATGACTTGTAATTACTGTAATGACTGGAATTATGCAAGGGCTTACATGTATATATATTAGGGGCTAGATCTTGTGTGAAGACTATACAGAGTGTAAATTCTGTTAGGGAATAATGTTGCACTCAAGATGCAATTAAGCTGAGTGTGTTAGTCATGCAGCATTGTAGATGATTTACATTTTTTTTTTTTAGAAAGCAACTCAAGTTGTAAATAACGATTAAAATACATTTAATACTAAATATGGTTCACAATATCTTTGTCTTAATTAAGGGACATATTA